CAGCTGTATAGTTTCCTGGATCAAACTTGGAACTAGCTCTTGGAAAATAGGCCTAGTCATGAAAAAACAATGGGATTTAGCTCTTTAGAGAGAGTTGAAATTTTAGATTGAATGAGACCATTGTAGATGCTTTCAAAGATCCTGTCCAGCTTTGACTCTTTAGGATGAGTTTGAATTCTGGGAATAATAGTCCTGGTTCCAAATATCTTTAAAGGTATCTTGGTATCTAGGTCTTTCAGTAATTACACATATTGTCGAGTAGCACCTCAGAGACCCCTGCTGGAATTCTTCCCATAGCATCCCTGCTAGATGGTCACCTGTATCTACTAACACCTTCAGGGGCAGGAAGCTCACTGCATCCCAAGGCAGCCCATGTCTCTTTAGTCAGAAAGAGAAAATGGCTGATTCTTGAGAGAAGTCCATGATGAAAAAGGTTTGAGGGGGAAGATTCGTCAGTAAAATAGAGGAAGGAGTAGGTAGACCAAAGAGGAACAAAGGGTGGTTGGTATCAGGGAAGTCAAAGTGGGGGTAGACCAAGAAGGTACAGGAGAATTAGAACTTGGGCTCTTGGAGTTGTAGATGAGGAGGCCCTTGATGACTGAGGAGAGGATGACTCCAAGGGAGTGGTAGAGACCAAGGTGAGACTCCCAGGGGCTAAGACAGGTTTATTGGGAGGAGTGGTGAGTGTTGATTGCTCATTCAAGTGAGGGCTCCTTTAGCGGACTCATATTGTCCCTCCACCAGCAAAGTGCATTTGAGCCTTCCTTGGTACTTGTAGGTGGAGGACCCACCTCTATTATGAATATGTAAGACTATATAATACGATTTAGAAGGTAGGTTTTTAAGAATCCAACTTTAAATGATTCCTTTATAAAGTGGGCCGGGTTTTGCAGATACAGTTTTGTGATGGCCCGTATCCATACACAATTAGGCTGGAGTCATCTCCTCTTGCCTTACAAATCATCCCTGCAAATTAATGGCAGAAAACAACAAACTTATCATCCCATTATATTTGTGGGTCAGGAGTTCAGACAGGGCAAAATGTGATCAGCTGAATTCTGTTCCATGCTGTCTGGAGACTCAGCTGAAGACTCAAACACTGAGGACCGAGCATTGTCTGAAGACCTCACTGAGACTGGAGGGTCCACTTCCAGACATAGCTCATTCATGCACCCGGCAAGCTCATGCCGGAAGTCGATTCCTCCTGACATGGTCTCTCCACAGTGTTGTTTGAACATCCTCACAATGTGGCGGCTGTCTTCCCCAAGTGAGAAATTCAATGGCCCAAGATGGAAGCTGCAATTTTTGTTAATGACCTCGCCTCGGAAGGTAGACCTGATACACCCTCAGGTCTGCAATACCCTATTGGTGACATGGATCAGCCCTCTTCATTATTCAAGGGGACCACTGAGGGAGTCAATACCAAGCGATGAGGATCATTAGGGGCCATCTTGGAGACTGGCTGCCATGCACGGTATGGCAGAGGTCAGTCAAAGCCAGACCAGAGTCGTATGGCAGAATGCTAGAGCGAAGACAGCTGACAGGGACCCAGACTGACAGGTGTTTCAGTGTCCTGGCTCTTGCAGCCAAAGCATCTATAGATAGTGTTCTTGGTCTATCAGATTTTTCATCAGCCCAAATAACCTTGCACTGGTGGAGATTTTGTCGTTTCCTGAAAGGGAAGCATCAGCTGAGAGCTACAAAGCCACTTCGCCGGGCTGGCCAGACTCTTTGCTTGCTACATGTCTATGGCATGCACAGTTGCCGGAGGTACTCTGTGACTTTAAATGGATTTTGAGCTGAGTGGGAAGGGGTAGTGAAATAACAGCAGGGCTTCAACAATGACTCCTCCACTGAGCAAAGCTGAAAAGAAATCTACATGGCTTCATGGACTGGGATGGAAATAGTCTTCTCCCTCTTTGTAAACAGCCACAAATATGCATGTGTGGTGATGTGCAGCACTCCGCAGGAGCCAGCAAGACTTTGCACATTGGCAGGCTACAGTTTAATGCCAGGGCACCTCGCAGCTGTTCTGCTGACCCAGAGGACAACGGAAAGCCTTACAGTTTTCCTGCTCATCCCCTCCTACGCAGGCCCCCTGCCCCGCCAGGGGTAGCTTCCCTGCCATCTCGCCTTTCCAGATGGAATGATGTGGTTGGGGGCAGCCGAGATAGCTCGGGTCTGAACACAGGGCAGGGGAAACCGGCGAACATGGGAAAGGGTTTGGTAACATGTGAGAGATACCGGGGTACCCAAAGCGCTGCCGCAGAGCTGCCCTGCCAGAGACGCGGTGCCTAGGGGGCGCTCTCTCTTCTTCCTGGGACATCCAGGGGGTGGGAGCACCCCACACAGGCATGCCCCTGTTCTCAGTGGAGCTCGCTGCACCTGAGCCCTGCTGCTTCTCAACAGCTAAGTCAAGGTGAAAAGGAAGGGAAGCAAGGGCTTCTGTTTCATGTACACAGCCTTTGTCATCATGGTGCCGTGTGACCAAGTCGGCCTTCCCCTTGTAGCTTCTTCCTCTGTGATGGGAACAACCAGCTTCTCTGGGGCTTGGAAACACACTTATTAAGTGCAGAAGTCTGTGGGCAAAAGTGTTACTTTGAAAGTGATACCCCTGGCTTCCTCCAGCATCGTGTGGCATTAAGACAGGGCCACTGGCTTGGGGCTGGACGCCTGGACACCTGCTTGCTCGGCCTGGCTGTGTGCCTGGACCCATTGCTCCCCAGGGCCTCTGCCCTTTAATATAAGGGACTTGACCAGTGCCCCCCCCCCCCCCCCCCCCCCCCCGTGTAGTGCGTCTGCTCTAAAGGCTGGAGTGGCCACAGGCTGCATTGCGGAATGTGGACCAGATGGACACCTGAGTTTTTACTCAGTTCTTCAGAAGAGCTCAGAGATGAACCCATCCTGCTTCTTGACTATACACTAGATCTCCTGGGAGATCTTGTAAACCACACCACTCCTCAGCCCCATGCGGCCCAACTGATTAAGAATCTGAGGGTGAGGGGTGCCTGGGTGTCTCAGTCATTAAGTGTCTGCCTTCAGCCCAGGTGATAATCCCGGGGTCCTGGGTTCGAGCCCCACATCGGGCTCCCTGCTAGGCAGGAAGCCTGCTTCTCCCTCTCCCACTCCCCCTGCTTGTGTTCCGTCTCTCACTGTGTCTCTCTCTGTCAAATAAATAAAATCTGAAAAAAAAAAAAAAAAAAAAAAGAATCCGAGGGTGAGGTCCCTGCTTAGGTATTGTTTAAAAAATTTCCCCAGGTGATTTGAATGTGCACTGGAGCCCGAAACCACTTAACCCTGCATGACGACAGCCCTCAGCAGGGAGGCCCAGTTCCCGGCTCTGGCCTGTTGGCAGCAGAGCTGGGACTGGAGCTCGAAGCTTGTGAACCCCAATCCTTGAAAAGTACCGAGAAGTGATTGATGGAAATTTTTATATTCCCCATATACGGAAACTTGGGTTTCCTCAACAAAAATCGCTAATCCTAAAGGTAGCGACGGAGGGACATCTTCCCAGGGGGAGGGCAGCTGGACTTATTTTCTGAGAGTCACCTTACCTTTGGTGATCTCACTAATCACAGGTGCTACTATCACGCTGGACAGAGGACCCCTGATTCCCAGCTAAATACGGCCTGGCTAAAAGCTGAGGGACAGCTGATAGGAATCAGCCACGAGAAGTCGTATCTATTAAGAAAATCTGCTCCTGCTTCCGCACACTTGCCTTCTGAGAGGGAGGTTGCTTGCCTCCCTGCTTTAGGTGCAGGTGGAGGACCAACAAGTTCCTGAGGCCCTGGGCAGCTGGTGGAGCTCAGAATCAGAGAGAAAGGCCAGCAGGCAGTGTTTTTTTTTTTTAAGATTTTATTTATTTATTCATGAGAGACAGAGAGACAGAGGCAGAGGGAGAAGCAGGCTCCCCGCGGAGCAGGGAGCCCGATGCGGGACTCAATTCCAGGACCCTGGGATCATGACCTGAGCCGAAGGCAGACGCTTAACCGACTGAGCCACCCAGGCGTCCCAAAAGGCCAGCAGGCAGTGTTAAGGCCCATCCTCTACATTCAAGCTTCTTCTCCGGCTAATCGACACATGGAAGGGCCACCCTGCCTCCAGCACCACACCTCCCACAGCTGTGAGACCTCACCTGGGCCCCTCCTCCCTTTCAGGAATACAGAGCAGAGGGGTGGTTTTGATAGCCTGCTTCAACTTTTCCTAGCTAAGAGGCCCAGGATCCTGTCACAACAGAAAGAACCGCTGGACCTACAGTCAGCAGGTCTGGTTTTGGGTTTTAATTTTTTTTTTTTTTTTAAGATTTTATTTATTTGCGAGAGAGAGAATGAGAGAGAGCATGAGAGGGAGGAGGGTCAGAGGGTGAAGCAGACTCCCTGCTGAGCAGGGAGCCCGATGCGGGACTCGATCCCGGGACTCCAGGATCATGACCTGAGCCGAAGGCAGTCGCTTAACCAACTGAGCCACCCAGGTGCCCTGGTTTTGGGTTTTGAGTGTTTGCTTTACTTGCTACAAGACCTTGGGTTGACCCCTTCATTCCTCTGAACTTGTGGCACCGCAACTTAAAAATAGGGATCTAGGGACGCCGAGGTGGCTCAGTTGGTTAAGCGTCTGCCTTTGGCTCAGGGCCTCAGGTCATGATCCTGGGGTCCTGGGATCAAGCTCCGCGGTGGGCTTCCTGCTCAGCGGGGAGTCTGCTTCTCCCTCTCTCTCTGCTCCTCCCCTCTGCTCTTCCCCGCTGTGCGTGCCCTCTCTCTCTCTCAAATAAATAGATAAGTAAATAAATAATCTTTAAAAAAAATGGGGAGGGGCGCCTGGGTGGCTCAGTCGGTTAAGCGGCTGCCTTCGGCTCAGGTCATGATCCCGGGGTCCTGGGATCGAGCCCCGCATCGGGTTCCCCGCTCGGCGGGAAGCCTGCTTCTCCCTCCCCCACTCCCCCTGCTTGTGTTCTCTCTCTGTCAAATAAATAAATTAAAATACTAAAAAAAAAAAAGGGGGGGATCTAGAACTCTGCCCTGCTTACCTCTCAGAATCAAGACAAAGATCAGCAACATCTTTAAGTTGTGAAGACTGGTTGGGTGGGAGCCTTTATTTTGGGGGGAATTGAGCCTTGGATGGGAGCACAAATACTCAGAAGGACTGATTTTGCAGAGAATTACGCTAATCTGCCCAAACAACTCTGCAGTTGGAAAATGGCTTCAGGGGATCCTTGTTTAGGTCTAGGGCAGATCATCCCTGGTATTTAGGGCTCCCTGAGGGCACACCATGGGGCTGACAGAGGGAGGCCCAGCACAGGCCATGTTCTCTCCTGAGTGGGAGAAGCTGGCCTAGGGCCCATGCCTCCAAAAGGAAGGCTACACATGCCTGTGTTGTTGCTAAGCAAATGTGATGGTCTTCACCACTATCATTTATTGCGCCTGGTACGTGGAAGATGCCCACACATATTCATTGAGTGAACTGATTCCAATATAAGGTAATGCCCATGCTAATCCAATACTCTCTTGAGATCTGCAGCTTGTCAGGGCAGAAGTAATAGATATTACTGAGGATTAAATTAATCGGGGGGAAAAAAGAAATAACTAAGCAAACCTCTCCAATTATAGGATAATACATATATATGTATTGTGGCTAAGGAGTAGGTATTACAGGCATGTATTACACATGCACAACCAAAAGAAATAAGAACATGATTCAATTGCATAAGACTTTACTAGTGACAATGATTTTTTTTTTAAAGATTTTATTTATTTATTTGTCAGAGAGAAAGAGAGAGCACAAGCAGGGGGAGCGGCAGGCAGAGGGAGAAGCCGGCTACCCGCTGAGCAAGGAGCCTGATGTGGGGCTTGATCCCAGGACCCTGGGATCATAACCTGAGCTGAAGGCAGACGCTTAACCGACTGAGCCACCCAGGAGTCCCACTAGTGACAATTATTAATATGTGCCTCGAACCATGCTGGCCACGGCTGCGGGTAGGATAGAGAAAGAAATCACCCACAGTGTGACAATTGGAGTGAAAGACAGGATGGTACCTGGGGGATCAGAAAGGATTGGAGGAGGAGGTGGCATTTGATGCAGGCAGACAAGGGGAACTGGGAGAACAATCCAAGCAGGGAATCACGTGTCAAATGGAAACTCTAGGGCACGTATGATGAAGCCACAAGGGCTCCTGCTTAGCGAGCATTTGCTGTGTAAGTGCTGGGCTAAATGCTCTGCCTACACTACCTCATTTGCTCCTCACGGTTACTCCACGAGGAAGGTATTTTTATTCCCATTGCACATGTGCATTCAGACTGGTCTGACTCCCCCCAGTCCTTGCTCTTCTGTAATCCAGTGCGAATTGAATGAATTGCTCCGAACAAAGATAGGATGAAGATAAATCATGGAACGTTTTGTTTATGGGTTCTCGGGGGCCATTATTTAACATAGAAGCTCGGGTGGGGGGAACAGAAGGAGGAAGAATGAGATTAGAACTGTGTCACTCTGGTGGCCATCGGGAGGGTGGACAAGAGATCAGTTAGGAGGCTGTGGCCATGATCCGGGCTTGGAGGGAGAGACTCAGTGCTGGCCCTCAGGCCTTGCTACTCAGTCATGTGGTCCGGGGGCCAGCAGACTCTGAGTCACGTAGAGATGGTCAGAAATGCACACTGTGAGCCCCGCCCAGACCTACTGAATCAGAGTCTGTGTTTTAACCTGATACCCAGCCAGTTCTAACGCCACTGAAATCTGACCAGCATTTGCCGTAAAGGACAGGAGCTCTGCCTGGCCGTCACACTCCTCCTAGAGGTGCACATCTGTTTTGGATGGTAGATCCCTTTGAGAATCAGAGGAAAGTCAAGGACCCTCACCCCTGAAAAAAGTGCTGATGCATACCAACAGTCGCCTACAACTTCAGGGGAGTTGCAGAGCCCCGAAGAGCAAGAGGACTGCTGCTGGTCTGTAAGGAATCCCTGAATCTTAATTCATTAATAATTTAGTTGGGGAGCCATGGTGAGGAGTTTGCAGTTAAAAAAACTCAAGTCTGAAGTCATGGATTGTCATTTTAGAGACCTCTTCGGAGCCTGGACCAGACTTCCGGCTCCGTGGCCCAGGCCAAGACTCTGTTCCCATCGTCCCCACCCCCCCCCTTGCATTGTTCTCCAAATCCCCTGGTGATCTGAGCAGATACCCTGGAGCAATGAAACCAGGCCCACCCCGGCTTCCTTGAGCTGGATGGGGCCTGCCTGCCTCCTTTTCTTTAGTCCCAGAAAAGCCAAAATTAGCCTCACTTTTGTTTCTTTTCTCAGGGGCCTCTACATTGTATCTCAGGAAAGGATTATTGTGCTCTGGGGACCCTATCTTATCGTGGGGTGTGGGGGAGGTGATGAGTGAGAGGAAAATGGTCTTTGAAAAATTGGTTCGCTGTGGACAATCACGTGACTTTCCAGCACTTGCCCACCACCGCTTCAGTGAGGCATTGTCTCAGCTCCCAGATATTTAGCCAAACAGGAGCCCGGGAAGGTTGGGGAGCGGTCAGAGGCTTGAGAGCCTGATCACGTGGGGAAAAGACTGATTTTGGTGATCCTCTGGCATTATGTTGGGAATGATGATACCCAGGAGGCTCTGGTCCCACAGCTTGAGTTCCTTCTCACTACCTGAGTTCTTTGGAAGGTCACTTAGGGTCACTGCCTGAAGGCAGAGAGGTGGGGTGGGGGAGACCCCTTCCGAGGTATATTCTTTTACCTCTCACAACGAACCCTGCTCAGAAAAACAAAACCATGCCCAGCAAGGCAAGGAGCAAATGTGACTTGAGCTGTCGGAGCTATAAAGGTTTCACACAGAGAGTTCAAGGCCTGACCAGGCATTTGCCCTTGCACGACTTTCCAAACAATTCCTGTGTGTCCAGGGAGAGAGGGTTCCCGCGGACCTCACTCGGGCTTGCTCAGCCTGACATCACGGGACTTTCAGGAGATGAGGCAGTAGCGCGTGACGATGTGTGTTATCGATGGGGAACACTTTTCCCCTGCGCTCATGTGGTCATCTGTTTGATATGCCTGTGGGTGGAGGTGGGCAGACGGGAAGGGAGTGTCCGGTCACCGGCCACAGAAAAGAGCCATGAGGTCATCGGAGCCTGAGGCTTTCCTCGCTGACGGTTGGCAGCAATTGTCCTCCCAGCTTGCGTTCCCAGGGGCTCACCTCCGCTCCCATGGAGGGTTCTGATACTGGGGTTCCTGCTTTGGACATACATATTTCTTCCATCTGAGAATACGCTCCAAAAGCCAGATAGGGGATATATTATTTGGCAAGCGATTTAAAATTGAACTTTGAGAATCCCACTCTTGTTTCCAGCTTCTGATGCCCACATCCTCACTGCTGGATTCTCCCTGGGATGCCACCTGGGCCTCGCACAACTTCCTGCTCAGGCACGACTGAGTAGGCAGCCTTCCACCCACTTTGTCCACACCCTCCTCACGGGTGTGAGTGGCATCTCAATACTCTGCCACTCCCAGACCCACTGAGGCAGCAGGACGTGAGAATGTGTATGGTAAGCAGAACCCCCACCCCCAGATGATTCTGCTGTGCACGGAGTTTGGCGATCAGTGAGTCGGCTGATCTCCAAGGATGGATTTAGCTCCAATATTTTAGGATCAAAGTGTTCTGAGGAATGGCAGCCTCCAGGGAATAAGCACACCGCCATGAGCACAGATGAGTTTTAATAACCATCAGGTGTCGGTCTTCCTATTTCAGTGATTCTCTACCTTGGCTGCATATTAGAATCACATATTAGAATCGTGGGGTTTTTAAAAATTACACATGATGTGATTTCTTTTTTTCTTTTTTAAACATGACATGATTTCGAAGCAGAGATTTTTGCCTCTTTAAGAAGCAAAATAGTGTCTTAGGCTCCCTGGCAGTATCTCCAGCAGAAAGGTACCTGTTGGACACCTGGTGATCTCTTGGGGAATCTCCCTAATGAGGGTGAATTGCTTGGTGCCACAGAGAACAGACAGCCTTCTGAACAAAATGGGGTGTGGGGACCCCAGGACTCCCCCGGATAACTTCCTTTGAAAGAGTAGCCTCGAGGCACCTGGGTGGCACAGTCAGTTAAGCAACAGACTCTTGATTTCAGCTCAGGTCGTGATCTCAGGGCGATGAGATCAAGCCCCACGTTGGGCTCCACGCTCAGCATGGAGTCTGCTTGAGATTCTCTCCCTCTGCCCCTCGTGCTCGTGCTCTCTCTCTAATAAATAAATAAATCTTTATATATATTTTAAAGATTTTATTTTATTTACTTGTTGGAGAGAGAGGGAGAGAGAGCACAAGCAGGGGGGAGCCTCAGGCAGAGGGAGAACAGGCTCCCTGCTTAGCAGGGAGCCCGATGCGGGGCTCGATCCTAGGACCCTGGGATCATGACCTGAGCTGAAGGTAGACGCCCAGCCAACTGAGCCACCCAGGTGCCCCTAAATAAATCTTTAAAAAAACAAAACAAAACAAGAAAAAAAGAGTAGCCTCATTGGGGAAGGGGATAGGCTCAGACCGTTAGAGTCCAGGTGGGTCACAGGAAAGCTATGGGTGCAGGGTGGGTCCCCGCGGGGAAGAGGGTGGGAGAATGGGGAATCTGGTTTCGCCAGCTGGAGGGGCTGGATCCGGGTCTGACTCGGCTCTGCGCAGCCAGCCGGTCTCCTGGGAGGAGGCTATGTGGTGAACTGCTACACTGGGAGACCAAGTCAGGGTACCCTCAGCCACGGGCAGCAGAGGGGGAGGCAGCTGTCCCCCCTTGAAGGGCCACAGTTGGACCTGAAAGGCTGCTGGGAGTCCGGCGGGGGGGGGGGGGGGGGGGGGGCGAGCACCGGCTGAGAAGTGAGAGGATCGGTGTCCAACAGTGACACCACGAGGCTGCGAGAGGTCACGGCAGAAGTCACGGTAACTGCTAACGTTTCTTTGGTGGTGTTTGCCCCGCGTTGATCTCAGAGGCTTGCGCTTATTCATTCATTTAATAATATCCAGTAACAGTTCCGGGAGGGAGTCACGACCACCCCTATTGTACAGAGAAAGAAACTGAGGCACGGTGGTTCTACGGAGAGTAGCTGCCAGGCTGCCAACCAGAGAATCTGGCTCCAGAGCCCACTGCCCTAACTGCAGGGCAGCGATCATCACTGAGCACTCACCGTGTGCTTCTTACGTTCTCTGAGCTCCTTTAGCCTAGCTTATGAGGGAAGAACTGTTTTTATTCCCATTTCACAGATGAGGAAAGTGAGGCATAGGGAAGATAAGTAGTGGACAGTTCATCGCCCATCCTCTCCCCTCCAGGAATGGAGGCCGGACTAGTGCCCCCTGACCCCATCACAGCCCCTTCACTTTTTGGACCAGCGAAGGCTTCGGGGTTCTCAGCAACCCCAAGCGAGGTGGAAATCTTTCCTAAGGTTTGCTGGGCTTCCCGCAAGAAAACGTGTGCAGTCTTCAGGGAGAGACTGGAAAAACAAAGTGGGTGTGACAGTATTTCCACCTCAGATTTGTGAGAGCGGACCGTACCAATCCCAGGGGGCCTGAATCGGAAGATATGAAAGGTGGGGCCAGGAAACCTGAATTAAAAAAACCAAAACCAAACCCCAGGTGATTCTGGTGCATGGCCAGGGTTGAGAATTCCTGCCTTGATTTCATAGTAATATTTTACAGCCCCCAGGAACAGCCACCAGTGATTCCAAGACCTGTTGCCAGCTTTCAGATCGTCTTGCTTAGAAAAAAGCTGCCTGTAGAAGCAGACCAGAGGAAGGAGCTGGTGAAGGCCTGGGGAGCAGGGAAGCAAAGTCCATGGTGCTCGAGATGCATCCACACGCTTGTTCATGTTTACCCCTTGTCTTCTCTGTGTGGAAAATCATTATGTGTCCTTCAAACACAGGCTCAAATGTCTGATTCTTGGTGAACACTTCCCCTGTCTGGCCTCCACTCTTCCAGCCTTGCCCCGGCCAAAGGACTGCCACCCTGTGAGCCCACAGCACAAACCTCCCTGAGACCCCTGCTCACCTCATCCTGTCCCGGCTCTAGGTTCTCCAGCACCAGGCAGGACACCCAGTCTCCAGTGCATGGAATTCGAGCACTCCCCCCAGCCCAGCAGGTTATCTGGGACATAGAACCTCTCAGAAAGTGCTAGCTGAGGGAACACAAGGGAAGGAAGAAGGGCAGAGTAAAGACAGGAGATAGGGAAGACTAAAAGAGCCATAGGGGTCACCATGTAGGAACGACAGCTAGTGAAATCTGATATAGTGCTGATCCCTTGAGCACATGTGACCTTTGCTCTGACCCATGGGACAGCCACTCCAGGCACTTACCTGGTCACCCCAGAACTGGGAACAGAGTACACAGACAGAGGGGAGTACATTTATGATTTCACCAGGAATCTCATCCTACGTCTGTGGATGCTTATAACAACTCTATGCGGTAAGTAGGGTAAATGTTAATAATGTCACTTTACAGCTGAGAAGAGCTAAGAAACATGTCCAAGGTCGCATGGCTAGTGAGCAGAGGACAAGTTAATGCAAATTCATTGCTAGACAAAAGTAGCTCAGATTCTGAAGTTTGGAAGAACCCTGGCTTATCACCTGATCTTTCTTGCCCAAAGCCTCTTCGAGAGCGGGGTGGTGGAGCTGGGCTGGAGTCACTCCGGTGTCCGGGAGCTCGGCGCATACACCTCCTCACTCAGCTCAGTCCTCTCCCCCCTGAAGACCAGTCCGAGGCACTGTTCCCCTTCCGCTCTCCCAGTTCTGCCCTACCGCACCTGAGAAGCCAAAGCCCACATCTCGGACTGAGAGGAGGCCCCGCTTGCCCTCCCGGGCAGCACCCCGACCCAGTGTCAGCTCCGAGGCTCTCTTGCTCCTCACTTGGCACAACACTTGTCTGTGGGGATCTATTTTCTGGTGAAGGTGTATCAAAGGGGTGACATCTTCTGCCATTCTTGGTTTGCTCAGGAGAGAGGGAGCATCTCAAAGTATCTCAATTCGGCCTCCTCAGCAGTTTAAAGGTGCTTTACTCATACAATCTCACAATAAAAATGCAGTCAAGGCTTAAAAGACATCCAGGTGAGTTGGACCCGGAAAGGGGGGAGAGCTACAAAACAAATTGCTTCACGCCTACAAAGTCATGATGATAACGGATACTTCACTGGCCCGGAGGGGCTGAAAAGGCCATTCACGGTTGGTTTTCAGTGTTGGCAGCCCACCCATGAGGCAGGTGGGAGAGGAGTGAACTTTCTTAGGGACAAGAAAATCGGGAATCAGTCTCACAGCTGGGGAGTGGTGGGACCAGGACGTGCCCGCAGGCCTTCTGCGTCCAAGGTCAATGACTTTGCCCCGTGGCAGGCCAGGGCGAGCCCTCTTGGCGACCTCCCAGGCGCCGCCAGCGCCGGGCGCTCAGGACCTCGAGCAGGCTGCTCCCGCTGGGAGCCGTGGCAGCACTTCTGAGCCTGGCCCTTTATTGTGTACTATCTTATCTCAATAGGAAAAGGCAATTCAGGGGAAGAATTTCCTCGTCACGGTGCTCAGGGCTTTCCATTGTCCAGCTTTCTTAGCCCCGGTTCATCCCCTGGGGCTGACCATTACTCATATCCCTGGAGGCGCCTTATCAGGGCTGTCGAAGATACAGGACCTATTTTTTTCTCAGGACCAGACAAACTGGAATCTGTCCATCCTTTGTGTCCTGACATCATCCCACAGTTGGCCGGCTCTGACTCTAGCCACACCGGGAAGCTGCTTGAAAAGCAGTCCCTAGTAATCTGGTTGGTTGCTTCGAAAAGCCTTGAGGCTTCAGGATCCTCCACTGGCAAGTGGGCCGGACAGCTGGACAGCCGGACAGCCGTCTCTTGGTGGGGGTGACCGTGAGAGGCTTTACTCCTGTGTCCTCCCCAACACCCGCCCAACTTTTGATGCGGGAAGACTTCAAACCTACAGAAAAGTTGAAAAAATCATACAACGAACATACATACTGTTCACCTCTATTCACTCGTTGTTCATTTTGTCTCATTTACTTTAGCTCTTTCTTTCCATATACATGTACACCTTAAAAATAAATACTCCTCAGCCCCCTCAAGCCATTGAAAAGTTGCTGAATCATGATGCTTCTCTCCTAAAGAGTTTGGCATGTATATCCTAAGACTAGGGCATTCTCCTATACAACCAGAATGGTATTATCCCTCTCAAAAAATGAAACAATGTTAGTTAATATCCCGTACACATTGAAATTTCAATTATCCCAATAATGCCACATCGCAGCCTATCCCTCCCTTTAGATTCCTTCATACCAGAACAGTTCTCTAGTGTTTATTTTTTTGTCTTTCATGACGCTGACATTTCAAAAAATCCAAGCTAGTTGTTTTGTAGCATGCCCCACAATTGGGATTTGTCCAATTGTTTCCTCAAAAGTAGATTCCAATCACAATATTTGGCAAGAATATTTTATAGGTGGTGTTGTATCCTGCTCAGGATATTACATCAGGAGGGACGTGATGTCAATTTGTCTCATTCTGGTGATGTGAATGTGATTATTCTGTCAAGGCGATATCCTCCAGATTTCACTATTGTAAAGAAACCCATTTCCGTTTGTAATTAACAAAGTAATTTGGGGGGTGATATTTGAGACCCTGTGAATATTCCCAATAACCTTCAACCCGGTGCTTTTAGCAACTATTGAAGTCCTTGCCTAACAATTATTATTATGGTGGATCACTTTGTTTTTACCTAAATAAAAAAAAAAACCAAACATACTCACTATAGAAAAGGCATAAAATACTGAAAAGTAAAAAGGAAATAGAATTTCTACATACACACAGAGAGCAAGATAAAAACGCATGCACAATACACAGTGCAGTTACGTATGAATTTCCTCCTTTTCTAATGTTTATGCAGAATTTATTTGGGGGAGCAGATAAGTATTTATAACTTTCTTTACTTTGTCTAATTATATAATAGATATATACTAACTGAAAAAGTGTAGAAAGCATTAAAAGTATAAAATTCATAAACATACCCATGACAAGGTTACTTATACATTTTTTTAAAAGATTTTATTCATTTATCAGACAGAGAGAGCACAAGCAAGGGGAGCGGCAGATAGAAGGAGAAGCAGGCTCCCTGCTGAGCAAGGAGCCCGATGCAGGGACTCAATCCCAGGACCCCGGGATCATGACCTGAGCCAAAGGCAGCCGCTTAACAGGCTGAGCCACCCAGGCATCCCTACTTTTTTTTTTTTCATATGCCTCTTTTCTTATTTATATTAAGAACTCTAAAAACGTTCTGTCCTTTTAATTTTCCTGTCCTGCTTTTAAATAACAACGTGGCTGTCATATTCTCCCAGGGGCTCTCTCCTGCTTATTTTCCCCGTTTGGGAGTCGTTATTATCTGGTCTCCCATTACCTTTATCTGGTCTTGGAGGACGTACTTGGCAATGTACTGGAACTGCATCATCTGCTTGAGCCATGGGGTTTCTCTTGAAACAAAGGTGTTTATGCTGCAAACTTCAAAGGAAAGGGAATTTAGGGGGAGATATTTTTTAGTTGGGGGGATGTATTTAACAGCTTCCACAGTCAAGTAGCTACTACTTGAATCCACATAATCCCTTTATAACGGAAAGACAGAATGACTGATAAGGCTCTTCTGATCCTATTAGTAAACAATGTTCTTAAAATAATTGCTAATAAAATAAAATGAAATCATCACTAATAGTGGCACACTCTCTGGTGTTCTACTTTTGTTACTTGAAATTGTCTTTTGTAGATTTTTTTAAACCATGTTAGAACTGGGAATTCATGTTGTGAGAATGAGCAAGCCACTGAACTAGATGATTTCAAGGTAATTCAGGTCTAATACTCCAGCTATGGTTCTATAATCTTTTAGGTTTTTTTTTTTTAAAATCTTTTAGATTTAATGGTAAAATATCATTGCTTCCTTAAAGTATAATGTCTAATCTTTCCCAACAGTGGGGTATGGGGACTTAACCACATTTTTTTTTTTCCTGTTCTAAAAAGTTTTATGAGAACACCTCATGCAGATAGATCAGTTGTTTTTTTTTTTTAAGGCTCTGATTGTCTTTTTTTTTTTTTTAAGATTTTATTTATTTATTTGAGAGAGAGAGAGAAACAGCATGAGAGGGGAGAGGGTCAGAGGGAGAAGCAGGCTCCCTGCTGAGCCAGGAGCCCGATGTGGGACTCGATCCCAGGACCCTGGGATCATGACCTGAGCCGAAGGCAGTCACTTAACCCACTGAGCCACCCAGGAGCCCAGATAGATCAGTTTTAAAGCAATTTCCTTAGGGCAGTGTTTCTCAAAGGGTGGTCCTGGGTCATCTGTAACAGAATCAATCACTTGAGGAGCTTGGTAAAGATTGCTAGGCCTTGCCCAGATCTAGGAAATCACCGAGGGGTCGAGCCCAAGAGCCTATATTTGAACAGGTATCACACAAATCAGAGCTTTGGGATAGACATATTCACAAAGTGCAATTACTAGTCAGAGGGAAAGGCCTATGGAATAGCTCTTTTATGGCCAGGCTATCTCTGGTAAAGGCTGCAGTGGATGAGGGCCCTTTGTCCAGTTGTGGGTGTCCAAAATCCCTCAAACTTGCACTGGAGATGCTCCAAGTACTAAGACACCTGCAGGAAGAAAGGTTAACAGGGGCGCCTGGGTGGCTCACTCGGTTAAGTGTCTGCCTTCAGCTCAGGTCATGATCCCAGGGCCCTGGGATCAAGTCCCACCTCGGCTCCCTGCTCAGTGGGGAACCTGCTTCTCCCTCTCACTCTGCCTGCCGCTCCCCCTGCTTGTGCTTGTGCTCTCTGTCAAACAAATAAATAAAAAAATCTTAAAAAAAAAAGGTTAACAGGATGAAGGGTAAGGTCAAGTCCAGAGTAGAGGAGTGGAACTTGCCAGGCTGCCTTGAAGGAATATGTGAATTGGACCAGGCTGGATTCAGAAGCTGCAAGCTAGTTTAGGAATCACCATGTAACCAACAGGGCTCTGGCACTGGAGGATCCCACAGCAACCTGCAGGATGTGAAGACAGTTTTTTTTTTTTTTTAAGATTTTATTTATTTATTTGACAGAGAGAGAGTACAAGCAGGCAGAGAGGCAGGCAGAGGGAAAGGGAGAAGCAGGCTCTCCGCTGAGCAGGGAGCCCAATGCGGGGCTCGATCCCAGGACCCTGGGATCATGACCTGAGCCAAAGACAGACGCTTAACGACTGAGCCACCCAGGCGCCCCGTGAAGACAGTTCTTAATACATAGTTCTCAACACACAGGTGGAGCTGCTCTGCCTCATTAGCCCGTACTTTAGGGAAGCTGGAGATAGTCCAGCTAAGAGAAAAAAGTATACTCTTAGAACTTGAGAGCCAAAAAGCATGTTTGAAATCAAACCTAGTGAGAAAACTACTAGAACAAGCAAGTTAAAACTGGTAGAAAGAGGAAGGAAGGGGGGAGGGAGAGAAAGAGAGAGAGGAGAGAAGGAAAAAGAAGAGAGAGAAAAAAAGGATGGTTGCTTGAGAAGCAGGGCTGTTGAGGGCGGAGGGGAGGAGCAGGGCACTGCTGTTTTTCTTCATAAACGTTTTGCTACAACCTGATTCCTAAAAAACCCAAAAAACAAACCATTACCCTCACTATCTTTATTTTTTAAAAATGTGTATTTAAAAGCAAAGACGAGAGTGATTTACAGTACACCACAGAGGAGGTCAAGTGGTCTAACCATGTCAGGCAAGGGAACATCATCTCAGCACGACCCCCGCGGCACACCAGCAGCCCCGGCTCGGCCGCTCTCCTGACCCCCGCGCGCCCGCGGCGAGGCGGGAACGCGCGCGCGGCGGGACTCGCGGGAGGCGGTGGCTGTGGAGTGCGCACGCGCTGAGCCGCGCGGTGCCGCTCTTCCCGGAAGTGTCCGGGCGGCGGTTTGAGCGGACCGCGGGACTGCGGGGCTCGGCAGCTTCTCGGGAAAGAGGTCGGCCGGATTCAGTTCTGATCGGGCCAGCAGGGCTTGAAGGGGGGCAAGCGCCCCTGACCCCCACAGGGACTGAGCCCTGCTGCAATCGCAGCTGCAGACCCTGAGGACCCCGGGAGAGAAGAGCAGGGCCCTCTGCCGCCAGTGCCGGCGGCTGGTGAAAATTTCCGGTGGAATCGGGAGAGTATGACGCGTGCTCCAAGCAACAGATTAGTTTGGAGTGAATCTGAAGGCACTTAAAAGTTAACGCGCTGTTGAGGTGTCCAACCCAGAAGCAGCAGCCCAGGATGCCTGGTGCCTTGTTTGGCTTTATGAGTTTGGTAAGGAAAAAGCAAAGCAGATGTTCTCCAAATCATTCGATTTAGCACCATTTCTTGAACTTCTTTCTTGTTTAAGAACGCCCCTCTCACCTGATGGTGACCTTTGGATCAATACCAGATAGGAGTGTAAACTTGAAGAGATCTTTGTCAGCATTGCGCTGTATCTTGGCTTGTTTCAGGGCAGAGCCTGCTCTGCCAAAGCATCGACCTGAACGTTGGGGGAAAAAAAGCAATGTAAAGTCGGAGAGAGTAGAGCAATGCCCGCATAGTTGGAAAATGCGGAGAATGATCAAGTAGGCACAGAAAAAGAAGTGGAGACAATCTTGAAAGTATTCTGAAGTCAGTCTTGAGACACTCCTAGGACATCTCTATCCTTTTCCTCAGTCGATACAGATCCTTTTTCTCGCACTGTGGAAAATATTTTTCATGTATCCTTCAATATAAGAGATGGTTAAGCAAGAATGAGACTTGACCAAAATAAACTGCCAATAATAGAGCCTCTTAATAAACTAAATGAATTCACCAAAATGCCCAAGTTTGGAAAGAAGGTGGTGTATAGTTTTTGGTTTTTCAGTACTGGAAGGAATCTGCAAAATTTTTAAAGGTCAAATGCTATGATCCCTTCTTGTTACAAAGACAAATTTTATCTTAATTGGATAGCAAAATCCAAACAGAAGTATATATGATATATTGAATCCTATTTTCAAAGTAAATCTGAAATGTCTTAATAGAGTTTATAAAGATGTCTGTCTTCTCTGGGAAACAAATTCACCGGCACATTCATAAAAGGGAAGAAAGAAATCTGGCCTAACTTTCATTTTACAGATGAGGAAACTGTGACCCGGAAAGCAAAATGACTTGACAAGGATCACACTGAATCAGATCTGGGAGCTAGAGCCCAGCCATGCGCCTTGGCTGAGTACCTCTTCTTACTCTGTAGGAGCTCATACCCCATGGTAACAAACATGATGTTGAGTGTGGCATCAGGTGCTGCTCACAGATCTCTTCAGCATACTGAAGTGCTGGCAGGAGATACGGAGATCGTGGTTCTTTTGGATCTAGACAGGATTTTAAGAAAGTCTTAGTGATCAGAACTCTCCCTAAAGGATACAGACTTTGGAATATAAAAGAGTGAAATCTTTTTTTTTTTTTTTTTTTTTGGAAGAGCTTAAGTGGGGGCTAATCATTTATAAGGATTGTCGAGGGGATTCAAACCTCTGAAGACCGTTCTATTTGTGGGTCTGATATTTTTGGTTACTAACAGCCTTTCAGCACATAAGCGGCCAGGAAGTATAGAGAGAAAGGAAACTAAATCCCTTTCAAGGTCTACTTTGAGAGTCAGGCGTTGTGTGTTATGCAGTTCATGGCTGTTGATTTACTTAGTCTTCACAACAAGCTCTGTAGATAGGGATTCTATTTACCTCGGTTCATAAAGGTTAGGTAACATGCTCCAAGCCATGCAGATAATAGGCAGCACAACTGAGGCCCTAGTATGCCGTCACTCACATCCAGATGAGCAGGCAGGAGATGGTTACAGTTTGTTTCCCAGCCTCTCCCCTTATAGGTACCCCCTTCACCGTGACTCTTCAGGGCTAGTAACTCCCGTTATCCTCCTGGTCTGACAGGGATGAAGCTGCAGTGGAGGCCCAGGACAGGGACTCTCCGACTAGGAGAAAGGCATTTTGATTGGCACCTCTTTACAAAGGCTCCAGCGTTCCAGAGCTTTGCATAACAGGCAGATTCTTATTGAACAAGGAGGCCAAAGTTGGCTTCCAGAATTTTCAGTTTAATAGTTCACTCTGGCTGAAGAGACTGGGATTCAGCTTTGAGACAAGACTGGACCACAACATGGGGAACTGGTTTGTGAAGGAAGGCTGGGACGATGGGAACTAGGGAGTCAGACAACCTCTGGGACTCAGGTAGTTTGTGCTGCTCAAATCAGTGAGACTGTTTGATGTTCTTGGGTCAATGGCCATTTCCATCAGGACCCAGCCAATTTCTGGTGCCCTCGGGAGCATGGGCCAGCCTCCCCTTGAGAGAGGGAGGATATGCAAAAGGTAAACTCCAGAGATGGTATCCTATCCTAGTGCCTTCTTGCCTTTCTAAAGATGAGCCCTCCTGCCCTGCCGTTATCACTCCAATTAAATACGTTCTCCATATTCATACTGCGCCCATGACTACATTTCTGCTTCCTGAAAAGCCATGGCCTACCAGAGTCATGTCAGTCACCTTCCTACTCTGGTATCGGTCATGGCTACCAAGTATTAAGTGCCCACTCCCTTGCCTCCACGGTCTGATGCTTTGCCAGCCTCTTTACCGTCTAGCCCAGACTGCACCATCCATCCCGGCCACATCAGACTCCTCCTTCCTGGACTGGATTCCATCCTTCCCTGTGTCCAATCCTCTGTATGATTTCATCTGGAATGTGCTCTCTACCCCATCCCCCACTCAACTCTTCATCTTTTCTCTAAGAACAGCTTCCGTGGTTAAGATCACAAAGCAAAACTGGCTTGGGGCGCCTGGGTGGCTCAGTCATTAAGCGTCTGCCTTCGGCTCAGGTCATGGTCCCAGGGTCCTGGGATCGAGCCCGGCATCAGACTCCCTGCTCCACGGGAAGCCTGCTTCTCCCTCTCCCACTGTGTGTCTCTCTCTGTCAAATAAATAAATAAAATCTTTAAAAAAAAAAAGCAAAACTGACTTTAGCAAACTCCATTACAAGACACCCAGGGATCAAAGCAATTGGATAAAGGGGATAAATAGGGTGGCTTTAAGTTCACTTCTAGCTCAGAGGCACTCAAAAGATTAAGATCTCCACAGAGATCTGTGGAACCCACCTGCTTCCCTGAGGCTCCCCCTTCTTCATGCTGCTGGGATTTGCACTACCCCTTTGGAGAAACTGGGCAATTGCAACTGAGTCACACAGGCTCCAAGCGGCCAGCCAGGAGCAGAGCTGTGTGTCCTCATGTCTCTCAGTTGCCCTCAGGGCTGGCTTTTGTGGCTGTGCTGGGATTCAGACATCTCTGCTCCACAGTGAGATGCTTCAACTCAATCATGATTTATTCACTCCAGTGTTCCTCCCACCTCGGCCCCATTCCCTCCACCCTTCCCCTCTCCCGTGATCACAGTATCAAAATAATCCTAAAATGAGATGGCTGTGCTTGAACTTAACACCTCCCACGGTGCCTCTTACCCTCTGCCTGCTTTCATGTTAGCTCCTGAAGCAGACTGTCCCCGTCACCTGCAAATCCTGCCCAGCACATACCCTGGCGGGTTGGAGCAAGTCCTGATACCTAGAGCAATTAACTTTTCTTGCCCTTTCAACACCTGTGATCTCACAAATTTCTGGTTGACCAAGCAGTCCCACCTCCAACTTCTAGCAGAAAACTCAAGTGGCTGACTGGGAGGGCAGGAGCCAGGTCCCATGAGTACTGGTGACCGTGTCCTGTATCTCCCGCATATGGGCCCACCCCTCTCATCTCCTGGGCTTATCCAGGTCTTGCAGAATGGGGCTCTACGGAGATCCAAACACATGAGCTACTTGTTAGACAAATTCCTTCCTGGCACCTAGCAGATATTCAGGGTATGGTTGAATCTGAAGGGAAAAGGAAGAGAGGGCCCAATGCCCTTTAGATGAAGGTTTCTACTTCAAGAGTGCTCTGGGAACTTCTGATCAGAATAAACTCTGCGCATGTCCAGGTCTGTCCACGGGACCCAGAGTCTTCACTCCGTTCTGAGCCACGATGCAGAGCAGCCAAGCTCAGTGACAGCACCTGGTTCCTCACTTTCATGCGCCGCCCCTGCGGCAGCTGAGATTCCTGCCATGCATGTCACTGCAGGATGTTCCCTGCTCAGTGCCTGACAAATGCTCGACTGGGGGCTCTGAGGTGTTCCTCATCAGACGTCAGGGCCACTGGGCCCATGGAGCTCCTATGCACCTGGGATCTGAGCATCTCCATGTTGTCTTTGTTCCCTTCAAGGTTTATGTCTTCAGGGTCCCACTGTGGAGAAAAGACACAAATGGTACCTGGATGGAACAGACACTTCCCATCTCTTACAAAGCCACCCCTCCCCTCCCCGCCGCTAACAACAGCTTCCAGTCCTGGTTCTCATGACCCAGGCACAGACCAAGAGAAACAGTAAGGGCAGGTTAATCAGGCCTGCATTTCTAGGACCTCATGAGACATGTTTAACTTTAGAGCAAGGAGTTAATGGACAACGACCTGGAACGGACCAGCCCCACTTCCCCCCTTTTCCATCTTTACTCTAGTGAGAACGAGTCATTTTATCCCGAGAATGCCCACCTCCATGCCTAAGTCATTCCTGGAATAGACCAGGCAAATTCAACCCATTCTTTATGGCCCAGGTAAGTACCTCCTCTTCCAGGAAGCCTACTCTGACTGCTTTCACTCATTGAGCTCTCACACCCTTCTTTCTTTGTTCTGCCCATACCATTCATTTACAGCTGAACATGGGCACCGCCTTGTCCTTTCAGGTAGACACTGAGCTCCTTAAGAGCAGGGCACTGGCCTGCCCCTCCTCCCCACCATGCCATTTCCTCTAAACTCGAGGCACAGCAGACTTGTCCAAAACAAACAGTTAAAACTTAATTGAGAATGGTGGTCACTGCAGTGAATATTTTATTATTCTGACTCATACAAGTATGGGAAAGGTTAGGTGTAAAAGGTTGAAAAAAGAGAAGCAGTCACATACGCATTGATGACACCATTTGCGAAGCCCTCCTATTGTTCTCATATGACCAATGAGAGAGAGAACTTTGCACATGGCCAAGAGCAGGGACTTCTTGGTGAGTCCAGCCACGGAGGCAAGTGGGGGTTGGACTCAAGTCCTCCTTCTGCCACTAACTTGCTTTCTCTTCTTTGGCCCTCAGTTTCTCCAGGGGTAAGCTAGGGTGTTGGATCAGCAACTAAATATGACCTCTTTAAATTCTGAGTTTCTATGACTGATAACTCGGATGACAAGGTCACATTTAACAGTATCAAGAGACCCAGGAAATAACAGGAAAAGACGTGTCCACCTGGGCCAGATGACCTATCCAGGCAAGGAGACAGGCAGTCGTGGTATGAACTCCAACAAAAACACGCCGCTGGCGGCTCAAACTTAAGCTCAATCCAACAGTCCAGTCTTAGGGGTTCCAGATAAGGTCTGCAGGGCTCCCTGAGCCACTGAGAGAAATGCCCACACCATGCCAGTTATAAAATACAAAATGTGGCTTTGTTTTGAATAGAAAGGAAGAGCCCAATTCAATTAGTGATTTACCGATAATGGAGTTCTACTACTTGGTGACTAAAAAGAGCGTCATGTTAAAAATGCCACCCCCTCCCCAGTAACCCTGCAGGCCAGGGACTAAGCTGATCCGGTTGGTGCAGCTTGGCCCCCCGCACCTTTTGGGGGCTGTGGCAGCCCCTTCCGATGCTAACTTATCTACATGTGGTTGCAGACTTGGCGGGGATAACAAGCAAAGCCCCAGTCAAAGAGCTCCCCGGCCCTTCAGCCTCCATGGCCCAGCTGCCCAGTAGTGGAAGTAGGGGCCTGTTCCATTTTTTGAGGATGGACAGTATACTTTTCGATGAATGCTGATTTCAGGCTGAGGCCCATGTTCCAGATCACAGCTCTCAGAGTGGGCTGTGGATCAACCTCACCCAAAGCGCCCAAGGTGCTCATTAAAAAAGACGGATGCCGGGTGCCTGGGTGGCTCAGTTGGTTAGGCGACTGCCTTCGGCTCGGGTCATGATCCTGGAGTCCCGGGATCGAGTCCCGCATCGGGCTCCCTGCTCGGCAGGGAGTCTGCTTCTCCCTCTGACCCTCCTCCCTCTCATGTTCTCTGTCTCTCATTCTGTCTCAAATAAATAAATAAAATCTTTGAAGAAAAAAAAAAAAAGACGGATGCCGAGCACCCACCCTCGACCCTCTCTGGTTTGGGAACCTAAGGTTTGACATTTTAACAAGCGCCTAGGGTGATTTCTAGCCGCCGCGATATTTCAGAATCACTGCTCCAGCTCCCGAAAGCGCTTCTTAAGAGTTGTTCTTGCTACTCCTGACCAACTCAGCTGCTGCCAAACAGCCGGCATCTTCGATCGAGTGCGCTCTTTGAAGTGGGTTAAGCTTATGAAAACATTTTAAATCTCTTCCTTCTGAATCCCCAGAATACTGCGTTTTGAAACCTCATCTTAAGCAACAAAAACATTGCTGGAATCCAGGCATAAAGTAAATCTGAGCAAAAGATGATCTCCGCTCTTACCAGAAAGAATCCTGGGAGATGACAGGCACAGGTGGTTGGCATAAAGCAAGCTCAGCTCTCCCCTGCAGGCCAGTGGCCCAGGGTCCCAGAATAACAGTGTGGGGGGATACAGCTACCCCCAGCACCATCACCACCGCCAACCTGCAGCTACTTGGCTTGTCCCTGGGCTTTTGCTCCAAACCATGCTTCTCCTTGGGTTACACATCTTCTGAGTCCCTACCAGATGGTTGGGCAGAGCAGAAAGAACTCTGAACTGAGAGAGGGTGGAAAATCCCGAGCCTCAGACTCCCCTCTCATTTTCATTCTTTTTTTTTTTTACCGAAAGGAACATAGCATGGGCCCGGCCATCCAAGGAGGGCTCACAAAAACAGCAAATGGAATCAAGCCACAGGGACGTCCCTTCTGGAATAGAGAGAGTATGATTGTCCATACCTGCTCCGAGTTTAGGGCTTCCCAATACTTCTGCTGCAGAATAAAAAGAGAGATGGAAACAAGTGTTGGCTAGATTTTGCCGGCATCACAGAGCAGAGCGGAGCAGAGCTTAGCACCAGCCCAGTGAGCGAGGCGGCAGGGCCCTTCAGTGATCTGGGGGCAGAGGAGAAGCTGACTTCGGCAAGCAGAAAGGCAGCAGCCACTGGTGGCTACAATTTAGCTAAATGATCAATAGGATAATTGTGATAATTAGGAAAGGCTGCAGGTCTTTGGAAAAATTACAATCTATGCAAGATTTTAAAATTACTATTATCAGAAATTATTATTATTATTATCAGGCATAATAATAAATCTTCCATTTATTAACCACATGGCTGAGATGAGTCAACTCAAACCCATAAAACTAGGAGAGATGCAAATAAAATCCCCTTGAAAATACAGGGTATTTGCTACCAGCCAAGATTCATTTTTAATTAGCCTTTACTGCATGGGTGGTTCCACCCTAAGGCTCAAATATGTCTGATTCAGGTTCTTGAAGGGTGCATGATGGTCTGCTCTTGTTTGTTTGGCAGCTCACGCAGTGCCTGGGAGATGTGTGTTTCTGACATAGAGCTGTGAATCTACAGATGTCTGGTACACTGATCTGTCAGGGTCTGTCGAATTGAATAACTGCTGATCCACACAGTCCACAGGATTTGGTGTTGTCACATTAGAACAAAGCCTCTACTGTTCAATTCTTTTAAATTTCCATTAAAAAAAACTTTTTAGGGGTGACTGGGTGGCTCAGTCGTTAAGTGTCTGTCTTCAGCTCAGGTCATGATCCCAGGGTCCTGGGATCGAGCCCCGCATCGGGCTCCCTGCTCAGCGGGGGAACCTGCTTCTCCCTCTGCCTGCCGCTCCCCCCGCTTGTGCTCTCTCTCTCTCTGACAAATAAAATCTTAAAAAAATTTTTTTTAATTTAAATTATTTTTAAAATTATTATTTTTTAAATTAAAGGTCCTACGCTTTTTAAAAAAGTAATCTCTATGCCCAATGCGGGGCTCCAACTCACAACTCGGAGATCAAGAGTTGTGTGCTCTATTGACTGAGCCAGCCAGGCGCCCCTTAAATTTCCATTTTAAACAACTTTTTAATTGTAGATTTTCAACCATACACCAATAAAAGAACATCTAATGAACACCCATGGACACACCCTGTTTTATTTATTTATTTATTTTTTAAGATTTTATTTATTGAGAGAGAGAATGAGAGAGAGCATGAGGGGGGGAGGGTCAGAGGGAGAAGCAGACTCCTTGCCGAGCAGGGAGCCCGATGCGGGACTCGATCTCGGGACTCCAGGATCATGACCTGAGCTGAAGGCAGCTGCCCAACCAACTGAGCCACCCAGGCGCCCCCCTGTTTTATTTGATCTAGCTCCCTCAATTTTTTTATTTGTTTAAATATTTTAAAATAAATAATCTCATCTGTAAATATTTCAGCACGCCTCTCATAAATAAGGGCATTAAAAAAAAAACCCAACTAAGAACAGTGCATTATTAGACCCAACAAAATTAGTGATAATTCCATAGTATTCATCTTTTAATGACATCCTGCTGTGGGAGGGAGACATAAACTGGAAAAAAAAAACCCACAGAATTGAAAATAAAAACAGGATTAATTGGAAAAGATATGAAATTACTGAAATGATAGTTCTACACACTGCAAATGACAGAGATGTTGGGAGGACGTAGGGGTTGAAAAGTGAAACAACTTTTACAAATGAAACAGAAATAAAAAGAGAGATGAAAGAAAAGTTGCTTAAATTTTACCTTTCTTTAGAAAATACAGATGGTCATGCAAAATAGCAGTAGTAATCTGATGTTACCACAGTGAGTGGCTGTATTTGTTAAAAAAAATTATTAAATGCAGTGTGACATACTGGAAGAGAAAAAGAATATTAATGGAAAAACTGGTGACATCCAAATAAAGTCTATAGTTTAGTTAATAGTAATGTACTAGTGTTAATTTCTCAGTTTTGCCAGAAGCATTCTCGTGTAAGATGTTAACATTACAAGAAACTGGGCAAAGGCACACAGGAACTTTCTGTACTACTTTTGCAACTTTTCTGTAAATCTCAAATTATTCCAAAATTTAAAAAGTTTATTTAAAACCGAGCAAACAAACAGGCCCAAGAGTCCTCCAACTGGATTGATAAGAAAGCTTGAAACTTCCTTTCTCAATCTTCAACATCACAGTCTAAAATTTAAGAAGAGTGCCCTCTAGTGGCAGTAGTAGTCAGGATTTCTTTTTAAAGTTACTTCTTAAGCCAAAAATGACAATGTGCCCAAGGAGTGCAATGAACCCAAATGTCTCTGAGATCTCTCTCCATGTCCCCAAAAGTGAAAATAAATAACATTTTCTGGTGCTTTTCTGGGCTTCAAAAGGCACAGGAACAGTTTCAACACTGGAGGAAAGCATCTGCCTTCGGCTTTCCCTATTTCAAGAGCAAAATGTGTTAATTTCTGTGCAGAAATTTTTTCAAAAACAAAATAAATTCTATCCCATAATTCTCCTCCAAGAAAGAGCCTCCATGAACAGTTACTGAATAGCCCTCTGAAATACACATAAACACACACACACAAACCACAATGTGCAAATGGCTTTTCTCCCTTAACATCTGTGAGCATTACCTCGTGTCTTTTTTTTTTTTTAAAGATTTTATTTATTTGACAGAGAGAGACACGGCGAGAGAGGGGAACACAAGCAGGGGGAGTGGGAGAGGGAGAAGCAGGCTTCCCGCCGAGCAGGGAGCCCGATGTGGGGCTCGATCCCAGGACCCTGGGATCAGGGCCTGAGCCGAAGGCAGACGCTTAATGGCTGAGCCACCCAGGTGCCCCATTACCTCGTATCTTGAAATTGTCTTTAGGACCATGATTCTGTCACCGACATGTACCACAGCATGTAATATGTCAGTTCAGCTCCTTTCTAAAAGCACACTTCTTTGTGCTTCTGAAATCAAAGAAGCAACATGTAGCTTCCCGTCTACAAAGCATGGGGTAACTTTTCCTTTTTTTCTGAAGGCTTTTGAGGTATGTCCTAGCCATTGAGGAAACAGGGTCACTTTCCAGGCTTACATTTTAGATTTCGTCCTCTTACATTTAGGGAGAAGCGACTTTTCCCAATACTGGGGAGGTGACACAGTATTGGACTCAGGACCAATTACAGAGTTTTTTGTTTCTTCTAATTATAAAGTGTTCAAGACTGGCCAGGTACAGACCAGCTATGATTCTCTCCCAGAATTCATTAAGTAGATTTCCTTTACCTGGAGCCTTACAGACTTTAAAAAATTATACCATATGCTTCCAAATGGCACCCTTTCTATTTCTCTAGTTCATTAAGCTATTCTATAGCACTTACCCTAGACGGAGCAAGCTTTCATCTCCCCACGCACTCCTTCCTCCTCTCCGCCTGCCCGAACTCCACAATACACTTTTACACTTAAGGTCATGGTGTTAGGCCGGACCTTAAAGGCAGCCCAGTCCAAAGCTGGGGTTTCAGAGTGAGCATCTGTGGGAACAGTGCTCTTCACATCCCGACCTTGGCGGAGCCTCACCGCCCTCCCTGAAATCATCGTCTCCACTTTCAGAGCAGGTCCAGAGAAAGGATGAGTGCAGCCCGACTGATACCATGGCCAGAAGGCCCAGAGTGCGTATCCAAGCCCACCTCCAGCCTGCTTTCCATGACCCTATGTGCAACACACCAGCTGCCCCTACCTGATCCTCCCAGTCACCCTGTAATACAGGTATAGCACAACTCTCAAGATTCCTATGTACAGAAGGAGAAGCTAAAATTCAAGAAGTCCAGTGGGGGCCCGAGGTTGCCTGGCAGGTCAGCGAGAGCCCAGAGAAGCCCGAGTCTGTGCTGTGTCCTGCATGGCGCATTTCCCTCTGGGGCCCAGGGGAGCCTCTCTGCTCACCCCGGGGGAACCAGCTGACTGAACACACATTTCAGGAAGTATTCTTTCTCATGGTCTCACTGCAAGTGGCGCCAGCTGTCTGGGAAGGACACAGATCCGTGGAGGGCAGAATCCATGTCCTGAACTTGATTTTGACCTTTGGACTTATTGGAATGTTCTGGCCTCCTTCTTTATACTTATATGATTTTCTTCTAAAATTAGCACTTTTATAGCCTATTAATATAAATATATATTTTAAAAATATATGTAATAAATTTATACACAAATATAAATTTATATATAATAAATCTACATTTAATTTTATAAAAAACTTAAACATGTTTTGTTATATATATGTGTGTATATATATATATATATACACACATACATGTAATTTTTTTCCTTGAAAGAATGATTTGGCCTTAAGAATGGCAAACATCCAAAGGAATCTGTCCTGGTCTGCTGGTGCTGGAAGCAGGGTTTAGAGAGGGAACAAGCAGTCTTGGTTGTCAACAGGCTTAGGCACAGAATTAGCAGGGACATACAGGGACCTGATCCTCTTCAAATAGAGCAATCTGGTGTTCGGTCCTGTTCTTATGCCCCACACATGTACACACAAGAGACTTTGTTCCAATGACAGAAACAGCCTCTTTGGAAAATTTCTACAAAGCTTCTTCCACCAGGTCTATGGCATTTTGAGGGAGCACAGAGGGAAAAATGACTAAATACTCTTTCATCACAAAGCTGGACTTAAATCTTTTCTTGCATTCCGGTGGGGGGGATTGGAGAAAAGGAAAAGAAAGGAAAGGAAAGGAAAAAGAAAAAAGGAAAGGGAAAAGGAAGAGGAAAGGAAAGGAAAGGGAAAAGAAAAGAGGAGAGGAAAGGAAAGGAAAGGAAAAAGAAAAGAAAAAGGCAAAGAAAAGAGGAAAGGGAAGGGAAGGGGAGGGGAGGGGAGGGAAAGGAAGGGAAGGGCTTTAAAAGGCACAGGAACAGTTTCAACACTGGAGGAAAGTCAGGGGCTGGCTGCCCCAGAAAGGGAAAAGGGCACTCCCGAAAGCCCTGTCCTTCTGGGCCGCGGCCCCCACTGTGGACACTCAGCATCCGCTCAGTCTGCCCTCAGGTGGCTCTGCAGGAGCGGGGCTGCCTTGTGCTGAGTGGGTGAATGAGTGAGCGAATAAACGAGTGCATCCTGTCTCTGTGGAGCGTGCCGTCTCCTGTGCAGACGTCCAGAATCCCACACAGTCCAAACACATGGCCTCCCTACAGGGTCACAGGTCACACTGAAGGCTCTGGCATCATTCATCTGGTGCCCTGACCAACCCAGCCCTGCACACTTGAGGAAAGGTGAAAATAATCCAAAGTCTCCCTCCAGGTGAGGTCACCTGGCCTCCTCGGTCTCTGTCTCGGCCCTTCTCCTGTTCTGCCGTCAGTGCATTTACTTGCAAACCCCAGTGTTTTCTCCTATTAGGGCATGCCCTGACCACCCAGGGGAGTACAGGGGGGCGGCAAGAGTCCTGGACAGAGAGTCGGGTTTCTCATCTGTAAAATGGGAATGCAGGATAAGCCTGGGCCTGCATACCTCCCTGGGTAGGAGTCCCTGCCAAGGCAGTGCGGTGCAGCGGTTAACAACAGGGCTTTCAGAGCCAGACAGAGTTGGGGTCAAACCCCACGTCTGCCCCCTATTATTATTATTATTACTACTATTATTATTAACGTTTTCTTGGGCAAGTTACTTAACCTCACTGAGTTCTAGTCCCCTCTTCAGGAAAACAAGAATAACAAAGGTAGGGGTGCCTGGGTGGCTCAGTCGGTTAAGCATCTGCCTTCGGCTCAGGTCATGATCCCAGGGTCCTGGGATCAAGCCCCGCATCGGGCTCCCTGCTTGGCGGGAAGCCTGCTTCTCCCTCTGCCTCTGCCCCTCCTCCACAAGCTCTCTCTCATGTGTTTTTTCTCTCAAATAAAGAAATAAAATCTTAAAAAAAAAAAAGAATAACAAAGGTACCTGCCTCGGGGCTGTTGGGAGGATTACACGGAGCACCGTTTGTAAAGTACAGAGCATGCAGTGTCTGGCATGTGTCAGCGATGACAACCATCATCCTGACTGATGGATGTGCAGGCACGGAGTGAACTAGGTGCTGCGGGGACCCTCCCCGCCACTCCCCTCCTCCCCAGCACTGCAGGAAGCAGTATTCACCCCAGTTGCTGTGTGCCCAGCACACGGACATAAAGCCACCATCTGAGAGTTACAACATCATAAAAGACCACAGGAGAGAGAAACACATCACCTCAATGACGCAGAGGGGATCCCAGGCCTCCACGGGCCTGGGGGGGGGGGGAGCTGGAATGCATTCACTTAGGGGTCTGAGGGGACAAGCAGAAGCCGTCAAGACAGACAGCCAAGGCCACCTCAGGGGAGTCCAGAGGAAACAGGCAGGGTGGCGCAGCCCGAGAGTGGGGACAGATGCCACGCTGTCTCAGCCTAACGCCAGCAAAGATTTGAACTGTGCAAGCCTCAGAGCAAGAAGTCATAAGCCAGAGGCAGTGCCGGACTGAGGCTCTCTGACCATCGGTCCTCAGGCTTCATCGGTCCCCAGGCTTCAGTCCCTCGGGAGTGTGGTCTGGGGGAGTAACACTCTCATCTGTGACCAAGTTACCAAGTTACCAGGTGCCTGCCACCCTGTGAGGTGGGCTCAGGCCAGCCTTCAGGCATTTTTCTTTCCAATTCCCATGCTCAGAAAATGGGTGCCAAGTAAGTGACCAAACGGGCAGGTGAAGTGCTACGTTACTCACCTGCCAAGAGACACCTTCTTGCTCATATTCTGCCATTAATGAACTGGGATCTTTAGTGAATATTGCTTCAAACACCAGGGGACACTGTCAAGCTTGGACAGTCCCACCACCCAGAGGCAGCCGCTGGTTGGTAGGCTTGTGGGGTAATTTCAATTTTGTTCTTTGCGTTTTCCAAATGTTTCCAAATGTTCCACAACAAACATGTATTACTTTTAAGAGCAGAACATGCAGACAACCAGCAGGCCCAGCGGATCCCCCAGCGGACAAAAGCTCCGCTGTCTCCTGCTCATCCACTGAGCCATCTGTAGTGGGAGTTTTCCAATTCCGTTTGATGCGTTAGCGTTCATATCTAGCGGAAGTCTAAGTTATTTCTTTGCAGGTCTCAGTAGCTTGTCATTTGTGGTGTGTGTGCTTTTGGGAGCGAAGCCGGAGGACTGTGCCATGGGCCGGGCTGGGGCAGGTGAGCCTCAAAAACTGTATTCCTTTCAACATGGGCAATGCCTTCCGTTTGCCTAATTTAAAAGTGTGACCCTGTCCCCTTTGTACTTAGTTTTAAAAAATCAATGTCTAGAAAGACAGAGGTTGTAAAGAATGGGGGGAAGGACAAGGACCACAAATCACAGAATAGCCCAAACCTGCCACGGAAACAAATGTCTCAATTTTTCAAGGTCACTGTCCAATCCTTACCTCAACTCTGGCTGCCCCTGTTTCCACAGAGCAAATACTGCTCCTGGGTCTCCCCAGCTCCTCCCTGACTCATTGACTTAACTGTCTTTCCTCCTCACTGAACCCACTTGGCCATCAGGCTCATTCTGTACCCTCCCCCGGAGCCTTAGATTTCTGCCAAGACTGCTGGATGCAGGCTGCCAAGCCATGTGCTGTGGGTGTCCTACAAATTCTGAGACTGGATCCAGGAAATAAACAACACCAAATGACATGGGGATACATGGGCCCCAAATGGTCCTTGGTCTGGTGCAGAATCCTTCACTCAAAACCCAGCTTTCAATGGCCTCTGTGTTCTGGAATCAAGGAGCAGAGAAAGGTAAAAGTGGCTCAGGCCCTACTCCTAAAAGGTTCATGCCCATCCTGGTGGGGAGACACGCCCCTACAGCTCATCAGATGACACGGCGAACAATGGAAGTTGTGTAAGCGAGGTGTATGTTCTGGCACCCAAGGGAAGGAGCCATTAATCTCGTGTGTGTGTGTGTGTTGTCGGCATGAAAGTAACGCCACCCAGCAGGTGGCATCTGGGTAGGATTCTGACACACGGGCCAGGGAGAACCCCAGGGAGAAAGGCCCAGAGGCCCTGGGTACAGGGAACAGTCCATTGCCAAGGTGGACATAGAGGTAATAAGGGTGGGGGGCGATCCCATGAGGCTAAGGTAGCGGTGAAAGGTCTAGAACGTCACACTGAAGAATCTGGACTGTATCCCACAGATCAGTGGCTCTGAGTCTTTCGGATTTTGGAGTTCACAAGTTCGACTCATCCAAGATGGCTGACGGACTATTTTGCTAGATAAGGCCATTACAAAAGCCAAAACCAAAAACTCAACACCAACTACCACTTGCTATTATCATTTTATAAAAGGGCATTTTAACTCCAAGAGTGTAGAAAACAAACCCAGGGGGAAGGAGAGTCCTCCTTTCCCCACCCAAGCCCTGCCAGAGACAGCGGACACTCTCCTGTTGCCACCACACACCCACAACACTGTCCTTGTTGTCACTGTCCACAGGCAAAGGGAAACTTCCTCCTAGAACCGGGCCGGGAGCCACAGTGGGGGGAGTGACAGTGACCTAACAGCTCGACCCGAGAGTTAGAGCCCGTTGTGGCATCCAAAATACGACCTGTGTTTTCTTCACAGATCTGAGGTGGAGTCTGCCGAAGTGCCGTGCACGGTGCCCAGCACAGGGCTCCTGGGTACGAGACCCTGAGAGCTCCAGGCCGGTAGCTGGTGCTCCTCCCGGAGGAGAGATGCTCCACGGTCAAATGGGTTCGGGGAACACTCCGACTGTGACAGTTAATCACGCACGCATGCATTTAATTCTGTAAGGCTTGAACATGCAAGTGACTCTAAGAGGGCACCGAACCATGCCCTGTGGCCCTGACTCATTTGACCATGGGAAGCTCTTCTCAGCCCCACCCCGCGTGCGCGCCTCCGGGGGCGGGAGCACCACGCATGCTCGTTCACCGCCCAGCGGGCGTGCGCGCCTCCGGGGGCGGGAGCACCACGCATGCTCGTTCACCGCCCAGCGGGCGTGCGCGCCTCCGGGGGCGGGAGTACCATGCATGGTCGTTCACCGCCCGGCTGGCGTGCGCGCCTCCGGGGGCGGGAGCACCACGCATGCTCGTTCACCGTCCAGCGGGCGTGCGCGCCTCTCGGGGCGGGAGCCCCACGCATGCTCCATCACCGACCAGCGGGCGTGCGCACCTCCGGGAGCGGGAGCATCATGCATGCTCGTTTACCGCCCGGCGGGCGTGAGCTTAGCGTGGGCAGCCGGGAGCACAGCTGTGCAAGCGCCGCGGAGGCACCGGCAAGCGGCAGTGAGTGACAGCCATGCACCTGGCAGGCGGCAGCGTGTACCTCGAGGTCCGAGTTGATGGAGGAGACCTCGCAGGAGCTGCTGGAAGACACGCGGGCCCGGATGACCTGAACGGGAGGGTACGAGGGGGGCTCCTGCAGCGTGGCGTCTCCAGGGCTCATCTGTCCATCGCCGGGCAGCCTGGTGGTGCTGCAACTTGCCTGCAAGGTGTGTGGGGAAGGGCAGGCAGGGAGACTTAGCTTGCTTTATTTTTGAATTGTCAAAGCATTCAAATACTCCAGTATTGAAAGGGTACAAGGGGCGTCTGGGTGGCTCAGTTGGTTAAGATCCGCCTTCAGCTCAGGTCATGATCTCAGGGTCCTGGGGTCGAACCCCACATGGGGCTCCCTAATCAGCCGGGAGTCTGCTTTTCCCTCTGCCCTTCCCCCCACTCATGCTCTCTCTCTCTCAAATAAATAATTTTTTTTTTAAAGGTACAAAAGGGTGTAGAATGCAAAGTCAGCCCCCACCCAAATCCCGCAGCCACCCAGGTCTCCCCAGGGGCAGCCAGGGCTCAGGTTCCTGTGTATCCATCCAGATAGTCCATCCATATCCAGTCAAATGCAAATATACAGCTCCCCTAGTTCCATACACGGTGGCAGCACATCTACACTCTCCTAGGCACCTTGCTTTTTCTCACTTCACAATATGTTCTGGAGATAGTTCTATAGCAGAGGCTTTGTTGCTCTTTCTGTTCCTTTCGTGGCATCGTGTAGGTGTTCCCGATCTGCAAAACCTATCCTCTACTGACGGACGTTGAGGGCGTTCCCAGTCTATTGCTTTTACAACACTGGCTGCAGGAAATTCTACTGTACATCCAAGGTTTCAGGGTACTTAAAGGATACATTTCTAGAAGCGGAATTGCTGGATCAGAGGGTATGTAAATTTGTAATTTGTAATTTGGAGAGCTTCTGCCAAAATGTACTGCATGGCCTCATACCCACCAGCAGCTCGGGAGGGTAAAGGGAGGAAGAAACTTGCAAGATTTTCATCCATCCATCCATCCACCCACCCACCCACCCACCCATCCACCCACCCACCCATCCATCCATCCATCCATCCATCCATCCATCCATCCATCCATCCACCCACCCACCCACCCATCCACCCATCCACCCATCCATCCATCCATTCATCCATCCATCCACCCACCCATCCATCCATCCGTCTCAGAAGAGAGCTTCCCCAGAGATCCTGAAGCCCTGCTGGCCAGGGCTTCAGAACCAGGCAGGATTTTGGTCCTTCCACTGACACACCACAGGGGAACAGCCTGCCTTCTAGAGCCGCATCTTCCACAACAAACCGCACACCTCGGCAAGAAATGCATCTTCCTTGAGTCTCAGTTTCCTAATCTAGCAAAGGGGGTAGTAGTCCCTGCCTTGCCTCCTTTGAAGGGGGTCAGAGGGCTCAGGTGTAAATGTCCCGGACACATGAGAATGGCTACTCGTACTGGACCCCAAATCACGCAGGCTCCAGCCCTGGGTGCATCAGGCGCAGGGTTTCACGCGAGAGCTGGCTAGATAGGCTGGGGGGTGGGGGACACAGGTCCCCAGGCAACAACAATAGAGTCCTCAAATGCTCCAAGCCATGATCCCCATAACCCCATGGCCCTCAGCCTCTGAGTTTAGCCTGAACCGGGTGCGTCTCCTGAAAAACCTCTCCTTAGGACCAGCGCCCAGGAGGGACTGCTTGAAAGACAAGTGAGCATCCCTGTGGCCCCTCTTGTCTACTTCCAGGTGGCTGGGCAGACAGGACACACAGCGATGCACATGGCAGCAGGGGACCTATTTCACCACAACCTTGTCCCCTGGGACATTGCCATGAAAAACAGAAAAAATTGGCTAACTGATCAGGCATGAAATGAACACAGAGAACATGTTCTCTTTAAAAAAAGCTCGGGGGCGCCTGGGTGGCTCAGTCGTTAAGCATCTGCCTTCGGCTCAGGTCATGATCCCAGGGTCGTGGGATTGAGTCCGGAATTGGGTTCCCTGCTTAGCGGAGAGCCTGCTTCTCTCTCTCCAACTCCCCCTGCTATGATCCCTCTCTCACGGTCTCTCTCTCTCTGTCAAATAAATAAATAAATAAATAAAAAATAGAGCTCAGGTCCCAGGATCAGACAGGCTTCATTTGAAACACATTCCTGTGCTTTTCTAACTATGAGATCTTGGGCAAGCTACTTAACCCTCCCTGCGCCTCAATTTAAAATCATAATACAATGGGTAATTATTCAATAACAATAGAAATAATAATACTTATGAGAATTTACATTAAGAATAATTTAAAAGCCAACCATTTATCAAGTGCTTACTTGGTGTCAGACATTATGCCAAGTAAGAGGCAGTGTTGCCTAGTGGTCAAGTGCACAGACTCGGGTAGAGACCGGTCTGAATCCTGGTTCTGCCACTGACAAGCTGTGTGACCTTGAGCAAGTTGCTTAATCTCTCTGTGCCCCGAATTCCTTATCTGTAAAATGAGATTAGGGGTCGGCTGTGGGGTTTACATGAGTTCATGTACACAAAGCGCTTAGCCCAGAGGGAGCATTTCTATGGTTGGTTACAAAGCACTTAGTCCAGTACTCTAAGCACCATCTGTGACCAGCGTAAGAAGCATCACGGAAGCGATGGCTGTTATTACTGTCTCAAAAACTGGCAAGTAGTTAGCCCTCAACAAACACACTACTGTGGGAGTGGTGGGAGTGGTGGCCCTGGAGCCCAGAGAAGCGGCTTCCTGCCCCGCAGGGACCGGGGCTGCAGGCTGGCTGCTGGGAGCTGTCTCAGCGACACCACTGCCCTCTGGTGGACACAGAAGGAAGAAGCCAAATGGGACTATTTGCTCAAAAATGTGCTGCAGGCGGCCTCCATGGAAGAGAATGAAGGAGGGACACACTTTTCTTTCCCGGAGTCAGTTCCGCAGCATGAATCCACTCAAGATTCAGGTACTGGGAGGGTTAGAGTGAATGCAAGTTTTGCACTAGTATTTTTCAGAAGTCCTATGATTTAAAAATTTCTAGTGCAAAATGTTGCCAGATGCTGCTGGGGTTCCCTGTGCTCTCTCCCCAGACTTCCCATTCTAACAAGGGTTTCATGGCCCAAGTGGGCTCTTAGCTGTGAAAGCGTGCTCTCAATCTCTCTGAATGCCACTGACATCCTGGGGTTACTTGTGCCTCCTTTCCAGGGAACCACAACAAAGAGTAAAACCTATCTTTCAGGCCCAAACTCTGAGCACCAGCCCGTCTCTTGGGCAGCTGAACAGGGCTGCTACCACTGAGCTCCGCGCCACGCTCCAAACATCCAAACAGCCTTTACCGAGGGCCTCACACACCAGGGTCTAGGCAAACAGGAGAGAAGGAGGCAAAGTTTACATCCCAGCAGGAGACAGACAACCAAAGTAAAAGATAGTGAGAAGTGCTTTGTAGAGTATTTAAAAAGGCAGTAAAATAGAGAAATATGATAGAAAGGTAGAGGCTACTTTTGAGTGTGTAGTCAGGGATGGCCTTTGAGAAGGTGACATTTATTTTATTAAGATTTTATTTATTTTGGGGGGAGAGGGAGAAAAAGATCAAGAGCAGGGGGGAGGGGTAGAGGGAGAAGCAGACTCCCCGCTGAGCAGGGAGGTCATGGGGTGGTTTGATCCAGGGACTCTGGGATCATGACCTGAGCCGAAGGCAGATGCTTAACTGACTGAGCCACCCAGAGAAGGTGACGTTTAAACTGAAGTCCGGAAGACTGGAAGGAGGCAGCCATATAAAAGCAATTAGGAGGAAGAGCATTCTAGGCACAGGAATGGAGAGAGAAATCCCAGGCAGCTGGGAGGAGTGAAGAGGGAAGAGAATAGGGGAGAGAAGCGGGGAGGGAGCGAGTGCTGGGCTCTGGGGTCTCGCAAGTCTGTGGAACTTTAGATTTTTTTCTGTATGAGATGGGAAGCCAGGGGGCTTCACACCAAGGAGGAACACGATGTAGTTGCCCCTTCTGGCTGCTGGCTGCAGGTGGAGGGGGGGGCAAGGTTAACTCCCGAGAAGGGGATGAGGGAATGAGGTAGGAGGCTGCTGGCTCTATTGTAAAAGCAGTATGTAGGAGACTCACAGCTGGAGTGGACGTGCAGTGAGGGGGAGAGAAGAATTTGAGGATGGGGGATGGGGAGGGCATGGCAATCCCAAGTTCTGTTCCGTCACGGCAAGGGTGGGGTGCCGTGTGGTGACCCCGCCGGGAGGGGAGCTGGCCCCGAGCGCTCTGGGACTGCGGGCCCGGGCGGGCAAGCATGCCAAGAGGAGGGAGCCCTGCAGGGACAGAGCTGGGGTGCTGCAGCCTCGGGGGCCAGCCCGCCCTCAGGGGCCTGCACAAGGTGCAGAGAAGCTGGGAGCGCCGGCGCTCCATAAATCCGAAGCAGCCAGTGGCCAAGTGTGTTCAATCCCAACAAGGAGAGGGCCGACCCAGGATTTACGGACTTGGAGGTCGCTGGAAGTCTTAGTGGGTGTGGGATGAGGGGGTGGACTTCCTGTCACCTCTTCCCATCTCTTTTCTAAACCTCTTCCTCCTGGGGACCCTCTGTGCACAGGCTTAGGACCTCGGGAGTCATGGGGAGCGCTCAGCCTCCCTCAGCCTCCCAAGCCTCCACTCAGTCTCCGCCTCTCCCCCTGCCCCAGCCTTGGTTCAGGCCACACCACCTCTCTCCTGGACTTATAGCTGTCCCTCACTGACTGCCTTGCTTCTATCTCCTCTTGCCTCCTCTGCCCTCCAACACTGCCTGAGTGACGCCTCTAAAAGGCACATCTGCCCCTGAGTCTCTAGTCCTGATGCCTCCTGGACTCCTGCCCCTCAGGAGGATAGGCTCCACAGCGGGACGATCTCTCCCTTGCCTCCTCTCCAGCCTTTCACCCGTCCCCCACTGAGGCCTTGGACAGCTCCTTCCTCCTTTTACATGCTTTCTTGCCTCATCTTGCCCATCCTGCAGCTAAAGTGTCACCTCCTCCAGGAAGCCTTCCATGACTACTTCCCACCCTTCTGGACCCTTGGCTGTAGCCCACCACCACTTACCTGCTGCACCGGCTCGATGGTCAGCTCCAAGTAGTGACTGATGGCTGCCATTGTCCTGAGTGATTTGCAGGGTGGTAGTGTAGTGAGAGGCACCCAATCTGAATTCTTTCAAGCAGAGATGGGGAGACAAAAACAGAATTCTTAGTCAGGAGACAGTTTTCAAAAACAAAGTCCCATTTTCTTCAAAAGAATCCCTAATTATTTTTTTCTGTTGTTTCATGGTACATTTCACTTTCTGCTTCCTATGTTATCTCTCTCTCTCTCTCTTTTTAAGATTTATTTGTTTGAGAGAGTGAAGGAGGAGAGAGCACAACAGGGGAGAGGGTCAGAGGGACAAGCAGACTCCCTGCTGAGCAGGGAGCCCGATGCGGCGCTCGATCCCAGAACCCCAGGATCATGACCTGAGCTGAAAGCAGATGCTTAACTGACTGAGCCACCCAGGTGCCCCTCTTATCTCTTTGAGGTCACAGTAGGCCAGTGGTTCCCAAATTTTGCTGCATAGTGGAGTCACCCGGCATGTTAAAAACAAAACAAAACAAAACCCTGATGCTTAGCTTTGCCCACCACCCCCTAGCAGACATTCTGATTCACTGGTAGGGATGTGACCTGGAGTTTCAAAGCCCCCCAGATGATTCTAAAGCATGGCAAAGTCTGGGAACCACTGCAGTAGGCACTAAATAAATGCTTTTGTAAAGCAATCGTTCTCAGATGTTAGTGTGCATCAGAAGCACCCAATGGACTTATTAGAACACCCTCAGCTTCAGAGTTGGTAGAGCTGGTGGAACCCCAGAATTGCATCCCCAATAAGTTTGCGGCCGATGCTGGTCCAGGGACCACACACTGAGAACCATCGCTGTAAAGAACTATGGAAGAGGGGCACCTGGGTGGCTCAGTCGGTGAAGCGTCTGCCTTTGGTTCAGGTCATGATCCCAGGGCCCTGGCATCGAGCCCCACATTGGGCTCTCTGCTCAGCGGGAAGCCTGCTTCTCCCTCTCCCACTCCCCCTGCTTGTGTTCCCTGCTTGGTGGGGAGTCTGCTTCTCCCTCTGCCCCTCCCCCTGCTCATGCTCTCTCTCTCTCTCGTTCTTAAATATATAAATAAAATCTTAAGAAAAAAAAAGCCCTGTGGAAGACATTGCAAAGGCTCCCCTTCCTCTCTTCAGAACACCAAGACACACAAGCCTCTCTTTAAATACTTTAGCTCCCTGTGGGGACCTAATTTCCTAAGTTTCTGGAATAGAATGAAAATAACCTCCCATTAGAGCCTTGATGGGAACATGGAGCTCTGGTCCAAGCACTTGCGTAAACCCCTCTCCCTTGGCCATGTCCACCACTATCTTCTGTTTCATTGACTCAGTCAGATTCCACTGTATCAAACGAGAACGTTGGAAGGAGTGGACCAGCTTGCTCACAGAGTCTCACTCATGCTCTCTGAGAGAAAAACGAGGACAGTGAGGAGCCCAGGCAATAGGCGAGATTTTTTTCCTCAAGAAATTATCTTAGAAAAGAGGGACCTGCTTTATGTTCTAGTCCTGATAAGCACTGTTGTATTATGAAGTAATTTCTCAATTACTGGGAACCGAGGACTTTTGACAAAGGTAAACTGCCTCAGTTAGGAGAAGCTCTGCTTACTCACAGGGGTCACCTCCTCAAGTCAGTAAAAGGAGACAAACACGCGTGCTGGCAGGACGGAACTGTAAATGGTGGACACTACACAAACAAACCTTGAAAGACCAGCTTTTAGCTGTATCAACTGAAAAAAGGCTGTGTTAGTGATGGCCATGATGCGGACGTCACAGATGCACGTGAAAGTGGGAATACATGTTTTCCTAAACTATGTGGGCAAAATCATATTATTTCTAAATTAACCTATTAATTTATGTAGTACGGGAACATATATATATATATATACACACACACATATATATATGAGGAGGTAAATTGCTAAAGAGCATACATGGACATTTGACTCTTCCATCTATGTTGCTAAAAATATATTAAAGTTTATTAAAAGATCAAAAAAACTTAAAAAAATACATTGTAATTGGAAAAGTAGAGGATCCTATTTATTCCAGGTATGCTTGGTATTGGGCAAAAACGTTCATTTTTTTCTTTTTTTCCATAAACAGTTTTTTAAAGTGACCAACTGTCCTAGTTCAAGGGAGCCCCAGGGTTCCGCACGCAGCCCCCCGTGGGACCAGCAGTTTTCCAGCCGGCGAGACCTTGCCTCCTGGCTTTCTTCCTCTTTCTCCACGCAGGTCAAGAGGGCTTGGGTGTCAGGGCTCTCTCCGGCTTCAGGGGCAAATCCCAAGTCCCGTCTCATCTTGCTCTTCATTACCCAGGAGAGGAATATGATCTGAGAGGGAGAGTTAAGGTCCAAGGAAGCAGAGCATTTCGGCCACCCACGGCTACCTTCACCTCTACACCCCGAGGGCCCCCCGACTGGGCTCTCTCCCTCCCGCGGATGATCCTGCCTGGGTTGGCCCCAGAACAGACATGTTCATTTAAGAACGGAACCGGGTCTGACATTTCCCCCACAAGGGCCCAGCAGCCAGCAAGACCCTGCCTCTAAGAATTTAGTAAATACTTAGTAAATACTTGTTAAACAAAAGCATTTTGAAAAACATCTTCCTTGAAGCGCTTGGCTCACAGGGACAGTACACGGAGTGGGTTGAATAGTGCCCCTCCACCCCCACCCAAATTCCTATCTATCTGGAAGCTCAGAAAGTGACTTTATTTAAAAACAGGGTCTTGGAGCCCGTGGCTGGCTCAGTCGGTGGAGCAAACAACTCTTGATCTGGGGATTGTGAGTTCAAGCCCCATCGCTTCTCGGCCTTTTGGCTAAGATCAAGTGTGAGTTCAAGCCCCACGTTGGGTGTAGAGATGACTTAAAAATAAAATCTTTTTTTTTCTTTAAAGGGTCTGTGCTGATATAGTTAAGATGAGGTCATGTGGATTAGGATGGACCCTTAATCCCATGACTGGAGTCCTTATAAGAGCAGAGGATGGGCAGAGATACACGAAGGGAAGAGGTGTTTTTTTTTTTTTTTAAGGTTTTATTTATTTATCTGAGAGAGAGAATGGGAGACAGAGAGCATGAGAGGGGGAGGGTCAGAGGGAGAAGCAGGTTCCCCGCCGAGCAGGGAGCCCGATGCCGGACTCGATCCCGGGACTCCAGGATCATGACCTGAGCCGAAGGCAGTCGCTTAACCGACTGAGCCACCCAGGCGCCCCACGAAGGGAAGAGGTTTTGTGAAGACTGAGGCAGGAGATAAAATTACGCTACCAGAGCCAAGGAGCACAAGGGGCCATCAGAAGCTGGAAGAGACAAGGGAGGGTTCTCCCCCAGAGCCTCCAGGAGAGTGTGGCCCTGCGTGGACTTTGGACTTGTAGCCCGTGGAACTGTGAGAATACATTTCTTTTGTCTCAAGCCACCTACTTCTGGTAACTTAATATGGCAGCTAATGAGAAAAACCACCGTTTTTAACTATTTCTAAACTATTTTTGATAAATCCACAGGTTTTTCATACACAAATTACCCACTGTCTGAGCTTAGCTTGCCCTTGAGGCTCTCATGTCAAGGTCACTGGGGTGTCCGCGCATCAGGCAACACCCACTGGGGAACCGGAAAGGCGCTCAGCAGTCACTGACAAAGGGCAGCCCTTGTCAGCTTTTATCTGTGTCCCCAGCCCAGGCTCCAGTGCCAAAGACAGGAGAACGGGGATGCTTAGCCCTGCATGGCAGGTCGGCTTGCAAAGCCCGTTCCTAGCCTTGTGAGAAAGACAGGGCAAAGATGACGGCAATAGGTTCCCGGGAGGGTGGGGGCCGGCCCAGGGGAGAAGCAGCAGTGAGACTGGTGCCCGGGTCTCCTGCTCCCAGGGCCAGGAACCTGCACACTCCCCCCTGCTGCTCCACAGAGGTCCAGCCAAGAGATCATTCTTTCTTTTATATGTACATAAAGGAAACAAAATACAAAATTGCAAATAACTCAATTGCATCTGTCGGCCCCAGGCCTCAAACCTTGGCCCTGGCCCCTGGGAGACAGCTCCATCTAGCAAGAGGGAGGGAGGGCACCACAGGGGCAGGGAGGACATGAGACACAAGCAGTCAAGCCCCCTAGGCCCCAGGTGGATACAGAGAGGTCCAGTGCAGCTCGGCCCAGGGAGGTCAGGAACCAGGGCGTGGCCCGAAGCAGGTACTCAGGCCGCCGGTCATGGGCCACAATGGCCGAGGCATAGAGGAGGCCAGCCAGAGCCGACAGGAGCCGGGTCCACAGGTGGATGGAGGGAAACGCCTTACCCTGGCACTGGACAGAGAGAGAGGAGGGAGCTGGGCAGGGAGGAGCACTGCCCTCCCCCAGCTTCCTCAGAGCTGGATTCTAAGACCTAGGCTCTTGGTGGCATGCAGGCTGGAGGGCAAGCCCTCTCTTTGCCCATGGCCAGTCCCCAAAGGTACTGCTTCGGCTTTTGCTTAAACTGCTTCTTTTGCCTATTCATGCCTCAGAACCTGGCTTAAACTCAGCTCTGAGAAACCTCCCATACCATCTCCACCCAAACAGGGGCGAGTCACTCCCACTTCCAGGCCCCAGGACACATGACACATCCCAGCAGACAGAGTGCTCCTGAGAGCGTCCTCCCCATCTCAGCATCCCTGACACCGCGCACTGGGTAGGGGCACATGAATGTCAGCTGGGAGAACGGGAGGGAATTAGGACAAATTATGAACAGCCAGGAACAGCCAAGAAGCCAAGGACTTCTCTTCCTGGGACCACCAATGCTGAATCTGGCCAGCCGGGAAAGGTCAAGAACATTAGAGATAACATTCTGGAAGTTTTGAAGCCAGGGGATATTTTTGGAGAATGAATAATGACAATACTGGTTAAAAAAAACAAAACCAAAACCAAACAAAAGCCAAAAAACCCACTTTCAATATTTATATGTCAAGTACCCTTTACAGGTGTGATGTCACTTTATGTATATATTTATATGTATATACACAAATACTATATATTTTCAATTATATATAATCACACGGCATATTTAAATTGATATAAATATAAATTATATGTAATTCATTTTACTTATTAAATAATTATATTTAGAGATATACAGGCCTTGGCTAGAGAATGAAAAAAATTCAGAGGAAAAAGCAAGGTTTGGTTGATTTTCCCCATTTTTATTTTAACTCTTAAAAAGAGTCCTTGGGAGTGTTTTGTTTCCCTCTGCATGTCTTCAAGTTTTGTTCCCAGGGCTCCCTGTTTTGTTCTTGGCCATGCCCTGAAGAATGGTTCATAAAGACACCCAGCACCTGGGCTGGGGAGGGTGGTCCCTGACCTGCCGGCCGCACCTGACTCAGCCCAGGAAGGAGCTCTGTCCCAGCCAGCACTGCTGTGATGGGAAATCCTCGGGGATCCCCCAGCCTGCCCACCCCCATTTACTGTGGACACTGATGGCCCGAGAGGGGAGGTGACTTGCAGGGCCAGGGCTGGGACCTGCCTTCTGCCTCTTGAATTTGCACCTGCAGTTGCTCTGGATCAGCTCAACCTGGGTGAGCTCTGTGCTGTCACTCACGTACCAACCCATTCCCGATGCGCACTGACTTTAAAACTCAATCTCCCTTCAGGGTCAGTACTAGGGCCTATGGGGCTCTATTTGCCTGCACACTGGACACACCGTAGGTGCTGAGCAACTGCTATAGGCTGGGGTTGGCTCAGTGACTCGAGATAAGGCAGGTCCAGCACATGCGGGCTTCGTCTGGCTGGTCACACAGAACCCAGGGGGGGATGTTCAGCCAGGAGGCTGCCTGGCAAATCTGCGCTGGGGGCTGGAAGCAAGCCGTGCCTCAGCTTCTGCAACAGCACTCCATCCCAGTGCTGCCAGCCTAGGCCCTCCTGGTCAGCGGGCGCGTCCCTCCTGGAAGAACGGGGACTTCTTCCACCAAAGCCACCCAACCATTCTGCTCCGCAGCGCCCCCACCAGGGGTAAATTAGAAGTAGCTTCTGCGCGGGTATCTAGGCTTCACAGCAGTGCTGGCTAGGCTTCCCAGAACACCCCAAACCCTGCTGAGTTTCTCCCTAGTAAGGGGATCCTAGCTCTGGGCTCTTCTTCATGGGACCAGAGACAGCACCTCAGAGATTGCCCAATGTAATCCCTAACATGATCTAACTCTATCTGCCTGCCAAGGGGCCATCAGGCTTGAATGCCTTTAGTGATGGGGAGCCCACTACCTCCTAAGACAGGAATAACAATACTGATCGCTTTCGACATTCCAGAAACTATGCAAAACATCTAACCTATAAATGGGAGGTGGCGCCCCCCCCCCCATAACCTCTTTCCAGTCTTGGTTTTGGTTCTCTTCCCCTAGACCACAGAGAACAGGGCTGCTCTTTCTGCCCCGAGAAAGCCCTTCTAATTCCTGCATCCATGAGCTTCCTTTGTCCCAGACCAGATTAAGTCTTTAAAAAGTGTCTGCTGGCACCTGCCATGGGCAGGCTCCAAGCACCTGCAATACAGAGGGGAACAGAACAGACGAGACCACTGCCCTCAGGGCGCTCACGTTCTACTGGGGACCAACAACTTGGTCAATAACTGAAGGAGCTAGTTTCAGGCTGTGACAAACGCTGTGAATAAAACGAAGCGGAAGGAAGGACACAGTCATGGGGCTATGTTAGGTGCGTGGCGTTAGGGGCTGACTTGTTTTCCCCTCTCACAAAAGATGCTGAAGTCCCAGCCTCCAGAGCCGGTGAATGTGGCCTTCTCTGGAAACAGGGTCCTTGCAAATGACCTCATTAAGATGAGGTCATTAGGGTGGACCCTCACCCAATATGACCGTGTCTTTATAAAAGGGAAAGCTAGGCCTGGACACGTACAGAAGGAAGGCCGCATGAGGACACACACACGGAGAAAGAACGCCGTGTGAACCCTGGAGTTACGTAGCCATCGGCCAAGGAACTTCCAGGAACTGGGAAAGAGGCCTGAAAGAGCTCCTTCCCTAGTGCCTTCAGGGGGAGCATGGCCCGGCTGACACCTTGGTACTGGTCTGCCGGCCTCTAGTACTTTCAGACAATCCGTTTCTGTTGTCCCAAGTTTGTGAACCTTTCTTATGGCAGCCCCAGGGAACTAATAGAGCCAGGCACTGCACCAGTCCCTCTGAAGGTCTTCGAGCCCCACGTCCCAGGGGCTCCCCACGCTCCCCTCGCTCGGTCTGGGGGCAGCATGCCCAGGGGGGTTCCCGGCCAGCACGGCACAGGCTTCCACTTCCCACAAATGACCAATGAAGCAGCTGCCGTCCCCGAATCTGTTCTCCTGGAACTGCTATGAAATGATGCTCTGGGGCAAGTGATGTTTTTTTTAGCCCCAGCGAGGAGCCCGTCACGTTTCCGGTGTTAGGCCTGGCCGTTATTCCTGCCAGCGAGGCCCGCCAGGCACAGCAGAGCGGGTTTGCACGCCCACGATATCCTGCTCTTCCACAGCGGCTCTCCGGCCTCGGTGGCTTTTCCCGGGGGCTCCCCGCTTCCCCTCACCTCTGCCTCCTCCAGGCCCACCATCCCTTCGGAGCCAAGCTGAGCGGCCTCCCCCTGCCTGGCGGTGTGATGATTTCACCCTCACTCATTTGAATAGCTTAGAACCCTCTTCTCCCTCCTCCGAAACCCCAGACATCTGATTCTATCCTTCTCAGAGCATTAAAATATCCTGCTTTGCATTTCCGTGTCTTTCCAGGAGACTGTGAGTTTCCCAAGGGCAAGCACAGCATCTCAAGTCACGGCTGCGTCCCCTCTGGAACCAGCCAACACAGGGCTTCCCTCAGCCTGGATGCCAGGGAAGTTTCTGTGGGGAGGTGCTCCCGAATACACAGAAGCCCGGCCGCGGTCAGAGGAGATGCTCTCCTCTGAAACCGTCTCACTTCCTGGTGGGATGTTCGTTTACTGAACCCCAGGGCCTTTTTCCTGAGAGCCTGCTTTTCTTTGCTATGGAGAGAACACAATGGGCTGTCCCGGGAAAGGCTCTAGCAGGCCCCATGAGCTCCCATGCGTTGGCTGCCCAGCCCTGTGCGCGCGCGCACACAAACGTGATACACGTGTGACACAACTCTCCACCCCAGGACCCGGAGCTTGGAAGATGCTCCTGGGTGCCCTAAGACCTGCCATGGTGACCCACAGTCCCAGCCCCGACCCAGCCTCACGATTCTGGAGAGCGGGGGGATCCGGGAAGCCCAGGAGCCAAAGGCAGCGATGCCACCCAACAGGTAGCCGAGGATCTCAGTATTGTCCTGCGGGAGTAGGTGACACGCTCAGGGCCCTGAGGAGAGAGCCCAGGCATCCCACACCCATCCTTTCCCAATTTTAGTAGTTTCCTCCCAACCATGGCAAGCCCGAACCCTATCCCCTACCCAGGGCATTTGCTGGGACCGTGAGGGGGGAAGGGACATGCACACCCCCCACATCCTCCTGGGCTCAGCCTCACCTGCAGCAGGCTTTCCAGCAGCCTCCGCTGGGGCCCTCGGATGGGGCCTGAAGCCTTTGGGACGGCGGCCCAGAGCGCCCAGCCTGGCCCCAGGCTCAGCGGCAGGGCCAGAGCAAATACACTGGCCCTGAGCCGCCGCCCCCTCTTCCTCTCCCGGGAGCCCCGACCTGCAACAAACACCACAATGCCACAGTCTTCTGGGATCTAGAACTTGACGGACCACGGCCTGTGAAAACCAGCTGTCAACCCAGCCCTGATGCCAGAACCAGTTCCCAAGTTGTTCTACAGGCCACATCCTCCCCACCCCTCAAGGCCCCGTGGCTGTGCCTCGTCTTTGGAGAAGTCCTTCCTCCCCATCACCCCATCCCATCCCCCCTCACACTGGGGCTCTTCTCCTTCCTCGGCCCTCTGATAGCGTTTTGTGTTTCTCATGTATCTGTGCACAGAGTAGCCTCTGCGAGAGCGGAGCCCCCCGAGGGCAGGCAGCACGGCCCGGCAGCTTCTGTAAGCTCCGCAGAGCCTGGCACAGAGCAGAGCCGGCGCGACCTTGGGGAATGCATCAATGTGTTTGTGCTGGGGCCCGAAACCGTGAGCAAAAAAAGGAGCACGGTCTTGGAAGTCTCCTTGAAATATAAGACAGATAATCCTCTGAAAATTCTAGTAAGAACATGGCTCCTCTGGGCAGTGCTGAGCAGCTGGGGGCATCTTACCTTACCCCACTGGTGCAAGCACTTCCTTTCTGGACAAGGGTCTGGGCACACTGCTGACCCTTCTCAGGAAGGCCCGGTCCCACAGAGTCAGGGTGACCCATCCCAGCTCAGGGACTCTCTGCCCGAGGTGGCCCACGCCCACTTCTGGCATCCATTTCCAGAAGTTACGGGGCTTTGTTTGGCCATCCTGGACTCGCACACTGAGATATCACTGTTCCTTCGCACAGCCCGTACTACCCCACCTCCTGGCCTTTGCTCACACTGTTCTTTTCACCTGGAGTACCCTTCCCTGCGGTCCCCATTCCACGGTCACATCCTTCCCTCTGGTTGCGCATGGTGTGCGTGCACCGCTTCACTAGCAGAACAGATGACTCTTTAGGGCCCTGCCTCTCTTCTCTGGCTGGGGTCAGGGAGCCAATTCCTTTGTCTGCACCCGGCAGGGGCCCGGCTCAGGCGCGACAAGGAGCAGGCACTGAGCACGCTGATGAAAGAGTGGGTGAATGCACACAGGAACAGAAGGCCACACACTCACCCACGTGAGACTTCAGTCTGCAGCCACAGATGGGGAAGAGGATGAAGACAAAGTTCACCAAGTCAACAGCCGCTAGGTAGGCACCCGTGAATACCTGGGAGCAAAGGAGATAGAGTCTTGGTGTTTGAGCGTTCTCCAGTGACCACAGCACCTCTCATCCTGGGTCTCCTCTCCCACTGATGTTGTGCTCCCGGCAAAGCTGCCTGCTGGCCCCAGGAAAGGCTGGTTATCAACTCCGTTTGACTGACGAGGAGGTGGGGCGCCTGAATGACCGATCCCTTAGGCAGAGGCCCACCAGCAGAACCAGCCCTCCACTTCTCACTCCGCACTCTTCCCAGTGCACGGCCAGCCTCTTCTGTGTGACTTTGGCCCAACCACTGACCTTTTCTGGGCCTCACTTTCCTCCTCCGTAGAACAGGGATAGTAACAGCGCCTCCCTCCTCTAAGCCGATTGCATGAACCGATACATGGAAAGTGCTCAAACCAGCACCTGGAGGAACGGACAAGGCTCCTACCTACCAGAGCACCAGCTACTATGCCAGGCGAGTCACTGGTCAACAGCAGTCTCTGGAGGGGCGCCTGGGTGGCTCAGTTAGTTAAGGGTCCGACTCTTGATTTCGGCTCAGGTCCTGACCTTAGGGTCATGAGATCGAGTCCCGAGTGGGGCTCCATGTTCAGCGTGGAGTCTGCTTGGGATTTTTTCCCTCTTTCTCTCCCTTTGCCCTGCCCACATGCCCCCACTCCAATCCCCCTCCCCGCCAGCTCATGAGCATGTTCTCTCTCAAAATAAATAAAATTAAAAAAAAAAAAGAGCAGTTTGATTCCTGGCACTGCTGCTTACTGGACCTTATAAAAGTTATAAGGGCGCCTCAGTGGCTCAGTCGGTTAAGCATCTGCCTTCGGGGGCCCCTGGGTGGCTCAGTCGTTAAGTGTCTGCCTTCGGCTCAGGTCATGATCCCAGGGTCCTGGTATCGAGCCCCGCATCGGGCTCCCTGCTCGGCGGGAAGCCTGCTTCTCCCTCTCCCACTCCCCCTGCTTGTGTTCCCTCTTGCTGTCTCTCTCTCTGTCGAATAAATAAATAAAATATTTTAAAAAAAAAGCATCTGCCTTCGGTTCAGGTCATGATCCCAGGGTCCTGTCATCGAGCCCCACATTGGGCTCCCTGCTCAGCAGGGAGCCTATTCTCCCTCTCCCTCTGCCTGACGCTCCCCCTGCTTGTGCTCTCTCTCTCTCTCTGTCAAATAAATAAATAAATGAAATCTTTAAAAAAAAAAAGTTATTCAACCTCTAAGCCCGAGTGTCCACGTGTGTAAAACAGGGATAAAGAGAGAGCCTAGGTCATAAGATAATTCGAGTATTAAAGGAATTCATATGAGACAAGCCCTCAGTGCCAAGTACATAGTGAAGTATTTATTTATTTATTTTTAAAATAATATTTTATTTATTTATTTGAGAGAGAGAGGGTGCACATGAGTTGCGGGGAGGGGCAGAGGGAGAAGCAGACTCTCCACTGAGCGGGAAGCCCGATGCAGGGCTCGATCCCAAGACCCTGAGATCATGACCTGAGTGGAAGGCAGGCGCTTAACGACTGAGCCACCCAAGTGCCCCCACAGTGAAGTATTTAATAAACATCAACTATTATTACCGGGATGGAGCTGGGTGTCACTATATTCCATCAGCTAATGAGAATGGGCACCCAAAATGAAAGGGGGTTTGTTTGTGAGACAGTGTTATTCAAAGAAGGGTCTCGAACTCTCCCAGTGTGTGTCACACCCACCTGGGTGGGGCTGCCCCACGAGGTGCCTTTGCAGTGCATACGCCCTTGGGATAGGCCCCTTCTCCACAGGTTTGAGGGCCTAGACCTTGGGAAAGCTTAACACTGTTTCTCATTTGCCCCAGAGCCTGCATCACCACTTGGGAAAGCATTCAGCCAGCCCTGTTGAGCTGGGGCTGGCCTCCAGGCTCTAAAAACAATCACCACAACCATCACCATTTATTGAGCATCTACTCTGTCCCAGCTGCTGTTTGAAGTCATGGGGATAAGGTAGTGAATACAAAGTCTTGCCCCTGGGGAGCTGAGCCTCTAGTAGGGGTTAAAAGACCAGAAGCAATAGCATAAGTAAGGAAAACAGACGGTGTATCAGGGGCATCAGCTATGGGAAAAAACAGAGCAGGGTGAAGGGGTCTGGAGCCCCTGCGGTAGAGGTGGGGCACGGCTTCACGTGAGTGCTCAGGGGAGGCCTCACCGAGAAGCTGACTTGTGAGCAAAGCCCCGAAGGAGATGAGAAGTGAGCCATGGGGCTCTCAGGGCAGGAGCACCGGACGGGGGCAGAAGCACCAACAAGAGCACAGACACGAGGCGAAACCGCACCTTGATGGTGATGGAACCGGACAGAAGCCACCATCACCCGTGGGCCCGACGCACCTGGATGGTGAGCTGTCTGGCCAGAATGGCCCCGATGGTGTCACAGAGGCTGGTCAGGAGGCAGCACGCAGCACACAGCACTGACTGGTCCCGTCCGCATCTCTTTGCACATCTCAGGTAGAGAAGCCTGTGGTGACAGACAGGGGGCTTGGTGGGTATGGACAGAACACCAGAGCCATGAGGGGGTTCCCAGAGCAGGTGTCTGAAAAGGGCAATTGTGACTTTGTGTCCCTGTGAAGCACTCTCTCCCCCCAGGGATTCGGCGGGTATTTTTGAACTTGGTTTACAGATGGGAAAATCAAGGATCAAAGACCGCAGCACGAGCCCACGGCACGAGCCAGACCTGCCTCTCTAATGAAGAGGAATTTCTTCCCTCCCACAAATCAGGCCAACTCAAGTTCATGACCTACTACTCAGTGCTGGCAAACTAGCTGTCAGGTTTGATTATTGAAATGAAACGTGCGGGTTATAAAAATAATTGCCTAAATGAAAAAGGCAACTTGATTCTTTCAAATTCACGTGAAATCCTTCAAAGCTGTACGTGCAGGGGGGTGGCCTGGCTTCTACCAGCCCTTGCCCAGATTAAGCATGTTCTTTACACACACACAGCGAGCAAGACTTCTCAAAGATGCCATGGCACTTTGGGCTGACCTCTCCCTACAGGCCCCTGGGGAGGGGCCTGACTTCCCTCCCTCATTCCCCTTCTCCTGCCCTGCCCCACTCCCCTGGAACAAGCACAGAAAGGCACAACAGCCTGGAAGGGCTCAGAGATCTCTTAGAAACACTTTGTTCTAGATGTTTCCGTGCTACATTTTATGGAGAAACTGAGGCACCGTTGCAGCTCTTGTTTCATTTTCTTCAACCACAAGGTGGTACTCACTCCATGTCGTCGTTAGGACTGTTTGGCTGGTTCTGAGGGCCCACCCTGGGGCACAATGGAGGAGGGGGGAAGGCTGCTGGGTTCCCACATTTCCTGATCTGCCAGATGAAGCCCCAAGCTCACAGTGAGAACAGAAACCTTTCATTTGGGCCCTGGGCTCCTGACACCAATTCAAAGCCTAAGAGCGAAGACTCTAGAGACTCTCTGGACTCAGATTAGAAATAGTTGATTTCAACCCTCACACTGGAGAGCCGAGAAAAGTGAGGCCTATGGTGACTAGGTGAGTTCATGGCAGACCCTCTGGCTTTGCATGTGGAGGCTTTGCTCCCCAGCCCTCAGGGGAGGGGGATCCTGGGCTGACCCTACCCCAGGCCACACACAGCTTGGAGGACATACATTCCCTGAAGACAAGGTGGGGAGGGGCTCAAGGAGGGCAAGGTCCTGAAAACAATGGGTGTGCAGACCTGAGGTGGGCTGAAAAAGCAGAGCCTCTGCCCTCGGACTGACCAGCTGGGCATTCTCGGGGGACTTACCCAACCTCTCCCAACTCGAGTTTCCAGGTCAGGAAATGCCTAATAACGCACGTAGAGTGCCTCCTTAGTGTCCACTGGACAGTTTAGTCCTCACAAGTCTGCCCCTTTCTATCAGGGTCTGGGGGTTCAGTTCTTTCCATTCACTCAGGCAAGTTAGTTCACCTGTCAGAACCTCCAGCTTCCTCATGAGTACATGGGAGTAGTAACAGTCCCTCCCTCATGGGGCTGTGGCAGGGATGAAATGAGTTAATAAATGCAACACTGGGCCCACAGTAAATGTTCTAAGGGTCTTTTTATTTGCATTCCAGTGACTGAGTACCGGGGCTGCCAAATGTCTGCAGCAATATCACACGAGGGAGTGCAATGTCCACGGAGTGCCTACGATGAGCCAGTGCCAGCCCCCACCCTCCCCCGGGGGTTGCTGATCCTTTCTCCTCTGCCAGGGAATACTTGTGTTGCACCAGCTTGGGACAGGGTGGCCGAAGACCTGGAGGCCGTCTTTAACCAGGCTTCAGCCAGCTTAGGACCCAGGTGACGGTGACCACTGTGGCCAGAGTCGGATCATCGCCAGTCCCCATGGCTGATCACAGGGCCTTGGGTAAAGGGAGGCCAGAAACACCGAGAGCCTTGTCCTCGGTCCTTGCCCTCTGCCAGATGGTGGTGGTGGCGCGGGAACAATAATAAGGATGTTTAATGAGCACACACTAAGAGCTTTACAGGGACTAACTCAGTTAATCCTGCCATCCGACCCATGAGTTACCATCCCCATCTAGGTGAGGAAAATGAGGCTCAGAGGTTTTCAGCTTGCCCAGCTCACACCGCCAGTCGGCGGGGAAGGGCTGACAATAGAACCCAGGCAGGACTGGCGGCTGCCGTCCCCGGCCCCACGCCACTGCACCACCCGGCCTCCTCCTGCTGGCCCCCAGCCAGCCTCCCGTGCGCGGAATCCGCAAAGAAGTCCCGACTTCAGTCCGCAGCCGAAGGCTCCTTTCGATCGCGGAGCTGAGCTGCCTCCTGCCTCCTCCCTCTCTGCCCCCTTCCTCCCAGGTTTCCAGGAGGGAGTTGGCGGCGGGGGTGTGGGGTTAGCGCCCCGCGCCCCGCTAGCCCCGCGCCCCCCGCGGCCGATCCGGCCCCCACCCCGCGCCGCCCGGTCCCGACCCCATTACAGCGTGTGGGCGGCGATCCAGCAGGAGGAGGCGCAGATCCACAGGCCGAAGGAGATGCAGACGCGGTGGCGGGCGAAGCAGCGGTCCAGGTAGTCCCAGTCCCAGAGCGCGGGCGCGGGCGCGGGCGCGGGGCTGGCAGCCTCCCCCATGGCTCTCCGGCTCCGCCCGGCCCGGGCCCCAGCCTCCCGCGTGGCGGGGCCCGGGCGCCGCCCGCCCGCGCTGCCGCCCCGCGCCCCCTTCCCCCGGCCCGGTGCCCCCGCGGCGGCGGCGGCCCCGGCAGAGCGCACGGCCGCGGCCCGGAGATGGGCGCGGGCAGCGGCGGCGGCGCGAGGGAAAAGTTTCCGGCACCGCGCGTCTCCCCACCCGGCGCGCTATTGTCGGGGGTCGGCGGGCCAGAGGCCGCCCCCCAGCGGCGGGAGCGGGCAGCGGCCTCCGCACAAAGGCTGCGGCCCCCGCCCCCCGACAGCCGCGGCGGCGCCGCTCGCGGACCCCTTGCGGTCCCCCACCCCGCGACCTGGCGGCCAGAGCCGAATACCGTGAACCGGGGGGTACGGTACAAGGCACTTCGCTCATTAAGCACCCCATTTTCTGAACCGAGCGATACACCTACTTCGTGCCTGGCGCAGCCCTTGGGTGCTGGGGATCCTGGGGGTGAGCGGGCGGTCTGAGCCTTCTGAGGGTGCAAAAGAAAGGCTGCGGTGGGAGGCCGGGCAGGAGGACACAACCCCCCTCATCCCCCCCCCCGCCACCCCCGCATCTTGTCTCCATTGTCAGAAGCCGTCAGCGACTCCCCACCCCTACCCCCAACGGAGTCGCCCAAGCCAGACTTCCAGAAGTCACCCTAGAAGGTGCCCAGTGAGCCGAGGAGGCGGGTGGTCTTGGCCAGCCTGCTGTCCCATCCTGCCACATTGCCACACAATGCTGGTACACAGAGCTCCTCTTGAAAACAAGCTATTACCATTTTAAAATTTCCTTGTTGATTTTAGTAAGTTTGCTTAAAGAACAGGTGACCGTATCACTTTGGTTTTTTCGTTTTCAAAAATAGCAGCTTTATGGAGATCTCATTCCTATACCATAAAATTCACCTGCTAAAGTGTACAATTCAGTGGTTGTTAGTGTATCCACATAGTCGTGCAACCACCACCACTATCTAATTTAACAACATTTTCCTCACTTGCCAGGAAGCCAGTACTCATTAGCAATTACTTTCCCCTCCACACTGGCAGCCTTAGGCAACCCCAAATCTACCTGCTGTCTCTAAGGGTTTGTCTGTTCTGGAAATTCTATTATTTATTTATTTAAAGATTTTATTTATTTATTTGTGACAGAGAGAGCACACAAGCCAGGGGAGGGGCAGGCAGAGGGAGAAGCAGGCTCCCGGCTGAGCAAGAAGCCGGATGCGGGGCTCGATCCCAGGAGTCTGGGATGGTGACCTGAGCCGAAGACAGATGCTTAACCGACTGAGCCACCCAGGCATTCCTCTTCTGGAAATTCTATCTAAAGGCAGTCCCATCCAATAAGTGAGCTTTTTGTGACTTCTTTCACTCAGCATAGTGTTTTTAAGGTTCATCCATGCTGTAGAGTGTGTCAGAACTTCCTTTCTTTTTATGGCTGAATAATATTCCATTGTGTGGATATATCACATTTTATTTCTCCATTCATCAGTTGGCGGACACTTGGGTTGTTTGCACGTTTTGGTTCTTATGAATAATGCTGCTGTGAACATTTGTGTAAAAGGTTTTGTGTGGACAGAGGTTTTCAGTTCTCTTGGGCATGTCCCTAGGAGTGGAATTGCTGGGGCTCCTGGTAACTGTGTTTGAGGTTTTGAGGAACTGCCAGACTGTTTTCCAAAGTGGCTACATTACTTTATATTTAAAGTTATGACCACTCACAGGAGAAATGAAACACCATTTGTCAGACATTTTCAGGCTAGGAGCTGAGGACGGGGTTTTTTTGTTGTTGTTTTAAAAGATTTTATTTTATTTATTTGAGAGAGAAAGAGTGTGAGAGAGGGCATGAGCGGGTTTGGGGGGGAGTGGGGAGGGGCAGAGGGAGAAGCAGACTCCCCCTGAGCAGGGAGCCAGACACCAGGCTCCACCCCAGGACCCTGAGATCATGACCTGTGCCGAAGGCAGGTGCTTAACTAACTGGCCACCCAGGCGCCTCTGAGGACATGTTTTTGAGAAAAACGGACAAGTCTCTACGTTCATGGAGCTTACGGTCCAGTAGGAGAGAGAGACATCAAACAAGCAATAGAACAAGCAAAAGCAAAATGAAAATATGTTATTCAAAAGAAGGGGCCAAAATTAAAATATGGAAATGATTAAGATAAAGTGATATAAAATGAACACCAACTAAGGCAAGATTAAAAGGTTAAATTAAAAGGAAAAAATCTCTCTCACTTTTTCTCAAATACATAAAATCTTAAAAAAATAAATAAAAGGAAAAAATATAGTAGCCAGGTTTCTCATAGACATAAACAAATACCCACAGTCTGATGGCCCTGCCTGATGGTTCTTTGTGGGTTCTTCGGGCACACCTGTGGATACTGACCTGTGATTCCTTGGATCCTGGGTTCCTCTGGTGACATGGCCTACCTACTGTTCCCAAAAGAGAATCCATTCCAAGAACTATGTTGCTAAAACGAGGACAAACCCTGCCTGTGTCCTCTCACAAGGTTCCCGCAGGGCACAGCTACCTTATGCTCTGCTTTGTTGAGGCTTGAAGACGCCAGAATTTAATTTGATTTGCTTCTTATTAGGACTTCCCTGTCCCTCAGGCTCAGTATAAGCCCTTGGAGGCTGGGCCCAGTTGAACAAATTGCTTCATTCCTCCCCACCCCACCCTGGACCAGGTTTACACACCTCAGCAGTTTTTCCTTAGAGTGGCTAGTTCTCAGCCTTTCCAGTGAACTCTTTGAGAATTTGGAGAAAACCTCAACCCTAAAAATTAGGAACATGTGTGCACACCCACGCAGTTGTTCATATAATCTTAAGGAATTTGTGGAAGTCCTGAAATGCAACTATAGATTTTGTGGAAGTCGAGAACCCAGACAAAAAACCCCTCATGTAAGGGGCACTTGGGTGGCTCATTCGGTTAAGCGTCTGCCTTCCACTCGGGTCATGATCCCAGGGTCCTGGGGTCAAGTATTGCACTCCCTGCTCAGTGGAAAGCCTGCTTCCCCCTGCTTGTGCTCTCTCTCTCTCACTCTCGCTCTGTCTCAAATAAACAAATAAAATCTTAAAATCTTAAAAAAAACACAAAACCCTCATTTAAGGGGTTAAGCCCTGAGTCCCCTCCCAAAGCACTGGCGGCAGTGCGGCGCATAGACGGAGGTGTGGGGATCACTCAGCCGGCCTGTCAGAAAGCGTCCCTGCTGAATCCAGCTCTCTGGGCACGTGTGCTTGGAATCTGCACCGATCCATCATTTCCTGTGGCTGCTCTAACAGATGAGCATAAACTTAGTGGCTTAAAATAGCAGAAATATATTCCCTCCCGGTTCTGAAAGCAGGTTCCCTGGACCACAATCAAGGGGACTCTAGAAGGGGAATCCATTCATTGTCTCGCTTCATCCCCTGTCTGGGGGCTGCCAGCGCTCCTTGCTTGAGGCCTCATCACTTAACTCCGTCTCTCCCTCCGTGCTCACGCTGGCCTCGTCTTGTGTCCGATCTCCCTGTCTCTTTCCTATAAAGATTGCATTTGTGACCTGCTCAGATCATCCACGTTACACCCCCCATCTCAAGACCCTTAACCAAATCACATGTGTGGACTCGTTTCCCATATAAGGTTCCAGGGATTATGAGCTGGTATTTTGGGGGGCCATTAGTCAGCCTACAACACTGCCTTCCCACAAGCTTCCTGTGCGATTCTTATGAGAAATGCGGGCTTGTGGAGATGGCCCTCAATGGGGGCGGACCGGTTGTGGGGAGCTCAGCCCCTGGACACGTTGGCTCATAGGAAAATGCAATGGGAAGAATGTGGGCTTTGGAGCCTTCTGAAGCGGTCCTCCCTGCCCAGGCTGCTCTGTGTCCTGGTCCTGGAGGGGCACTGGGCCTATACTCCTCCTCAACAAGCACACCCTTCCGAGCGGGATGAGTGCTGTCTTTCTGCCAGGCTGGGAGCATCTTCAGCCAGGGCTGTCTAGTTCCTATCTGTATCCCCAGCACCTGACTCAGTGCCTAGCACGTAATAAGGAAAATAGTTGCTGAACGAATGATTTTTTTTTTTTAAGATTTTATTTATTTATTTGACAGAGAGAGAGAGAGAGAGCACAGATAGGCAGAGCGGTAGGCAGAGGGAGAAGCAGACTCGCTGCTGAGCAGGGAGCCTGATGCGGGGCTCGACCCCAGGACCCTGGGATCATGACCTGAGCCGAAGGCAGGCGCTTAACTGACTGAGCCACTCAGGTGCCCCATGAATGTATTTTAAAAAAAAAGATTTATCTATTTTATAGAGAAAGAGAGAGAAACACGAGTGGGAGGGGCAGAAAGAGAGGGAGAGTCTCAAGCAGACTCCCCAGTGAGTGCATAGCCCAGTTTGGGGCTCAATCCCAGGACCCCAAGATCATGACCTGAGCTGAAACCAAGAGTTGTATGCTCAACTGACTGCACCACCCAGTCAGTTGATATTTAATTATTAAAGATTTTATTTATTTGACAGAGCAAGAGAAAGGGGGAGAGAGCACAAGTAGGGGAAGCCGCAGCAGGAGAGGGAGAAGCAGGCTTCCCGCCGAGCAGGGAGCCCGATGCGGGGCTCGATGCCAGGACCCCTGGATCATGACCTGAGCCGAAGGCAGACGCCCAACGACTGAGCCACGCAGGCGCCCTGGACCGACGTGATATGTACTGTAGTAAGAGCATGTTTACGATGCTTCAGTGCCCCCACCATCGTGCGTGCGGGTGTGTTGGAAGGGCTTTTAAGAAACCCACAAGCGGGGCTTGGGCGGGTAAGCTTGCTTTTGGCACTAGGGTGGCACGAGCAAAAGCCGAAGCCCAGCAGGCGAGGTCCTGCAGCAAGGGAGGAGACGGGCAGGAGAGCAGGCCGCGCCACCCAGTCATCAGGGAAGCGGGACTTCATCCGGTCGGGAACACAGGGTTATATAGGTGAACCTACGCCCTTCCTGCTGTGAGGACCTCTCCCGAATTCTGCCAGGACCTTCCACAGGGCCTTTCACACAGTCGGCCCTCAGGAAGTGAATCAGTTCCTTCACCAGGCTCCTGGAGGCCCGGCAGCTGCCCCACCCAGAAGCTAAAGCTAATGTTCCTTTGGCCACGGTCCAGAGTTTGCCGAAAAGAAAAGCTAACAAGAGGACCGTCACACAGGTCCTCCCTCTGCGGCATTTCCTGTTGGCAGGGGCACTGAGCCCACAGGCTTTGTCCTGGACAAGGAAGGGCTGTGGCAGCCAGGACTGTCCTGCAGGAGCCGGCGGCCGGCGCAGCTGGAAGTGCCAGTCTCCTTGGGGGGACAGGCCGGCAGCTCAGTCGCTTCCCTTCTGAGGACCTGCTGCCCCCTGCCAGTGTCCCTGTAGGATGTTTTATTTAGAGGAAGGGCTCGTGGCTGCTACTCAAACAGCAACATTAAAAAAGGCTCTCTGCCAGTTGGATTTACCTGCTAGCAACATAGCAATCAATTCTCAGAGGATGCCTTTTGAAATAATGGCATTTCCAAATCTGAATCAGGCCCACTGTGGACATGCTGGACTGTCATGAGAGAAGCAGGTGGTAGGACTGTCAGGGTCCTTGGTTCTTTAACCTCCACCGTCAACTCACTGTTTGGTCTTGTGAAAATTCTACTTTTGGTTCCCCCTCAAGTTCTTCATTAATAACACCCTTTTGCTGAAAGTCACTTACTTCACAATGCTCAGAAGCTAGGCAAGGGCTAATGGAACTCATAGATGTTGAAACATTACATTAAGGAAATTTTTTAAGTAATCTCTACCCCCAGCGTAGGGCTCAAACTCACGCACTGAGAATCAAGTCGCATGCTCTACCGACTGAGCCAGCCAGGGGCCCCAGGTTACTCACCTTTTATTTAACTAATTAATTAATCAATTTATTTATTTATTTTTCTAAAGATTTTACTTATTTATTTGACAGAGACAGCTAGCTAGAGAGGGAACACAAGCAGGGGGAGTGGGAGAGGGAGAAGCAGGCTTCCCGCCGAGCAGGGAGTCCGATGCGGGGCTCGATCCCAGGACCCTGGGATCATGACCTGAGCCGAAGGCAGACGCTTAATGACTGAGCCACCCAGGCGCCCCGGTTACTCACCTTTTAAAGAGCCAACTAAATAGAATTCAGTACTTGAATATTTGCAACTCTTAGTTACTTACCTACTTTACAAGTAGCCAAGATGTACAAATTATAAATATGAAACCCACCCCTTTCTTCCCCCACTCTCCTGAAAAAATTCTGAAACCTTTGATTGTTGGGTCAGGCAAGAGTTAAAAGTCATTACTGTTATCAATTAACTTCTGAAGTTGTTACTAGTCACAGTTTAAGTGCCTAATAGTCACATCTGGCTGTAGTTACCTATAGGATAGCACAGATTATAGAACATTTATTTGCACTGTAGCCAGAAAGTTCTATTTGACGACCCCCATATTACAACATCTATAGCAGCACAACTTTTAGAAATCAAAACCCTTTGGAAAATAATGATGTATCTGTGTAGGTTCACTGTTAACAGATGCACCACTGTGGTGCGGGGTGTTCAGGGTGGGGGAGGCTGTGCATATGTGGGGACTGGCGAATATGGGAACTCTGTACTTAACTGCTTAATATTGCTGCGAGCCAAACACTGTTCTAGAAAATAGTTAATTAAAAATTAAAAAAAAACCCTGCAAAAACATCTACATGTCCATCAATAATAGAACCATAAACTACCCTAGAGCAATGACAATTTATTATTTATCATATGTAAGACTATGGACGAATCTCACGATGTTGGATTAAAGAAGCCAGATACATGAGTACACAATGTAGACTGTGTATGTATCATACAAAATCTGGTGAAAAGGTCAGAATAGCGGTTACTCTTGGGAAGATCTGTTTGTGGCTGAAAGGAAGCACGGAATGTTGACCCTTCTGTGTCTTTTTTTTAAAGATTTTATTTATTTGACAGAGAGAACACAAGCAGGGGGAGTGGGAGCGGGAGAAGCAGGCTTGTGGGGCTCGATCCCAGGACCCTGGAACCATAGACCTGAGCCGAAGGCAGACACTTAACCAACTGAGCCACCCAGGTGCCCTGACCCTTCTGTGTCTTAATCAAGGTGCTGGTTGCATCAATGTGTTGTTTGTGAAAAGTCAGCTATCTATACTCTTACGATTGTGTGCTTTCTGTATACATATCACACTTCAATATAACATTTAAAAGATGTATTCAGAGTCTACTGTGTACTGGGCACTTTTCACTTACATAATGCCTTTCACTTTGAGATTGCTCAAAATTGGTTTCCCTTCATATCAGAGTCTTTTGAAAGCAAAATCTTTCCTTTCTCTAGGGCCCTCTTCACCCTCAACTGGTCAATAGTATGATGAACACGACAGACAACAAATGGTTAAGGGTGGATATTTTGAATGATTTTTCCTCACTTCTCCACAAAGACGTTAGAGGTATGGCATTAAACAGATTTCTGGCTTGCTGCCATATTTTCCAGTTTACCTACGAAGAAAGCATATGTTGCTACTGATATCTTGACCAAAACCTTAACTTCCTTCTAGTTTCCCAAAAAGTAAACAGATGACAGATGTGTACCAGGTTCTACTTTAAAAGGACAGTATATTTCTTGTAATAAAATGCTGGGAAAAAATTCAAAACCATAAAGTGATAATGCTAATGACTGGAATTTATTTAGTCTAAAGTACTAACTGCTACAAGGGTGAGGATACCTACAAAAATTGAAAGGATGCTTCACAAGACACCCATTCTGGGCAGAAGCAAAGGTGAAACTAGAAAGCCCCCTTTCAGGGTGTCCTAGTTTTGGTTTTTCAGACTCTAAGCAGAGGACTTAGGTTTAGTTAATTTTCTTAAGTAGGCTCCAGACTTAAAGTGGAGCCCAACATGGGGCTTGAGCTCACAACTTGAGCTGAGATCGAGAGTTGGACGCTTAACTGACTGAGCCACCCAGCACCCTGTTCACTGTGGGCAAGTGGGGCTCAATCCCTCTGAGGGTGCAGTGAGGCACATGTACAATGTACGCACCGAGTGATAGGGAAGCCGGGGCACTTACCAACCAGCCCGTTCTTTACCAGTTGGCGGTTGCTCTGGGGGTGTTACATCCCCAGCCCTTCTAGATTGCCCTGTGTGCAGGCTGAGCAGGCTCCTGTGGGGCAGGAGAAAGGAATACAGGGCTTTGGTGGTGGAAAGACTTGCACAGGAACTGTCCACTGGGGCTGCAGGTGAACTCATAGTGGGCTAAGGGATATGGAGTGGTGTGGGGCATCCACAAAGACATCTCTTACTAGTAATACTTGCTAGAAAATTGAGTTAGATGCTCTTCACAATTGTTCCACATTCACAAAAATTAAATACCAAAGGTATACATCCAGAAATAAGCCCTCACACATTTATGTTCAATTCTTGGCAAGGGTGCCAAAACAATTCAATGGGTAAACACTAGTTTTTTCAACAAATGGTGTTGGGACTACTGGATACCATATGTAAAGAATGAAGTTGGTCCAACTACCTCACACCATATACAGTAACCCAAAATGGACCACAGACGTAAATCTATGAGCTAAAACTATAAAACTCTTAGTAAGAACATAGGGGGTAAATCTTAGTAACCTTGGATTTGTGAATAGTTTCTTAAATTTAACACCAAAAACACAAGCAACCAAAGAAAAAATGGATACATTTGGACTTCATCAAAATTAAAACTGCTCCAAGGGACACTGTAAGAAAATGAAGACACCCCACTGAATGGCAAATGACAGATCTGATAAGGGACTTGTACATACAATGTACAAAGGACCTTTGTAACTCAGTAACAAGATAACTCAATTAAAGAATAGGCAAAGGATCTCTTAATTGACATTCTTCCAAAGATGATATACAAGTGGCCAGTAAGCATATGAGAAGATGCTCAATCAACATCATTCGTTGTTAAGGGAATGCAAGTCAAAACCATGAGATACCACTTTGTACCCACTGGGATGGCCAAGACATAAAAAGACAGGTAGTAACAAGTGTTGACAAGGATATGGAGAAATGGGGGGCGCCTGGGTGGCTCAGTCGGTTAAGCATCTACCTTTGGCTCAGGTCATGATCCCAGGGTCCTGGGATGGAGCCCCGCATCGGGCTCCTTGCTCAGCGGGGAGCCTGCTTCTTCCTCTCCCTCTGCTGCTCCCACTTGTGCTCTCTCTCAAATAAATAAAATCTTAAAAAAAAAAAAAAAAGGATATGGAGAAATTAGAACCTGTTGATGGGAAATGTAAAATGGTGCAGCCATTCTGAAAAAGTCTAGTAGCTGCTCAAAAGGTTAAATATATTGCAGTTCCACTCCTATATACCTGATTAAAAAACCTGTGTCCACACAAAAACTTGCACACAAATGTTCAGAGCAGCATTATTTATAATATAAAGTGGAAACCCAAATGTCTTTTTAAATGATTTTATTTGAAAGCGCACAAGTGGGGGTAGCTGCAGAGGGAGAGGGAGAAGCAGACTCCCTGCTGAGCGCGGAGCACGAGGTGGAGCTGGATCGCAGGACCCTAGGACCCCAGGACCCCAGGACCCCAGGATCATGAGCTGAGCTGAGCTGAAGTCAGATGTTTAACTGACTGAGCCACCCAGGTGCCCCTGGAAACCCAAATGTCTTTTAACTGATAAATGGAATAAACAAAATGTGGTATATACATTCGATGGAATGTATTATTTGGTAATAAAAAGCAATGAAGTATGGAGAGATGTTAGAATACACGAACCTTGAAGACATCAGGCTAAGTGAAAGCCAGTCACAGGTCACACAGCTTATGATTCCATTTATTTGAATGTAAAGAAGAGGCAAGTCCATATATAAAGCAGATTAGTGGTTGCTTGGGGCTAGGGGGGTGAGAGGATTGGGAGCCAATAGCTAAAGGGTCCTGGGCCTCTTTTTGTGACAGTAATGTAGAATTCATTACAGTGATAGTTACACAACTCTGAATATACTAAGAACCATTGCACTGTATACTTTAAATTGGTGATTTTGCACGGTATATGAATCTCAATAAAACTGTTACAAAAATAATCAAGAGCATGGAAACATATGTACCTACTTTTTCTGTAAAGTCTCATGTTTTAGCTATTACACTATCATTAAAGCAAAACTTATTCTAAATCAGTACATGCTTTGTTCATTCAGTATGGAAGTTTCTCCCACACAACTGTGCCTGTTCTTCAGTAAATGGAACAAAGTATATTTTAACATGCCAATGCTGTTCCTCTACCAATGAGCTTTTTTTTTTACCGAGACGGTCTCATTTTTCTCAGATAAAAGGGAATGACTAGAAGTAGATTGTTGCAGATGGGATCAACACCATTTTAGAACCTCCTTAGCTTTGCCTCCTCTCAATTTGCCTCAGCCTTGGTCTGGAGTAACCTTTCACTCAGTATTTAAAGAATTAGAACACTAGCCCCTTACCTATTTATAAACCCTTCCTTGGCTTATCCAGTACTTTAGAGAAAACATCCAGAATCCTCCCCACACGCTCAAAGGCCCCATGTGGCGGCTCCTGCTAACGTCCTTCCTGCTTCAGGCCCTACTCCTGCTGTGGCCATTTTCCAGTGCCCTTTCCCGCCACACAGGAGGTGGGGTTTGTTAAATGAACAAGTGTACTTTTTTTATTCTCCAGGTGGAAAACATTTTCAAATATATCTTAAATTTATCATGGCCACATAGGGCAAGGCTTAACTGTGAATTCATAGATGAACTTTGAGGGTCTGTGTTTCTTATGGGAATGGGCACTTTTCTGGAGAAAGCATCCATAACTTCCATTAGATTTCCAAAAATACCTATCACACAAAACAAGGTAAGGAACTGAGTTAAGGGAATAATGAGGCTCACAGAAAAAGGGAGACAAAAGTAAAGTGAGAAGCTAAAACAGCCATTGTGTATTTATTACAAACAATGGCGCTATAAAAGGTAAACTGCCTTTGTCATTCTTGATGGTTGTAAGTACCAAGGAGATCAGGGATCCCTATGCCTAAAACAAAAACCCAAAAATCCCTGTAGTTAGCTACAGAAGACCGCATGCTTCCCTCTGTAATAGCGGCTCATGTTGATGGTGATTTTCCAAGAAGGCCGTGCTCTCCAGAAGCTTTTGAAAACTACACACGCCAGTCCCCCATTCCAAGATCTGATATGCCTTCTGCCATACCAGGGGTGTACTGGGTCTGTGTGAGGTTGAGAGTCATTAACGTAACTAATGTTCTCTAAAGAAGCCATCTAAAACTCAAACTGTTTAAAGAACGTGAAATGTCCAAATGGCAATGTATCTACATAAACCAGGAAAACATCTGTCAGTGGCAATTTAATTTTAGTATCTTAAAAAAAAAAAAACCAAACTCCAACTTACAAATTAGTATGCATCTGCGTATTTGTTCACACACACACACAACCATGTGTTCCCTCATCTTAGGTTCAGCCTTCTACAGGACGAGGTTTCTGGGGCTCCAAGATGACTGTGTTGTTCGCTGCTCCAAGGAGCCCCCCGTCTGGATACTGGTGTTTGGTGTGGCTGCGTGCCACGAGAGCAGCGTCCATTCTGTGCAATCACAGGCCAGAGCAGCTCCTGTTCTATTCCAGATGCACAGTGCAGAAGCCATTTCTGTTGCAGCCCAAGTTCATGTATCCAGGTGCTTATACAGTCGACGACTTTTCTCTTTTTTATTTCTGTTGCCATGTTTTTTCCAGGCCTTCCCAGCCCTGCTCTCAGCGCTCACAGTAGCTGCGGTCACCATGCCACTCCCAGGCTTGTAGCCCATCACAGCCTGCACTCCTTTGGTCAAAGCTCTCACATTTTCCTAGGAAGTAAGACAGCATTATTTGAGGTGTAAGCACAGGATTATTTATGGAGAACTCCAAGAACAACTAAATTCCACCTACTGATAAATAAACAAAATGTGGTCTATCCATTCAATGGAATACTATTTGGCAATAAAAAAAAGTGTGGATAATACATGGATGAACCTTGAAGTCACGATGCCAAGTTAAAGAAGCCAGTCACCAAAGGCCACAGAGTGGGCGATTCTATTTATAGGAAACGTCTGGGACAGGCCAATCTATCCAGGACAAAGTAGACGAGTGGTTGGCGGGGGTTGGAGGGAAGAGGGGAATAGTGAGTCACTGCTAATGGCTACAATGTTTCTTTCTAGAGTGAAAAAATGTTCTAAAATTATGGTGATAGTTGCACAACTCTGAATATACTACAAATTATTGAACTGCACTTTAAAAGGGTGAATTTTATGCTATGTGAAGGGGTATTTCAACAAAACTGCTATATAAAATGTGTTGGATCAGAGGGTAAGGGAAAACTTTAAAACTTACTTGATGGAAAAAAGTTTTATCAACTATATTTTCAATCTGTGTTGCTTTTTTATTTCTGCCTGGATGTACTTTCAGTTCGCCACCGTTTGTTTGGCTCTCTAGGAGTCGCTGGTGTTGCTGCTGAAAGGTCACAGGGTCTCTTCCAGGAGGAGGATGACAGTACAGAAGTTGACCCTACGAAGCCAACAAGAAGCGGAACAGCACATCACAGGTGCCATGTGTGTTATCGAGAAGAAAAAGTCCTCCGAGAAGACCTCTCCGCCAGGCGCCCTGACAAGCTTCCTGCTTTCTGATGTGAGCTGAGCGGAGTTCTGTCACCTACAACTGGAGAGCCCTAACGAAGACACCGACCGTGCTCCTTAACGTGTTCGGGAGGCCTCGCCGGCCCACAGCCCCCACACCAGAAAGAAATCTTTCTCCTCTGTGCTTTTTACCTTGTTTGCATTTCTACTAAAGTGTCCTTCAGTACGCTGACATGACTGTACTTAGGATAAATATTTTCCAAAACAAAAACCAGGACACAACTAGACAGCAGGATGATACTATGGGGATGTTGGGCTGGCCGTGGTTGCTCACTGGGCGCAAATTTTCTGCTTCCTGCTGTAAGCGCTCTATAAACTGTGGTTGGTTTTAACTCATCTTCTCATCTTCCATGGTTTTACAAGTGGTAAATGAATAAATAATTTATCCATACAAATATTCCATTAACTTCTTTCTTCCTGAACTGAAGGCAAGATTGTGCTGCCCAATTTGACTCCTGTGCTTCCCAGAGCTCTCCTGATGTGGCACTGAGGAGGGGGAACAAAGCCAAATCCTCATAACCAGTTATTACTGGAGACCCGGAAGGCTTGTTTGTGAAAAGAATTAAGCTTAATACTTAACAACTATTGGGGGTTAATTATGCGTCAGGCACTGAGCTTAGTGGTGTGTGTGTCTCCACATACATAGATTTTTCTCATTTACTTCCCATAACAATCTCATGAGATAGGTACTATTAATTCCTATTTTACTGATAAGGAAAACCCCAAACTTAGCATGTGTTCATTTGTAATACGAGAATGACCACCTCATGGACTTGTGTATTTTTAACGAGGTGACAACACGGAGAACATTTTGCACTGCCCTTAGCTGGGCTCGCTGGGAGTGCTGTTGTCACGAGGGGAAGTGCAGGGAGAAGGGCAGATGACCAGCTACGCTGCAGGGAGGGTGGGGACACAGCTGTCACAGGAACCAGCAAGGGCTTCGGGAGATGGAAAAACATTTTCTCACTTTCACTGAGGACATGCGTAGAGCCCTCTCCCTCGTGTTACGCTGTTGGTTACATGTAGGGTTCAGACGATGCTAGCTCCCCTGGATCAAGAATGCCTGGCCAAGGCGGCGGGTCCCCTCCCCCAGAAGAGCCGCTCAAACCTTGCCAATGCTGCCTCTCACTGATGACACTACCACCTCAGTGAGGAAGCATCTCCTCTCTAACTCAACAGGTTGCCGGCATCTAAAAGCACACCATGAGGACGAAGGCCTGTTTACTCCAGAGCAACAAGGAGCCGGGCTCACTTACGCTGACGTAGTCCTTCAGGATATAGCGAGCAGACCGCGGCTGGTCTGGCTGCCCATGCGCAGTCATGAATCCTCGCATGTCTGTGAGGAGAAATAGTGGTGCAAAACCCAAGTGAGAAGCCAGAACGTCACAACAAAGACAACCGACGTGACGGAAGTTTAGTCTAACTATGCATGCTGAATTGCTAGTTTTTAAAAATTTTTTTAAAAGATTTTATTCATTCCTTTGAGGGTGGGGGGAGAGCATGAGCAGAGGGGAGAGGCAGAGGGAGAAGCAGACTCCCTGCTGAGTCGGGAGTCCAACATGGGGCTCACTCCCAGGACCTGGAGATCACAACCTGAGCTGAAGGCAGACACTTAACCATCTGAGCCACCCAGATGCTTTAAAAAAGCAACTATCATGGTAGAAGATAATCTGGTTAGCACCATAAAGACATCTGAGAATCCAGGTAAACAGACGATATTGTTCTGATACCCTAGCACCAAGCGGTAACGTTCAATTTCTCTCTACTCCAGTTATTTCTTTCATCTCTTGATTTTAAAAACATTTAATCACGGAGGCTACCTGTAGAATGCTATGTTGTCACTATTATTAGCAAAACCAAAAGCAATACAGTAAGCCTCTTTTTGTTTAGTGATGTATCTATGCTTTTTCCAGTTTCTCCAACATACTATACAGACCCCTCTAATACTGACTCAGTTAGAGGGAGTAGCAGAGCACAGTGGTTAAGAATATGGGCTTTGGCAGACAGGTGGGGTTCAAAACTCAGCTTCCTCACCTAGTAGCTGTGTAGTAGGCTCTGTCATGTTTAGAAGGAAATGGTGAGAATCTTAGTTCACATAATACACAAAAACACATTTAGGCAGATTAAAAATCTAAAGATTAAAAAAAAAAAGATATTAGAGGGAAACAATTTTGTCCTTCTGAGATAGGGAAGGCCCTCCCCAAGTAAAACACCAAACCTCATCAAGCCAAAAAGGAAAAAAAAAAAAAGGCTATTAAAATTGGTAATGTCTACAGGGTTAAAGAAACCACAAAGGACTCCTACAAATCATTAAGACAACAAAAGATGCATAGCAAATGGTGATTCCCAGAAGAAACAGAAATGGCTAACGTATGGACAGATGTCCCATTTCACTAGTACTTAAAGATATGCAAATTAGGTTAGTTAGCAACATCTTTTAAAATGAACTGTCAGAAACTATGCTTTACAGACCTGCAGATGATCCTAGAAACTGTACATATGTGGTCATCCATTTTTATTCTGATTTTATCAGATTTAGATGACAAATCTTAAAAAACTCAAACTCAATTACTTTTCATTTTATCTTATCTGGAAGTCAAACTAAATGGGAAGTCTGGTGGAAGTCCACCTTTCCCCATCTTTCAGGCGCTGGCACCAGAGAGATGTCTGGATTATGAAATGGGTTCTCATCCAGGCTACACCACTGACCAGACACCACCGTGGATAAGTCATTTCATGCTCTGATTTCAGATTGTCTTAAAAAAAAAGGAGGCGAAAGGTGGCATGATTTTTAAGGTCTTTTCTAGTTCTGTGATTTTGTGACTATACCAGTCTCATCCAAACTGCTTAGTATTTATCCTCTTTAAAGTCTCCCAACTAAACTAGGTTCAAGTTCTGGTTTAAGTGTGTTTCATATCAAATCACCTTTCTCTGCGAGAAAGATACAAGTTTTTTCTCTTCGTATCAAATCACTCAATAACCTGAACTCCTTCCCTGTTGGTGGCAGTTCCTTTAAAGGCATGCCACAGATGTATGGAAATGTTTCTAACATTGTTATTTCTTTAGGTAGACGTAGGTTCCTCCAGACCACCTTTAAAGTTTGTATTTAAGGTAAATAAATCACAATCAGTTGAAGAACGATAGGCAGATAGCTCCCACATAGAACTGGGGTAAGACATAGAGGTGGGAGAGCAGTGGACTCATTTTAATGTCAAACAAGGTTTCCAAGGGACTGATGGAAGGCGAGGAAGGCTGTTTTGTGTTCCCATCCTGACCACGCTCCACTCTGTCCCAATCTCTGAAGGCTTTCCTTTCCCATGCTGCCCTCACAACTCTCCTATCCTGCTATGACAGCATATTCATTTTCTTCCCAACAAACCGGAGAGAAGGGAGAAGACTCCAGAAAAAGCCAACACGGCCTCAGTCAGAATCCATATCTACACCTGAGTACCAACGAAACAGTGAGTGCCCTAAGGGCCTTGTCTTCCAAGCACGTGACAGCAGCTGGCTCGCCCTGTGCGCCCTGTGGGAGCTTTCAACCCGGTCCGCATGTAGGCCTCCGACAGGGAGGGGCCCGAGACCAGGAGAGCATGGGAAGACATGTGCCCGGGGAACGGGACTGATTGCAACCGTGAAGGTCCACAAAGGGCAGACCGGAAGAGGCCAGGGACTCAAATCATCTCCTTCTCTAACTCTAGAAAGCGCTTAACACACACTAACTACTCAGGCAGCAGTCAGCTCTCCCTCACTGTTGCACTCTGAACCCACCACCAGAACAGCTTGTGGGCAAGGCCCACAGAGACAACAAAAGTGTCAACGCTGGAAGATGACATGACAAATGCTAAGGAAAAATGTGAATTTGTATCTTTGCAGGAGTAGTTCTCTCATTAACTATGCTGTTACTTTTTTTGTTCATGTTTTAAAATAAATCACAACTCACATCCATAAGCCGTCAACAGTTCTTCTGATGTTGGAAGTCGACAGGGATCTTCATCCTCTCTAGGCTTTATGATATTAATGCCATAGGTAGCTTCTAAGACATGTCTCGGAATATTCTGGCAAACATAAGCTTGTCAAGGAATCCATTCCCTTGAACTTAACCCCACCCCACTACAGCTTCTGACACATGCTTCCTAATTCAGCACTTTTTTTTTTTTAAAGATTTTATTTTATTTGACAGAGACATAGCGAGAGAGGAAACACAAGCAGAGGGAGTGGGAGAGGGAGAAGCAGGCTTCCCGCCGAGCAGGGAGCCCGATGCGGGGCTCGATCCCAGCTCCCTGGGACTATGACCTGAGCTGAAGGCAGACGCTTAACGACTGAGCCACAAAGATGCCCCTAATTCAGCACTTTTTTTTTTTAAAAGATTTTATTTATTTATTTGACAGAGACAGAGATAGCGAGAGCAGGAACACAAGCAGAGGGAGTGGGAGAGGGAGAAGCAGGCTTCTCGCAGAGCGGGGAGCCCGATGCAGGGCTCGATCCCAGGACCCTGGGATCATGACCTGAGCCGAAGACAGACGCTTAACGACTGAGCCACTCAGGCGCCCCTAATTCAGCACTTCTAAGACAGAAGCTTTTTCACCTCTCCAGAAAAAAAGGGTAGTTATTCATTAATTTTTGAATACTCTTTTTTCTCTTTAAACACCATGCTACCTTGTACCAGTTACTCATGCACATGCCCCATCTGCCCTCCAGAGTGAATCCGACAAGGGCAGGATCCATGGCTGATTCATGCCTCTAGCCTCCACAGAACCCAACCTAACCTGGCTTGTAATAAATGCTCAGTACACACCTGATTACTAATTCACAGAGAAGTTGAAAATATATAGAGAAGCATTCAGTAACGTGACATCTGTGTTCCCAACTATCAGGAGGTAGTGACAATGTCATCTATTAAAAAAATGCACTGAAAATGGAAACCTTTGGAACACTATACCAGCCCCTCCTGCCACCTGGAGGTAAGTGGAGTTGATGGTATAGCCGCCAGGCCACTTTGCAGACTTTCACATTCTTGAGTATCTATTAAAACAAAGTACGGTTCTGCGAGATGACACTTTTTACAGAAATGGTGTCATACCGTATATGTAATGTTTTGAGATTTACCCAAGTCACTATAGGTACGTTTAGTGCAGTTTTTTTTTTTTTTTTTTTTTAAGATTTTATGTATTCGAGACACAGAGGTAGAGAAAGAGAGAGAGAGAGCATGAGCAGGGGGAGAGGCAGTGGGAGAGGGAGAAGCAGGCTCCCCACTGAGCCAGGAGCCCAATGTGGGGCTCGATCCCAGAACCCTGGGATCATGACCTGAGCCGAAGGCAGATGCTTAACCATCTGAGCCACCCAGGCACCCCTTACTGCAGTATTTTTAACTACTGTATACTATTCTATTTTAGCGATACACTATATTTTACCTATCCTGGTAAATGAATTCTTCATTATTTCTTACAGAAAGAGAAATTAAATTGGGGTGCATGAAAAGCTGTGGCAAGGATCTTGTCAAGAACTGTAGTTTAGTGTACTTACAAACTAACAAAATCAGTATGCCAGTCTCAGGGAGTCTCCTGTCTTCCACCAGTACCCACGGAACAGTAACAGACTAATTCATTGGCTTGTAAGGAGGGTAAAATCTTAAAGACACTTGGTTCTTGGGGCGCCTGGGTGGCTCAGTCGTTAAGCATCTACCTTCGGCTCAGGTCATGATCCTAGGGTCCTAGGATCGAGCCCCGCATCCGGCTCCCTGCTCGGCGGGAAGCCTGCTTCTCCCTCTCCCACTCCCCCTGCTTGTGTTCCCTCTCTTGCTGTGTCTCTCTCTTTTCAAATAAATAAATAAAATCTTAAAAAAAAAAAAAAAGACACTTGATTCTTAACAGATCTATCTTTGAGTACTTTTTTCACATCAGACGCTATTCTAGACGCTTCACGTAAGGTAACTCATTATGCTGGGAGGTGGCAGAGTTCCTAATTAGCTACCTACTAGCTGTTAGATCTTGGCAAATTATTTAACTTCTCTGTGCCTGACTTTCCTCAAGCTTGAAAAAATTGGAATAATAGCAGTACCCATGTCAAGGGTTGCTTTAAGAATTAAATGAGATTACTTGGTAAGTGTTGTGCGAAGCACACAGTAAGCATGCAATAAATGTTGGCATTAACGATTAAATTCTCACCATCAACTGTGAAGTAGCTTTTTGGAATTTTTCAGAAAAGGAATGTTTCTGGAAGGCTAATAAGCAAGCTTACCAAGGTCACACAAGGAGTCAAAACACCAGTGTCAGGATTCAACTGGGGGCCGCGATCCAAAGCCTGTGCTCTCCCACTGACACCAGGCGACACTGCCACCATCAGGACATGAGCTTCTACTCCCGCAGTCCTGATGCTACCTCCCTGCACAAACTTGGGCAGATCACTAGTCAGTATTTCAGGTTTTTCCGTTCAATAGCAGGCGTGAATACATCCAATGTAATAAAGCAATGTCCCAAACAAACCTGAAGCCCTAATATACACACAATAGCCAATTTTTGCAAAGCAGGAAGGATATTAGTGACACAGGGGGGACGTGGTCTCTCATTTGGTCAATTGGGAGGATTCCATTGCAAATCATCTCTGCCTTGGTAGAGACGAAGGATGGCATGACCAAGCCGGGGCAGTCACATAAGCAGAGGCCAGGTTCCACATAGAGGGTCTGAAAGACAAGTGAGAAGTTTATGTTGGGCACACAGCAGAGGAAGGGACAAGACCAGCACACAAGTGGCAAAGAACGTCACAGAAACACCCAGAGGGAGGAACTGGCTGAGAAGGAAATCCAGAAGCTGATGCTGCAGAAATACCTGGAAATGCTTGGTGTGGCCAGGTGTGGCAGACACAGACACTTTCTTGTCGCCCACGATGGTGTTGATTGTGGAACTCTTACCAACATTCGGGTAGCCTACCTGCGAGAGACACCTAAGTTACTGAAGAGTCAAACACTCTATCTGCCGAACCCAAAGATAATACAAACATAGTGCAACAGGAGCATAAGTGTTCGGTGCCTTCAAAAGATTATTTGAAATAGATGCTGTTTGTTGACAATTTTCTCCCCTGTGGTATGGGTGTATTTATTCAGACTTGTTTCCAGTGATGAACAGTCAAGCTAAGTACATTTTATTTTTATAGGTCTTGCTGTAACAGCAGATGTTGCAGTAAACCTCAGCCCCCTGTTCCCAGCTCTCCCCACAATGTCCCATCTTACAGGCATTTCACTGTTTCCGCTGTATTTTTCACACTGTGGGTGAAGTCGAGCATCAGATAGACATTTTTAATCATCACCACAAGCAATTAATCTTTAATTTTTAATAACCTGTTAGGAAGCTTCTGTCTTGTTGGTTAAAAATTTTAAGTGGCACATTTACTTGATGTGGGTTAGTAAGCCACTAAAGCTCTTCAATTACTCTTAGCAGGATCATATAAAGGTTCTCAAATAAGTGCTCAAATCATGGCAGCCTTGCTCAAGGCTTTTTCTCAGGCTTGCCCCTCTGCCTCTAAATCCAATTCCCTCTTACTTCTAAGAATCCTCTATCAGTGTGACTGGAAGATTATAAATACCGATTCCATCGAACATAAAACCCCAAACCTTCCACCTCTATTCCAGGCCTCATAACAGACAACATCCACTGTTTTAGTCTTCGCTCACTCCTCTCCACACTTAGCCATACTGTTATCTGCTATTCCGTGAACATATTTCCATTCCTGGGGCTTTGCTTAAACATTTACCTTCTGTTTGCCTGGAAGGCCCTTCTACTGTCACTTTGTCAAAAACTCACATGATACTTTAAGGTGCAACCTCTTACATAAAGATTGCAGATAACTGCTCATTATTCTCAATATTTTGTGTTTTGTGTTTATTTATACCTTGATTACATGACATGTTACTATTTGTTTAGATGTCATTTGTTGGGGGGAGGGCACTTTTGTTGCTGTCATCTCCCCCACCTTCTGCAGATCAGGCTCCCTCACTATACACTCCCACAGGCCGCTGGATGTCCTCTTGCACTCACGACACCAAGCGCTGGGAGGGTGGGGACTATGTCTGTCTGGTCCCCTGATACACTGCTACGGACCAGCAGGACGTGTGGCCTGTGGCACGTGATCAATAAATGTTCGTAGAATGAGTAAATTAACCTATTCTCAGGATTTCTAGAGTAAAACGTTCAGGAAGTGGAGAGGCTGTTTCACATTTCCATAAATGTGAGAAAGAAAGAAACTAGCTTTTAGGGAAGCTGGACTTTCTGGCAGCATGCAGGAGATGGATTTTTAGCAATCATATAAAGAAAAGAAGCTAAAGCTGTGAAGCTGAGAGAAATGACATAAGTTCTCCAAGGTTCACAGCAAGTGAATCCATCCCACTGTAGCACTGGGGGGTATACTAGGTCTGCCTGGCTCCAGGGGCAATTCCTTTAATTAGCACTCTGAAGTGAAATGTTGATCTGCTACAATCACTGTAAGTAGGCTTGGGGCGGGGGAGCGCTTCAAAACAATTAGGATTAGCTATACTTGGCATGTAACTTAGGAGCTAGAAGATTTTAAACCTGCCATGATCTACTTACCCTCACAGTTTTGTTCTCCTGGGTGAGAGACCTTTAAAATACCTTCTCTAATATCTTACATTTCCTTAGCTCAAGATGGGGCCTCTGGAGCTGTGCTGTATGTCTCTGAGGTCTGAGCACTTCTCACAGCCACCTCTAGAATTAGCATATATGTAGCTAGGGATGTGATCTCCTTTCCCTTGTTTTTCTGCAACTAAAGCACCAGTCATGTTTTGCTTGGCCCGAAGATGTTGGGATTCACCCTAAAATGCACCTGGAACATTTAGAGTACAAGTTGGCAAGGATCACATGACACCAAAAGCCTATAGAAGAAGGTAAGATTATTGAACTGGAAGTGTGAAGACACCCTTAAAGGCGCTCTCATTCTGCTACCTCTCGGTAAGTCACAGGACCAGTAGGGCTGAATTGGAAGATAGGAGAAGATAATTAATATGAATACGGGTGTAACCAATATAAGCTTTTAGAGAGTTCACTCTTTTGAGTTGGGCTTCACCTACCCCCACAAGGCCAGTGGGAAACAAGAGGGCAATAATGTTCCCTATGATGCCAGAAGCTTGGCTGGTCCCTTGGGTGCCAGTGTAACTACCAATGGATTAGAAATAAAGGTACCGGGCGCCTGGGTGGCTCAGTCGTTAAGGGTCTGCCTTCAGCTCAGGTCATGATCCCAGGGTCCTGGGATCGAGTCCCACATCGGGCTCCCTGCTCGGCGGGAAGCCTGCTTCTCCCTCTCCCACTCCCCTGCTTGTGTTCCTGCTCTCGCTGTCTCTCTGTCAGATAAATAAATAAAATCTTAAAAAATAAATAAATAAATAAAAGTACCCATGTGGTAGGGCGCCGGGGGGGTGCAGTCGTTGGGCGTCCGACTCCTGATTTCGGCTCAGGTCATGATTTCAGGGTCTTGAGATCGAGCCCTGCACTGGGCTCCATGCTCAGTGCAGTCTGCTTGGGATTCTCTCTCCCTCTGCCCCCCACCCCCTAGCTTGTGCTCTCTCTCCAATAAAAAAATCTTTTTAAAAATATTTTATTTATTTATTTGTTGGGGGTTGGGGAGAGACAGCACAAGCAGGGGAGCTGCCGGCAGAGGGAGAGGGAGAAGCAGGCTCCCCGATGAGCAAGGAACCCGATGTGGGTCTCGATCCCAAGACCCTGGGATCATGACCTGAGCTGAAGGAAGATGTTTAACCGACTGAGCCACCCAGGCGTCCCTCAAATAAATACATCTTAAAAAAAAAAAAAAAAAAAAAAAGGTACCCACGTGGTAACAATCTTAGGACCTATTTCATCTTACCAGTCCAACCGTAAGTTGTCCGTCTTTCACCTTCTTCCCATTGTGCAGCTGCTTAAAGATCTCCAACAACTCCTGCCTTGATACGAGGTGGCTAAAGTTGTGTGTGCGCTCCTTCTGCAGGGGTTTCCTACCCTGAGCCTCAGAATCCGCAGTGCAGCTTCTCTGCCAGTCCTGGCCAGAGGCCTCTTCGTCAGGGTTGTTGTCCTCTTCCGAGCATGTCTGCCACACCTCCTCCTCCTCCTCCGGACAGTCCTCGTACTCACTGGAGTCCTCATCGCTAGGGGCAAGGTCGCTAAGTGCGAGGGAACCGCAGTCTGGGAGATGTCCGGGCTCACTGTGTGGGACCGCAGCCTCCTCACAACGGGCCTTTTCAGACTTGGCTGTGTTGGCTTCTCCAGCACCCCCGTTCGCCTGTTCCTGAAGAGAGGACGGAAACCACAAAAGCTCAGAAGTGTACAACAACGGCACCTTTCACTCTAGTGAATGTACTCAGAGTTGGCTGCCACAGATGAACAGAGGACAAGATAAGTGACAAGACCAGAAAAAGTGAAAACAGGGAGAGAAGGTAAGCCTTTCGGTGAAAGGACACAACAAACTATCAACAGTGGTGCCCTCTGGGGACGAGAGGAACAGCGGACCTCACTTTAGACGTTTCTGTATTATTTGGACCCTGTACAAAATATGCATTACGTTTGTAACAGATACATCTTTAAAAAAAAGCAAGCATTTAAAAAAGCCCATGTCAAGCTGAATTCTTTGGCAGTACATTATTTTGCACTAGGCTGGAGAACAAAGCATTTCTCATTAACGATAAAATATTTAACATTCTCTTCTTTGCACAAAGCAAGAAGGGCATGGTTTATAATTTGTTTCTTTTCACATTTGCATTTTTAAAGACCGTGATTTGCATGTTTAAGGAAACTGCTATTCCTTTATAATTGCCTTTAATAAAATCAGAGCACTGTGGAGCATAGCTCCCTCTGGATGAAATGCAGAAGCAACAAAACAACTCCACATGTGAAAATTATTCACATATGCAAAGAAAAAGATAAAGATCATTTACTCTTCAAGGATGTGTTAATTCTTCTGAATTCCTACTGATAATAAAGCAAAAATAAGACAATTTACAGTATTACTAATCTGAATTAACAAGAGTGAGTGGGTTTGGATTTAGAAGTGATGCAAACCTTGTATCATTTCTTTTTTTTTTTTTTTTTTAAAGATTTTATTTATTTATTTGAGACAGAGAGAATGAGAGAGAGAGCACATGAGAGGGGGGAGGGCCAGAGGGAGAAGCAGACTCCTTGCCGAGCAGGGAGCCCGATGCGGGACTCGATCCCGGGACTCCAGGATCATGACCTGAGCCGAAGGCAGTCGCTTAACCAACTGAGCCACCCAGGCGCCCCCTTGTATCATTTCTAAATTACCTAGTGTTAGAATGAGTAACCGTCACAGAATAGGACACAATGAACTCAGTTAAACAAGTAACCTAAATTTTAGGAAAGTAGAGATATAAAGAAAATGTCAGGGAAGATAGACATGATTTCATGATCAAACCTGGCAGGTCAAAAAGAAACATGGCAGCATGCCTTACAACAGAACCACAGAACTGGAAGCAATTTCTATGAGAAATGAGCAATAAATGTAAAGAAGACGGTGTGTCTTCACTGTGAGCTCTTCTGGATCATTTCAAAATATGAAAGAAATAGAAAACAATAATGTGAACTGAATGTGGATGTGTATTAAAAAAACTAATAAAATTAGAAGCACTTCAGGTTCAGTAAAAATGTTAAAGACAACAAAAGGACTTTGTGCCAGTTATATTAAAAATAAAAAGAAAGGAAAAATCAATCCCTTGAGGAAACACAGTGTAACAGATGGCTAAGAGAAAACCAAAGTATTCAGCTTGAAAACTGTCATTTCCCCTCCCCCCCCCAAATAAGAAGGGATCAAACAACTGTAAAAGGAAAAACCAAATTTCAGGTAGGTGAGAAAACAGTAACTATCAAACTATTTCTAATAAATTCATGTTTGATACTCAAATGACAGATGTGATTCCAGCTATGATATCACAACAGTAGCTGGTTATTGGTCTTGGGAAATCATGAGAAATGGCAGACACTTCAGAAGACTTGGGAGAAGTAAATGATGGCTAACTTAAAAAGGGAGAAACAGTATCTTCCATAACCACTCCCTGTGAACTCAGACTTGGGTATGGGAGCAAGTCTACAAGATAGCTGGTGAGCCCCAGAAAGACAGTCATCCATGTACTACTTGGTTAACAGTTCAGGGAATACCACAGATGTAGAAACTAATCTTTTCCCCATTTTGATAGTTACTGGGTTGGTACATCAGGGCTAAGTAATACAGTGATAAATATTTATTAAATAAACTTCAGTAAAACACTGGTTTCCAGGAAAGAGTTGAAACAACAGAAATAATGGTTAAGAAGACAAGCCATGAAGCCAGACTACCTGAGGATAATATAAGCATTTATACTTACTGCTGAGATGATTAAATGAATACAATGTATAAAGTGCTTAGGACAGTGGTGCCTGGCACAGAATAAGCTTTCTATGGGTTAGTTTTTATTAACAGTAGTAACAATGGAACAATTCTTATTGTTGTATCCTCGTGAACACATCTGTATTCATCACATCAAAATGCTTGGTACAGAGGGCTTCATAAGTTCACAAAAGGTTATCGAGCTCTCCCCTTGGTCCTAATCTGTTTAACAATGTTATCAATGACTGGAAAGAATATAGAGAAGGACAAACACACAAAATTGGCAGATTCAAAGCTAGGAGAGAAAAGCAAACTGTACAACCAAAATGAATTCCCTATCTTAGCCCCAAATCGCTAACAATATTTCAGAGTAACTAACTGTATGTCCTAAATTGAGGCAAATACAAAATGAAAAACTTTTTCCATTGTAAATATGGGATTAGATTTGCAGAAGTCTTTTCTTTTTTAAAAAATATTTGAGGGATTTCATTGTTCACAGGTTAAATGAGCCAAGAGCGTAACACAGCTCCTCTGAAATGGGGTGAATTAACAAAAACTGAATTATGGGGCGCCTGGGTGGCTCAGTTGTTAAGCGTCTGCCTTCGGCTCAGGTCATGATCCCAGGGTCCTGGGATCGAGCCCCGCATCGGACTCCCTGCTCCGCAGGAAGCCTGCTTCTCCCTCCCCCACTCCTCCTGCTTGTGTTCCCTCTCTCGCTGTGTCTCTGTCAAATAAATAAATAAAATCTTAAAAAACAAACCAACAACTGAATTACTGGGAGTATTCTGATCACAAGAAATAATCATCCCTCTGAATATATAACGTATAAATTAAGTACCACCAATTGTGTTTCCTGACATAGGCAGACAAGCACTTGAGATGAAGAGTATCCCAGATATTCTGTACATGATGACTAGGACACCAGAAAATATACACAGAGAGAACTAAGGGGACAAAGGAAGAGTCCTTAGATCAAAGGCTAGGGAGGCAGACTTAGCTTCACTGAACTGAAGAACTTTCTAAATGTAGATAGAAAGAGTGAGCTACCTGGTCTCTATCACTTAACGTGGATAAATAACAGAGAGATTATATGACTGTCTGCCCTGAAGGTGAGGGAAGGAATTCATAGTTAGAGCTAACCTGTGAGCTCATCAAGGGGAGGGCATTGTATTCACTGGCACTCAGCTCAACATACAAAATACTCTATAGATGGTTGACAGAGGTAAGAGAAAAGGAAAGGAAAAGGCTAGGAAAAAAGGTATTACTTTAAGTCTCTTTCAGCTCTAAGATTCTACTAGCAATTTCACTTCATAGTTATTACTAGCTAACAGTTATACTTTTTATTCGAAAATAAACCCCAGGGGTGCCTGGCTGGCTCAGTGGATGGTGCATGTGACTCTTGATCTTGGGGTTGTGAGCTCAAGCCTCACATTGGAAGCAGAGATTACTTTAAAAAAAAAAAAAAGGAACCCCAAACTGTTTCTGTAAAATTTAGGCTAAAAAGTAACACGGTACCGGGCGCCTGGGTGGCTCAAGTAAGTGTCTACCTTTGGCACAGGTCATGATCCCAGGGTCCTGGGATGGAGCCCCACATTGGGCTCCCTGCTCAGTGGGGAGTCTGCTTCTCCTCTCTCTCCCTCTCCCCCTCCCCATGCTCGTGCTCTCTCGCTCACTCTTTCTCTCTCAAAAAATAAAGTAGAATCTTAAAAAAAAAAAACAAAAAAAAAACCAAACCAAGATAACATGGTATATATATATATATCTTTAGGGTTACTTCATTTGTTTTGAAAACAATGTCAAAAGAGATTCTAACCAAGTCTGAGAGGTAGAGGTAAATGCTTCGGTTGTACCTGCCTCCTGTTAAAAACAATTATAAAGTTGGGCGCCTGGGTGGCTCAGTCGTTAAGCGTCTGTCTTCGGCTCAGGTCATGATCCCAGGGTCCTGGGATCGAGTCCCACATCGGGCTCCCTGCTCGGTGGGAAGCCTGCTTCTCCCCTTCCCACTCCCCCTGCTTGTGTTCCTGCTCTCGCTATCTCTCTCTCTGTCAAATAAATAAATAAAATCTTTAAAAAAAAAAACAATTATAAAGTCATTACGAAACCTCCTATACAATTTCCTGCTGAAAATCTAAAAAAATTAAAAATTATAGCTAGTATCAGTGTGTATGTACCACAGAGCCCCAGAGATGTCAGATTATTTGACAACCAGAGAAAGTACCTTGTGACTCATTTTTCTATGGGTCATCCTACTATCAGAGCATTTAGGGAACAAACAAAACCCCTGGATTCCTATAACTCTTCAATAAAAAAAAAACAAAGCTTACTAACCAGAAACTGAAATCCTCCTCCCCAAAACTCAACCTGACAAAGTCCCCCAGAGGTTACCTTAGAGTCACCAATCAGTTGAATGGCTTCAGCCAAAGCTGACCAGAAGATAATCTTCACATTTTCTTTTTCAAAGTATGTGGCCCAGGAACTCCGCTGCTCAGCAGTCAACAAATCTGCCTTATTTATCAGAATGACGTTTTCCTTATTATCATCTATTTCTTTCACGTAACATTCCTAGGCAAGACAAAGGTATTTAGACAGGCCTTCAAACAAGTAAAAATTGGGCTAATTATATTGAAAGCCCCCAAATAGTACTAAAAGTTTTTGCTGCGCTCAGTTTTAAGTCAATCCTAATTTAAAGATTTTTTATCCTGGTACATTCTACTGACCCTCTCAACAAGCTCTGAAAAAGTCAGATCACATATACCTAGAAATACTCTCGACATAAGGAATTGGAAAGGGTAAAAGGAAATGCTCTCCTACCCTGTCGAAGTATAATAGATTTTAAATAATGTAGTTCCTCTCTTTCATAGTGAATTGTTTTACACAAAAGTTTAAGAACTGCAAAACTAGGAGATTTGTCAGCCAGCAGGGACTATTTTTCAGACAAGTGATGATAGCCAATAATAATCTCATCTTTTGGGGCGCCTGGATGGCTCAGTTGTTAAGTGTCTGCCTTCGGCTCGGGTCATGATCCCAGTGTCCTGGGATCGAGCCCCACATCAGGCTCCCTGCTCCGTGGGAAGCCTGCTTCTCCCTCTCCCACTCCCCCTGCTTGTGTTCCCTCTCTCACTGTGTCTCTCTGTCAAATAAGTAAATAAGTAAGTGTTAAAAAAAAAAAAAAAATCTCATCTTTTCACATAAAAAATACTTTTTGAAGTCTAAAAGAAAAACAAGACCCAGTAATTGAAATTAATTCCCAGCCACAGCTCTTCATTAGGAAACACACCCGAGGTATAAAAGCCGACTTCGTAAGAGTTTCAGTACTAAGACTGTTCCTCACCAGTGGATTTAAAAATACTCAGGGGCACCTGGGTGGCTGAGTCGTTAGGCATCTGCCTTTGGTTCAGGTCATGATCTCAGGGTCCTGGGATCAAGCCCTGCATCGGGCTCCCTGCTCTGCGGGAAGCCTACTTCTCCCTCCCCCATTCCTCCTGCTTGTGTTCCCTCTCTCGCTGTGTCTCTGTCAAATAAATAAATAAAATCTTAAAAAAAAAAAAAAAATTCTGCACTAGGGTGCCTGGGTGGCTCAGTTGGCTGGGCGTCTGCCTTCAGCTCGGGTCATAATCTTGAGGTCCTGAGATTGAGCCCCACGTTGGGCTCTCTGCTCGGTGGGGAGCCTGTTTCCCTCTCTGCCTGCCGCTTCCCCCTGCTTGTGCACTATCAAATAAATAAATAAAATCTTTAAAAAAATATTCTGTACTATTACTACTATGGACTCAAACACTAATAGGAATACTTCACACGTGTACAGTGTTTTATTAATTTAAACCTGTATTACATTATTTCATGTAGTCTTCACTCCTTAATTGTTAGTCCCTCTGGTGTTTTACAAACTTAGTTCGCTTGTAAAGTATCACAGGAGATAATAACTAAGGTGTGAGGAGAGAGAACTTAACAGTATGGGTAAGATGTGACTAATAAGCACAACACTGTTTCAAGAGATGTCTCTTAAAAAATGAGAAACACTGGCAAATGTCTATTAACAAACTGGCTTCTAAACTAAAAGCTAGAAAATTCATGTGTTTGCCCTTCCTACAGCTGGAAATACTTGTTTTCGAAGGAAGTCCCCTGTCTAAACAGTGGCAGTATGCGTGCACCTGCCCCTGGGAGGAGAGGGGGGTCTCCTTAAACACAGCTAGAGGAGAGGACCAAACGCTTGCCCGCAGCGACGGCTACCAGTGATGCCGTCGTCCCGCTGCGGCTCCAGGGACTGCGCATTTGAATTCCGTTGCACTTCACTTACCAAATCCTCACATCTAAACAGGAGTGGGTTTCGAGCATCTACTATCTGGACCACGATATCACTGAAAAAGAAAGGTGAGATACTCCAATCACTGTGAAGTGAAACAATGACCATATAACACCAGCAAACACTTTCCACATATTAAGCATTTGACACATTTAACGTTTTAAGGTACAATTTTTTAAAAAAATAATTTTATTTATTTATTTGACAGAAAGAGACACAGAGAGAGAGGGAATACAAGCAGGGGCAGTGGGAGAGGGAGAAGCAGGCCTCCTGCTGAGCAGGGAGCCCGATGCGGGGCTTGATCCCAGGACCCTGGGATCATGACTGAGCCGAAGGCAGACACTTAACGACTGAGCCACCCAGGCGCCCCTCAATGTTTTTTTGTTTTTAAGATTTTTTATTTATTTGACAGAGAGAGAGAGAGAGACAGCCAGAGAGGGAACACAAGCAGGAAGAGTGGGAGAGGGAGAAGCAGGCTTCCCGCAGAGCAGGGGGCCCGATGCGGGGCTCGATCCCAGGACACTGGGATCATGACCTGAGCCGAAGGCAGACGCCCAAAGACTGAGCCACCCAGGCGCCCCGCCCCTTAACGTTTTAAGGTACAATTATCCCCAGTTTATATATGAGGAAACTGAAGCTTAGAAGCTTAGGACAGTGAAGTCACTTGTCCAAAGTCACCAGTTGCTAAGTGATGGAGCTGGAATGGGAAGTCAGTCTGGACCAGAGGACATGCTTGTAATTGTAACATTATCTTGCTGTTGCATGTCCTAGAGAGCCCCTGATGTTTCACTGCTAAAACTTCAGCTGTATCTTCTAGTAAACTCTCCTGGTGAGGCAAAAAGACTATTCCAAATACTTTAATCCAAGGTGAGGTCTACTGTATACTCAGGACCTAATCTACGCTGGTGTTCAGGCCTCAAAGGAAAACGAATGAATCACTTGCTGACAGTTGCCACTATCAAAGCCTGTATCTTAGTTAAACCCAGGGCTGATGAGACAAAGCATACATCTAGCAAATCATCATCCACCAGTTCCAACAATGCGTTTAAATGGCTAAAATATGAAACAGGAATGTATCAACTTAAGATGCCACATCGAAGCAGGAAGGAGGAGTCTAACTTCCTTCGTCACACAGAAGATGCAGCAATAAGAAAACTTTCTGCAGCCGATACAAGCTCCTCAGAGGCTTCACAAATGTAGGGGGGACTAGAGAAGCGGAGCGCTTCAAGAATAAATCTCCCACTTCTCTGGGAGGATCCTCCTTTCATTCTGTCCCCATGGCTAGAAGAGATGCTCTAAGGGTCAGCTGCCACTGGAAGGAAATAAGCTGCAGACATGCTCACAGCAGTCTCCTAAAAAGCCGCGTCTGGTTAGCCCGTTCTGAAGTAAGGCTTATGCAACTAGGCTGGAGACAGAGGAAATGTATTAAATCAAGCTTACTATTTAAGGCAGGGCTTTGACAATCAAAGTGCATTTTCTTTCAGAATAGTTAAATTTCCAGCATAATATCGTGATTCAAAGGAACTCACAGACTTCCTAATTAATGACAAATTGTTAAGTTCTCTAATTAAGTGGGTCCTGGTATTTCTGCCTTAAGGTAATATCTACCGCTTTCAAACTGTAAGGATTTTTTTTTTTTAAAGATTTTATTTATTTGACAGAGAGAGAGACACACAGCGAGAGAGGGAACACAAGCAGGGGGAGTGGGAGAGGGAGAAGCAGGCTCCCGCGGAGCAGGGAGCCCGATGTGGGGCTCGATCCCAGGGTCCTGGGATCATGACCTGAGCTGAAGGCAGATGCTTAACAACTGAGCCACCCAGGCGCCCCTCAAACTGTAAGGATTTAACAGTAAACGCAACAATGACTGCAAAACGCAGACAAAGCCCAATGAAAAAATTGCAAGGTCCACAAACATCAGGTCTACCCGCAAACAAGTAGACCCCAGTAAGAAAAGACAAACTTAAGACCGCTTGCTTCGTGTGCTGCCCGAGGCAGCAGAGCACAGTGCTGACCGCGTACCAGGAAAGGCTTATCTTCCTGGAATATGGTGTTCTGCCCTCAGTGCCCCAGCAGCTTCCTGCATTTCAAATGACAGGGTATACATCAAATCTTTTCCAATAACTATGCTTGAAATTAAAGAGGCAGATGGCTTAGCTAGCCTGTTACCAAACAGGAGACATCTGCTGTACCGAACACATCGATAAATATTTCCTGCTAAAAAATTTGGCAGTAGTCACTTTATTAATAATATTTCTATGTAATTCAGATCCACTTCCATGTGATATAAACTATATACCTTAAGTTACAAACAGAGAAATACCTCATAATAAAAGTAACAGAGCAAGTAATACTGTAAACTAATTGAAGTGAAGAGTTCCAAGTACAGGCTTCCTCTGGGGAAACCAGCTGCTTATTTAGGGACACAGAAATATGTAAAGGGCCATTCTGTCAAATGTGAAAGAATGAACACATATGCTTCCCTCTCAAAACCTATAAAAATGAAAGTAACTCTGAAGCTCATTAGGACAAAGAGAAGGAATAGCAGCAACTGAGACATGGTAGCCCAGTCAAGAAGCAAGCCTGTTCATGCTCCACAGCCCTGAGGGAGCAGATTAGAAGCGTCAGATGAAAGGCCTCTAGGCAAGGGTGAAGTGTAGGACTGAAATCAATCTGAATGAGGAGCTCTTAGTTCCGCTCCCCTGTTCCATCCAGGCAGGCAACTACACCCCCTCAATCTCCTATCCCAATGGCAGAAGGCTAGGGTTTATAATGGAGAAAATGAACCTGAGAGGCTGAAGAATTAGGACCTCAAGCACAAAAGAAGGTGGGGGAAAAGGTGAAAAAGCGGGGATTAAACAAGTCTACATACCAAATGGTGAAAATGCACAACCCCTTTGCATTATACCACCACCTTTAGCCATGTTCTTGGCAGAAGACCATACTTCTCTTTAAGAAACTGACTGGCTCCAGGGAAAACCCCTACAGATCCTAACATCTTGGGGTATTCCAACAAAATGAAATTGATCCCTACTTGGTCCTCTACAGTGAAGTCCACCAGTTGGCAAATTGCACCGAAACAGGTGGTCCTGTCAATCAACTTTATAATGCTTCATTCTTAAATATGACCACACTTGGGTGCCTGGATGGCTCAGTTAAGCATCTGCCTTCAGCTCAGGTCATACATGATCCCAGAGTCCTGGGATCAAGCCCTGCATCGGGCTCCCTGCTCAGTGGGGAGCCCGCTTCTCCCTCTTCCTCTGCCCTTCCCCCTTGCTTGTGGGCTCGCTCTCTCTCTCAAATAAATAAATAAAAATCTTTAAAAATGTATGAACAGACAACAAACATCACTTGATATCTGAGGAAGGCCTCTTATATAAAAGTCAGAAACCAGGGCGCCTGGGTGGCTCAGTTGTTTAAGCGACTGCCTTCAGCTCAGGTCATGATCCTGGAGTCCCGGGATCGAGTCCCGCATCGGGTTCCCTGCTCAGCGGGGAGTCTGCTTCTCCCTCTGACTCTCCCCCTCTCATGCTCTCTCTCTATCACTATCTCTCTCAATAAATAAATAAGAATCTTAAAAAAAAATAAAAGTCAGAAACCAGAATAAATAGAAAAAAAAGGAACAGAGAGGACAGACAGACCATATAGGAAGGAGAAAACCTAAAATCAAAAAAACAAACAGAAAAACAAAACAATACTGTTAAATATGCAGATGGGGGCATTCCAAGGCCAGGTTTCAATATGTTAAACCTTGTTACCATTTCTCTTTGGAGGCAGCAGTGCACATCTTCAACTGCTCAAGAGGCCCTGAAGAAGAGATCCACTGTGCTCCACAGAAGTTCCCCAGGAGAATCAATGGGTCTTCCCAAGCCTCATTCAAGCCTAACTGAATCAAAGGGGCCTGCACAGAGTCTGGGAATCAGCAGCAAGCTTCTACATTTTTCAGGCTTAGAGATTTGCCTTGTTACCCTGACCTCCCCATATCCCAGCCCAATAGCCTTTTCTCTGCCCCTGCCAGAGCTGGATGGGGAAGGTATGTGACTTAAAAAAAAAATTGAGATATAATCCACATATCATAAAATTAACCCTTTTAAAAGTTTACAATTCAGTAGTTCTTAGTATATTTGCAAAGTTGTGCAACCATTACCACTAATTCCAATTAAAACAAATCACTCCTTGATTCCCCCAATCCTCATCAGCTGCTCCTTTCTGTTATAACTTGGCCCACTGCCTTTCTATCTGTCACGCAGCAGGAATCACACTCTGGATTTACCAAGTACTGATCATCTGAGTGCAAAGACTGTGCTTCATTCCTGTGCCCCTAATGCCTCCCCTACAACGTATTTTCTCTTTGCAAGCAGACATCTACCCCCCGTATTTTGAATATTTTTGATGTGTGAAGCACCCGTATTTTCCATATTTCCAATAGGAATCAACAGACATTTGCTAAAATAACTGTAGGTACTTCAGAACTCATCTTACAGAAAACGTTCACCATTCTTACATGCTTATCAACATGTTCACCTAATAATAACAACAACAAAAAAATGTACACTTTGAAAGAAATATAGCATTACACTTTCAGTTTTTATAATAATCCTCAATAGCCATTTGCATAGCTTAATCCCTGAGCACCCCGGCCCCCGGGGTCTATGAGCATTCATCAACATCCGAATCTAATCCAACACCACTAATGTCTTCCTTACACCAAAGGAAAATGGTAACTTACCTTCTCTCAATCACCCTCCAGAGCTGGCGCCAAAAGTCCAAATTTCTTTCAAATGGAGTCAATAGCAATTTTTGTTCCTCTTCTAGCCTGGCTTTAGAATGAAAAGTTTTTATCTTTGCCAGATTATAATCAAAGGTTTCAAGTAGTAGAAACACTCAAATTCACGGCATTAAAAAATAAGTACACAAATATCAACTATCAAACTGTTTTTATTACATTCTGCTGAGTCATTATGAAAATCAAATTTGAAATTTTATACTTAATCTACTTAAGCCCTAGACATTCATCCCACAAAATGACATTTCTCCCACACACCTCCTTCTGGAAGGATGCGCAAGAGAGCAGTGATCAACTCCAGGATGACTAATGGCTAGAGAAAGGTTTGAAGGAGAGAAGGCCAGGAATGGAGTGTAGTAATCAATTTACTTTGTGCAAAGATGCACATGTACCCAGTAATGCCGGTTACACACAGAATTTGCACTTGAAAGAAGAAATCTACCATTTCCTTTTTAAAAGAATCAAGCCTTCAAAATGCAAATAGCAATGCAAACACACCAAAATGCCAGGCTCAGAATTTCAAGACAAATCTTCATATATTCTAACACTCACCGGACAAGCTGACGTCTCCATTCTAGAAAGTTATCTTTCTCTGCCTGTTTGAGTTCTTCTGGACTAGTGTTTTTGTCCCACTTTGGTCTGAAACAATCATAGAGGAAAAAAAATTCCATGTGAGTTACCAAAATAAAACAGGAGATTTGGATTTAATAATGGCAGCGATAAAAGGAAACAGGAAAAGAGAGAACACCAAATGAAAAATTTTATACTCAGGAGTCTTGTTATGCCTTGTAATGTCCTACATTCTTGCTCAACTCACCTCCGTGGTACACTCAAGAACTGTTTGTTTTCTTCATGGAGTTTCTTAATTCTCTGGCTCTCCTCAAAAGACAGTAGTCCAGCTCTAGCCTCAGGATGCACAAACTTGATATTAAGTTTCTCTGTTTAGAGAAAAGAAAGTACTGTAACTGATGTGGCAATCTAGAGAGTGGATATTGGTCATTACTTGGAAAATGAAAAATGCAGCATCTAAAACAGAATTTGAGCTTTCTTGATGTAGATGCCTCCAGCCTTGGATAAATAATTTCCAAGTGAAGTTATCTACCAAAAAAGGAATGAAAGAAAAAAAATCTTTACTAAAGCTTTCAAAAGGCCAATCATTTTTTCAAATACTAATTTTATAAAATGCTGAATGCATTTCAAGGAAACAGAAACAGAGTGAGAAGGATTGTAAAGATTCAGTACAACCAATCTCATTTTACATATGGGGAATAATTATCATCCAATGGGAATGGGTGGGGAAGCAAAGATTCAGCAAAGAGACTCCCTCCAGTTAAAACTGGTGAACTACTACACGGCCATCATTTATGTAGGATGTTTATGATGAATGCCCACAATTAATGCTATATAACAATTCAAAGGAATAAAAAAAAAAAGCCAAGTCCATGTACAAACTACAGAGACCTCTGTGAACCCTACAGATCGCATGCCAAATTTACTTGTGTGTGTGTGAGAGAGAGAGAAAGAGAGAGAAAGAGAGAGAGAGAGAGAGAATGCGTGTTTTTGGAGGGGCTGATGTTATCCCAGCTTCCTTCTGACCCCATTCTATTCTCATCTCCTTCCAGACTCAAACTTTGTTCCATTTCCTCATTAATCTCTATTTTCCGTCATGTTTCTAAAAATTAAAAAAATTTTAATTACACAATACGTAAACACTCCTTTTAAAAAAAATTCAACAGTAAAGGCATACCTTCTCTTTGACCAACTCCCAATCTTCTGCCTACCTATGCAATCTCACTTCCCTCCCTGGAGATTATTGATTAAATGTGTAGGCCTCCAAGTTTTTTCCTAATATACATGTAGATATAGGGATTGGTTGGATTATTATTTTTTTCCTCCCGGGGAGAGGGAGAGAATCTAGAGCAGACTCCCTGATAAGCGCAGGACCTGATGTGGGGCTCAATCTCAAGACCCTGAGATCATGACCTGGGCTGAAATCAAGAGTCAGATGCTTAACCAACTGAACCACCCAGGCACGCCGGTCGGATTATTTTCTTAATGCAAATGGTACCATACATATGCACTATTCCACAGCTTGCCTTTTCATGTGGTAACAGGTCATGGACATCCTTCGCTTTAGTATCCACAAATTTACCTCATTCTTTTTAACTGCCATATAGTATTTCATAGCATGTCTATGCCACAGTTTAGCCATTTTTCCACCTATTGAACATTTAGGTTGTTTCCAAGTGTTCATTATTAAAATATGACAAATGCAAATTCTCAGGCTCAACCCACACATACTGAATCTCCAGAGGAGGGGCCCAGGAATCTGTTTTCCAGGTAATTCTGATGCTTACTAAAATTTGAGAACCACTGCTCTAGTGTAGGTATTAAAAAGTGGAAACACCAGGTCATAAAACATGCACTTTAAATTTTTGAGACTGTGAAACCAAATGTTTTATTTTCAACCTCTCCCTCTGTGCTAGCTTTCACCCCATAACCTACACACATGGCTGGTATTAACCTTGATTACACACATAGGCACACATGCACACACACACCTCTTCCTGCCATAGTCAAATATCTTAAAAGAATACAATTCTCAAAAGAATAGAACAAGCTCTAACACTCCTCACTCTTCTGCACTTATTCCACCCCCTTCCACAAGGCCTGGTTTATTCCATCTCCCTATTAATCTTGTTCTGATTCTTTGTACCATTCTTCTATTACTACTATTTAAGTCTTGCCTGCTTCTCTTGCTGGACTAATGTAACTGGTCATTCCTGCTCAAAATCCATCAGTGATCTTTCAAAACAATGAAATCTAAAATCACGTTTGACACCTGCTTAAACCTCTTGAAAGATTCCTTTAAAGCCCTCATTTTCTCCAGGCTCTAACCCCTGCCCACCTCCCTAGTGTTTGCTCATCACATTCTGTCACTGTGTACTTCAAGCACCCGTGAGGCCAACTTATAACCATTTTCTGAACAAAGTAAGCTGCTACTCACATGTTAGCTTGACTCCTCCACCTGTGTATATCATCCCGTGTCACCTCACCTAACAGCTACTCATCCTTTCAGACTCAGCCCCAGCATAAAGCTTTCCTTGACTGGCCCTGGTCATCCTTCAGACAGAATGAATACTAACTACATCTCTTATGTTTCCATTGCTTGCTACAGACTTCTTTCATAGCACCTAAAACAAAATTTTGCAGAAACAAAGTTATCTTACTCAACACTGTACTCTCAGTAGCCAATATAATCCCTGAGAGTAGCTGGGGCCCAATAAAAGCATTTAAATAAATGAATGAATTTGCTAAACAGCACAATAACATTTATAATAAAAGAGCAATAAAAGTAGTTTATAATGCTACCTGTGTCAGCTACTTTTCTAAGTGCTCAGAAGACACATACCAAGAAACATGGGAGAGCAGTGACTAAAACAAATTACATGCATGGAAAATTCACTATACTGTGTCAACAAGTGCTTTAAAATACAATTCAAATTGCCTACATAACAGCAGCAGGCCCAGGGAGTTGGCTTCTAACAATGATATCAGAAAACATTTTCTGGAAAATTCTGGTATTGCCCGACATAATGCTGACTGGTCTTTTTCCTACAAGAGACTGAGTTTCTTGAACTTGATACAATGTATAATCTGAAGGTTTTTTAGAGCTTAATTTTAAAACTGTGGCACATTCTGAACTTCACAGCTTGATTCTACTTGATCAGACTTTCCCACACTCTTCTGGGATATCTGCCTTTGGGTTAAAGACAGCCCATTTATGAGTTTATTAGGGTCCACAAAACACTTCCAAATAGAGAAATTTACATCTAGTCAGCAAAGATGGAAGGGTGACCAGTGTCGTGTGTACTCAGGAATAAACAACTTACCAGCTACAAACTCTGTTCCTGCAAGTTCTGCAGTTGCAAGGAAGTCATCGAGGGAGCTCTGTTCAGTCACTGACTGAAGATTAAGACGACCCCAATCGTAGCCATCATTGAGCTCACTTGTGTGCAACTATGAGTAAAACACAGGGTAATAATACAGCTGTTCTCTTCTGGTTCTGACATCTGAACAAACTCTTAACCTCCCCAGGAACTGTTCTGTGATCTTGAGGGTGGTGTCAGCCCCTTTAGAGTCAATGCTAATACGAGTTAACATTTAACTAGTGAACACTTAAACACGATAGGCACTTCCATTCATTATTTCATTTAATTTTTTTTGAAATTTTTGAAATAAATCTTACTGTATCTCTATTTTGCTGACGAGGAAACAGTCCTGAATAGATAAAAATAACTTCCTTATAGTTGCTGCTAATGACCGTTACAGATAAATTTAAATCCAGATTCTCTGATCCTGACAGACATAGCTGAAAATTTTTGATGGAGACCCACAGTAAAAAATACACGTTACATATGACTCAAATGCTGTGATACACACAATGATACAATTCTGTGCCACTCAGTAGAATAATATGGGGGGGGGAAAAGAATGCTGAAACAAAGTTACCTTATCACACCTAATACACTCTGATATTTTGAATTCTATCCTGTTGGGTTAAAAAAAACCACTGGTTGGGACCTAGTTAACTAATTCCCAGGCACAATCCAGAGTTTGATAAACACTAGGCTGGCTACATGCTCACTACAGTACAAATAAATAAAAAAAAAAAATTGAAGCTTAAAAGAGTAGGTGGTTGGTCCAAGGCCACAGGTCAGAAAAAAAAAATTCAGAGTAAGGATTAGAATACAATTCTTAAGGATTCATATTCAATCTTCTTACCACTTCCCAAAGGCTGTATTTTAACAAGTTCCCTCAAAAATCAATTAAAATGATCAGTAATCTAATGTCTAGAGTAACTTGGACTTGCTGACTATAGAAGAGCCCTGTATGCCGTTTACTCTGCGTATAAAATGGCTGGAAATCAGATGGTATTACAGTGGCACACACAGAGAGCACAGGTTCTTATTGAGAACTCAGTAAATCTCAAATACTTAGAGGTATGTCAGAATAACAAACAAAAGTCAAACTACTTCGTCATTTTTCAAGGATCCTGAAATTATGTTCATCCCTAGGTCCAGGGAAGTATTAGGCCAGCTCACCACAGTTTGGAGATGCACTGTTCATCTTCCAGCGAAACCGTTAGGGAATAATAAGGATGCAGCAAGCATTCGAGTTATTTTGTATTTCTGGTGGCAACCAGCCACTCTTGGAGGATTCATTCTTTGAACAATACCAAAAGAAATAGCTTTTATGTTTTTTTCTGCTCGGAAACTTTCAAACGCTCCCTACATTCGAGATTCTTCAAGCTCTCCCAATAGCCTCATCGTCACACTAGCCCTCCTTTCCAACCTCTACCTCTGTGCCTTGCTAGAAGGAGGGCCTGCGTATCGGCCTGACAGGAACTTAAACATGCTGCTCTCTCCAAACTCTACTTAGGCGTCACTTCTCCTACAAAATTTTCCTGTGACTTTTGACCCCAGGCTTCCAGCATTCAGACTCTCTCTCATAGCCGGAAAGAAAGGCTGAGAAACACGACAAGCTGTCTTACCCAGGAGTCGCTGTGACGGTGGTTACGGCTCCGCTGGGTATTCTGGCGGATAAGAGCCCGGCCGAGGGCCCCAGGACCTGGCGCTCTCCGGCGGCCCATCGCAGCACCGCCCTCGCGCGAACCCTCCCGGCACGGCACGGCACGGCACGGCACGGCACGGCACACGCGTGTTCCGGTATTCAAGAGCTCGATCCCCGGAAGTGACGTATAAGCGAGCCCAAGTAGCGGAGGCCCGAGTTGAAGACAAGGAGGAATAACTTGCTCCAAACTGCCCTTCATATATCTCTCATTGCCACTATTACAGAATACAAATATGAAAATGGCCCGAGAACTTAATTTCTATGGCTATCTCTAAGAAAATCTCAAATTTGCACAGAATTATTGAATCAAAACAATGGTACCTTCCAGATTCGTGCGTCGATCTTTAACGTCCGGTTAGGAACTGGGAGACCTGAAAAGCATGGCCGTGCGTAGTCCAGGTCCTAGCCCCGCCTCCCAGCTGTTTTTGTCGCCAAGAGGCGGAGACACGGGTGAGGGATATTTCTGCCACGCCAAGTGGCGTTGCTTCCTGGCGCCGGTTTTTGGCGTGCTTCTCAAGGTGTGGTCCTAACGCCTTCAAGCCCGGAATCTAAATAGTTTTTGTTTACTTAGTCTTTCCTAGCTGCGAACTGGGGAGAAAAGTCCCGGCCTGGATGGGCGTTCGGAATGGAAGCGTGAGCAATGTTTCCAGAGCTTGGCAAGGTTGCAAGGAAAGCCAACAGGATCTGACTTAAATGCTTTATTTAAAAAACATAAAAATTCTACTTAGAATTGCATTAATATTTCCTATAATTAAAGTGAAAACGGTGAGCCGGCTCCACTCTGTGGCCTAGCTTTTGGTGTTCACTCCATCGTTAATTTCCAGCGACGGGCAGATGGAATGCTGGGTGAGAGTTGTGTGGGTGCTGGGCGTTTTGCTGACATTTCATTAATCGTGAGAACCACCTCAGTGTTAGCGTGTTCAGAGAGGAAGAAGCTTGCTCACGTCATAGATGGAATATGTATGGTGTCAGGTATCAAACCCCAGATCTCATCAACTATCTTACATGTTCCTGGGAAAAGAGAAGCATGAGGGTTGTTAGCACGCGTTTCAGAACCCAGCGCTTCTCGAACTTGATCATGCCTGTAAATCCTCCATGGAATCGCGTCAACGTGCAGATTCTGATTAATAAGGTCTGGGATGGGGCCGGGGACTCTGTACTTCTAACAAGCTTCCGGGTGACGCCGATGCAAATGGTCTGGTCCAAGGGCCACATTTTGAGTAGCAAGAGGAGCGCGCTCCCTTTGGTGCAGAGGAAGGCACTCGACTGGCTAAAAAGTCAATCACAGCGAGTTAGGAGCATAACCAGCTGGGACTATATCACCCACCCATCTCTGGATTCCCTGCCCAGCCCACGGTGGGCTACACCTCACTGCTGACTCTTATTGAGTTGGAGTGAACTTCAGGAAACAACCAAGGGATTGCTGAAAAGCCATGTTGTAGTTGGCAAGGCTTCCGGAAGTCAGCGACTGCAGATCAGTGAAGGAATGAATCAGAATGTGTTTCTCCCATTTCCCAACATAGAAAGGGTGTATCTTTAAATACTGCAAAATCTCCATAGTAAGATATGGGAAAGATCCATGGAAGAGAGTAAGTTGACAGTTCCTGGAATTCTCTTGAAGCTGAGTGGTTAAAAATAAAACTAACTCATAAACTAAGATTACATGGGTTTTACATTCTACTAAACAACAGTAGATGCTATAAAGAAACCTGCCATCTCATTCCTAGAGCTCAGTCAGGAACTTGGGATTGCACCCTCGTTTCCTTTTCCAGATTTTGTCATCTCCAGAGATTTAGAGAGAGCAAGCCCTTCGGGTTTCTATTGTCATTCTTCCATGGGCTCCAAAAAATCTTAACCAAATAAAGTGATAATTTAATCGAGACTAGTAGAGAGCCAAACAGACACTGACATTGTAAGATTATGATAGCAGCAACTATTCTTAGCTGACAAATAAGACATAAATAATTCTAATATTTCCCTCAAGACATTTCTCAAATCTATCACTGAAAAAGAACTATCCGAGCCTCAGTTTTCTTATTTGTTTAATGGGATAATAATAATCCCTGTCCTGCAGAGGTAGCAAATGAGATAATGCTGAAAGATCATTGCCTAGTAATTCATGGGGTACCAATTTTCACAGCTGAGCAGTTTCTTTCCCAGACAACTGGATGATGCAGGTGAAAATCCACATGTATACTTGATCCAATGAGTGTTCCTCGTTGATGGTGTTGCATAATACTTGATTTACCGTGGCTAAACAAATGTAGTTGCAAACCCTGAAACCCACACCCAGGAACAAATTTTGGAGTGGCTTTCTGCTCTCTGTCTCCACACTGCTGTGCCTCCCTGGGCTCCATATCTGCCTGGGGAGAGAGAAGGGAGAGTGGGTGAATTTCTGTTTTTTCTTTTCACCCCTTGGCCCAAAACAGGTCAGTGGCAGAAACCCTGTTCCAAGGCAAGCTTGCAGCCCTGCTCCTCTCTCTCACCCATTCTCTACAGCACCTTGTTCCATCAGGACAGTAAAGCAGTTTGTGTGAGGTTGAGGGTTGTGAAAATAGAAGTCTGGCAGTCTCTGCAGTCACTCAAGCAGTAAGGAAAACTCCCTTCGATTATCTGCCATTCTCAATTTATCCCTGTTGAAAATGGGTGGATTCTCACACATGAGTGAGTGTCAATAATTTAGCAGCCCTTTATTTGTGGTTATTGTAAGTGACTAACTTAAATCACTTCAATCAAACATTGATTGCCTGCTGGTGCAAGTCGTTCTGTGTGCAATGAAAAGTGTAAAAGACCTTTTGCTTTGGTGATAAAGGCTACAAGATTTTATATATATTATATTAGAACCTATGCATTTCCCCCCAAACTCTTATAGTTTTCTTTTTTAAGATTTTATTTATTTATTTGAGAGAGAGAGAGCAGGGGAGCAGGGGGAGGAGCAGAGGGAGAGGAACAAGCAGACTCTGCTAAGCATGGAGCCCAACACGGGGCTTGATCCCACGACCCTGAGATCATGACCTGAGCCAAAATCAAGAGTCAGACACTCAACTGACTGAGTCACCCAGGCGCTCCCCGCAACTCTTGTAGTTTTATATGGAATATCCAGGGTCTTTTACCTACAGATGACTTTGTAATTATTTTTTTCCTCATGGTAGTCAAATGAGAAAGGGAACTTTTATTTTTCTGAACCCATTAAACAGTAACTCCCCATCCCCACCTTATGCATTTGTTTTTCTTTTTTGCGGGGGGGCAGAGAGAGGGAAGATCCTAAGCAGGCTCCACGCTTAGGGAAGAGCCCAACTCGGGGCTCCATCTCACAATCCTGAGATCAGGATCTGAGCCAAAATCAAGAATCAGACACTTAACCAACTGAGCCACCCAGGTGCCCTTATTTTTCTGAACATTTAGTTGCAGAAATTTAGTGCAGAAATTACTTGCAGAAAAAAATTGCAACAAAGTGAAGCAAAGTAAAGGAGAGTAGACATAGAATTAATAATGACCAACTCTAAAATCTGCAGCTAGAAAGTGCCAGGTTTTTCCCATTCATTCGTTCATTCATTCACTCGTTCATCGCCAGGCTCCAGGGATTCAGCATTGGACAAACACCCCGCCCCTATGAGCTTAAATTTTAGTGGTTGTCAGCCTGCAGAGGGACTCATCCAAGGTTAAATAGCTCAGGTCAGCGGTGGAGCCATGAACCACACCGCCAGTTAGACCCTACTTTCCCAGAATGGCCTTCTAACCACTCCCCTTAAATCACTCTAATAAATACACTAACAAGTGTTAGCATATCAACTTAGATGGTGAGGGAATGAGAAAAAGGTGAAGGAAGTGTGACTAGCTTCGGGAGTAGGGACTCCAAGGGTATATGGGGGCTATTTCTAATTATGTGAAGGACTGTTATAGGGAAGGGAGAGAAGATTGCTCTGAGTAGACACAAGGCAAGCAGAACTAGAACACATGGGTTGAAGCTACAGTCACAATTTTAGTTTTAATTTGTTTGAACCTTCTTACAATCAGAGTGGTTCAAAGATGGAGTGGACAGCTTTATAAGAGAGTGAGCTCCCTGCCACCAGGGGTGTTCAAGCAAAGGCTCCATAACCAAGTGTCAGGATGTTCTAAAGCAGGTTCATTCTCCAAAGTGGGGGTTGGAATGGATGATCACTAAGGTGCTTAATGGATTTCTTACCCTGAGAGGTTCCCGTCCTCTTCGCACTACTCTACATCACCCCAGTATTTGACATAACAGGGCAACAGCGATGGCCTCAGAAAGGGTGCTCAGGTTGGCAGTCACAGGGCAGTGCCTTCACCATGTAGCTTGGGGAGGAGATGACATCCTGCCCTGCTTGTCATGTGAAGGCTGAGGGCACGTGAACCACCCTCTAGCAAATTCAGTCATCATTAGTTACAAATGATAATATCACAAGCGAAAATGTTAAGGGGCTAGGTTTTTGTTTTAAAGCTGACCATGCAGGGGCTGGTGATTTCTCCTCCATCCAACTTCAGAGGGGACAAACCAGTCTGGTTCCTGCCTCTGGGAGCACCGATGAGAAAGGCTCCCTTGTAAGGCTCAAGGTTTCGCTTCTTTTGACTTCTTTCTCATGCCTTTGCTTTTCTGCCTGGGTGCTGTGTGGGTGATAGACACTGTAGACAAGCAGTCTGTGAAAGGAGGGGCGTCAGGGCCAGCATGGGCCAAAGGGTGACCTCGGGAGTTTGTAGGTGTCTGACTTGTTTATTGTTCCTCTCTCATTCCTGCAATTTCCTGTTATGACCTGTTTGAGTTGAATGGTGTATCTCAAAAAGATATAGTCCTAACCCTAGGTTCTTGTGGGTGTGGCCTTATTTGGGAAGAGGGTCTTTACAGGTGTAATCAAGTGAAGATGAAGTCATACTGAATTCGGGTGGGTCCTAATGCAATAACATGTGTTTTTATAAGATACAAATTTGGACACAAACAGAAAAAACACGGGGCGGGGGGGTGGGGAGCATCATGTGAGGACAGAGGCAGAGATTCTATAAGTTAAGGAATGCAGGGATTGCTGGCTAGTGCCCGAGGCTAAGAGGCAAGGAAGGATGCTTTATTTTGGCCTCCAGA